AAGTCAGACAAGATTCGCTTTCTCTAGCGCCACCAGAGACCTTAAGCAAATAAGACTTTCAACCATCGACCGATGATGATGCCGAGGACAACAATATTTCTTCAAGCTCTGAATCCTTTGACGGCTCTGACAAGTCAGACCTTGAAGAATTGGAGGTCACAGAGCCATCTGGGGGAGGACGGCTTCCAAGAAAGTCTAGAGGCACACCTGATATCAATCATTTTTTCAAATGTACTTCTGAAAAGCAGATGTGCAGGTTGTGCATGTAAGTATTCTTTGCCTTTCTGATAATGACATTGACACTATCCTTCAGGAAGAAAAAGAAGATACCTCAGAAGAGCTACAGTTATGGCCCGAGGACATCGACCAGTGTTCTCAGAGGCCACCTTGATGCTCTCCACTCAAAAGCATACCTTCGGTTCTGTGCCAAGCATCAGCTTGAGAACCAAATTACGCGCACAAGGACCCAGGCTGGAACTACCAGTGGTACCAATGCCCAAACAACAGAATCCTCTCAGTTGGACCCATCCATCAATGATTTCAATCATCAAGAATTCCATGCCCGTCTCATTCGTTTTATAGTTGCAGATGATCAAGTAAGTGTCTACATTTTGTAATATTTCATTATGTTGATTGCATCCAATGTAGTCTATTAACATCGTTGAGTGTGCCAAATTTCGACAACTCCTACTCTTGTTGCGCAAGGACTTGAAAGAATGTGACATCCCCAAGCGAACAAAGACAAGAGAACTTATCATTGTAGCGTGGAAGAAGTATTTCGATGTTCTGAAGAATGATCTAAAGGTATGTGTCTCTTCTACCAAACCTCCCGAGTCCCGAGTCCTACTGATCTATCATATGTAGGCTGCACTAGGCAAGATCTCAGTAACAACAGATCTGTGGTCGGACAAACATCGACGCCCATACCTGTGTTTGACTGCACATTGGATCACACGTGAGGTGTCCCGCCTCGTTCTGAAAGCTGCTTTGATCGCTTTCCATCGTGTGCAGGGGCGTCATACCGGAGAAAACTTGGCTAATATTATTGTCTGCTTGCTTGATAGGGCCGAAATCACAGCCAGGGTATGCATCCTTGATGTATTAGACATTCCTGCTGACTTCCTCTCAGATTGGGCACTTCACCATGGATAACGCTGATAACAATGATACCATGATGACCCATCTTGAGGTCTTGCTAGAAGAACGTGATGTCTCTTTTGATGCTCTCTCCTGCAGAATTCGTTGTTTCCCTCACATCCTTAACCTCTGTGTTGGCCATGTCATCAAGAGTCTTATGAACTTGGATCTGACCGAAGATGATGATTGGATCACTACGCTTCCCCAGAACCTTTCCGAGTCACACACTTATGAGGAAGCCCTCGAACATGATCCTATTGCACTTGGTCACAATATTGTCCAAGTGCTTTGTGCATCTGGTATGCGCAGAGATGCCTTCGAGGCTATCATCGTGGAAGGCAATGAGCAGTCATGGTGGACATACATGACAAAGGAGGGATGGACGGAGTCATGCGAACTTTCTGTTCTGCAGTTGCTTCAGGATTCGAGAACACGTTGGGACTCCGTTTACTTTATGGTACGACGCCTCCGATATCTACAGCAGGTAATGTGTTGGAATGTTTTTGTTATCATCAACTCAACCCATCATTAGCCTATCGATTACTTTCTTGAGCGCCCTAATAACAAGGAGTTATGAAGGCACAAACTCTCGACAACAGAGTGGCTTGTACTTCGTGATTGCGAAGTTATGCTGATGGTAAGCTCTATCGAATGAACTGAATGGTTAATAGTGATGCGCAATACATTTTACATCCAGGTTCCTCATATCGCACTTCAGTCCATGTCGTCAGAATGATTGCCAGTCTTATGCGGCACCATCATCATCTTCGAACAATTCATTGCGAAGTGGAAGTCTCTTCAGAATAGCCAACCCCGTCTGAAGCCATTCTTGGACATCGGGTTACAATGGGCTCAGAAGTATTATGATCATATGCAATCAGACGCGTATATCATAGCAATGGGTATGTGATTTTTACTTTGTCTTCCTTACTCTTATAATTAATGCATTTCATTAGTTCTCAACCCGGCATATCGCATGAGTTGGATCAAGAAACATTGGTCGCGTGAGGGATCTGACAAAGCAATACAAGTAATCAAATCAAAGGTATTTCGAGCACATCTGACCTGGTGTTGTTTCTAACGCCCTGCAGATGCATGATAGCACGCCCCGCTCCAGGGGACAGGAATATCGTCCAAAGTCACCTGTCAAGGTCGTCGCAAGGGCCCGCAAGCCTTTGTCATTGTTTGAGACCATCGGGGAAGAATACGGACTTGAGGATGACATGCTTGTATGTAATCTTCACAGTGGAGAGGACAAAACTGTCAATCAGGAATTCGACATATATTTCAATGGAACAACATCACCAATCGGCACTGATATATTGCAATTTTGGCTGGTATGTTGTCACTTGGAGAGCTATTTATCTTACAGTATTAATTTATACATATCTCTTATAGATGAACGAGTTCACATTTCCAATTCTTTTCTCGATTGCCATGGATTACCTTCCTATACAGGCTTCTGCGGTTCCGTCTGAACGCATATTCTCTTCCAGTGGAGAGACCGACACAAACAAGCGCAACCACATCAACCCTGCACTTATGGAGGCTCTTCAAATGCTAAAGTTTTTCTACAAGAAGTCTCGCCTTAATTTTACAGAGGGATTAGTACTTGACGAGCAAGCATTCGAGGAAGCTGACACTGACATGGACTTGCTCTCTGTACTCATGGAAGTACAGGGAAAAGATAGCGTCAAGAAGTTGGACAATCTTTTCCATCTCTTGGCGAAGGATGACGAAGACGATGCTCTCGATCAGAATGTCATTGAGTCGTCTGAAGGCAGCAACCCCAAGGATGAGTGTTGATTAGGTATCTCGTTATATCTGACAATCTACTATTTATTTCAGACTGGACTGCGCTGGATCCATTATTGATGATCTACGTTGTACCTACTAGTACTACTGCAGTGCTACCTAGTACCTACTCATGTTTTGAAGTTCGAAATTTATTCTGGCCTTGTTACAAGCCTACAGTGATCACACTATGACGAACACATGATTCTATTCTCTCCAGCATTCGCTGAAAGCCGAAAGACCTCGTCAACTACTGTGCTATTAGGGATGAAAGCTCCAAACACACCTCTATCTTTCTCAAAGCCCAACATTGTAGCCAAGGGAGCAGGATTAGAGCCTTTTCGGATCGATGGGAGGTTCAGGCTGGGTGCAGAAATCGGGTCTGGATCACATGGTGAGTCCTGCTTGTTGTACGGGTAATATAATTTGATTCAAGTGTTATAGGTCGCGTGTTCATCGCCAAGGATATTTTTACTGGCCAAAAGGTCATAGCAAAGCTAGAACGTTCAAAACCAAGAACACTAGAGCAGGAGTATGCCGCGTACTTGGCTCTTGCTGGTGGAAACAGTATTCCGCATATTCACTGGTTCGGATCAGACTCTGGACATCACACAATTATAATGGAATGCCTTGGTCCCTCGCTCGAGATGTATTTCAATGCCTGCAACAAAAGATTGGACTTACAGATGGTAATTTCATTTGCAAAGCAGCTGGTGCATAGGCAACTTTACTGGTCTATAGTATTTGGTATCCGCAGCTAACTTGAAAATATAATAGATTTCGTGCATTGAGTATATTCACTTGCATGATTACATCCATCGTGATATTAAACCCTCCAATATCGTTCTTGGCAGAGAAATGGATGAGGTTGAGAGCATCAAGCTTTATATCATCGACTTCAGCGTTGCGCAACTGTTCTGTGACTTGAATCGTCGTCACATACAATTCAAAAACGACCAACACTTTGTTGGAAATCTACAATTCGCATCCATCAATGCTCATTGAGGTGTGGAGCAGAGTCGGCGCGATGATATCGAGTCACTCGCTTATGTTCTTGTGTATTTGATACATGGTGATCTCCCTTGGGCTCCACTCGATTCAGAAGATGCGTACCCCTGCGACAGTTCAAGTTGTATTTTGCAGTCGAAAATCCAGACCTCTCCCAAAACACTCTGTTTTGGACTTCCCTCAGGATTCGCCACCATGCTCACTTATGCTCGTGGTCTTCAGTTCAGTGAGAAACCAGATTATCCCTACCTTCGTCAACTTCTGTAGAGTCCTTATCTTTTTGTATGCATTCAAGACTCAAGAGCTCCCTTTCCACTCTCCGTGTTTGTCTTGACAGAATTTGTTTGCTTATTTCTGTAATTTTACTACTCAGATTTGGCTTCCCTAATACTCGGGTCACGCTGCTTCCTGCCCAACCTGTAGATAGCCGCTTGCAAGCCACTTTGGAACCGAGCTGGCACTTAGCCGTGGTTCTACCGGTTCGGCTAGCCGTTTATAGGATAAGCTGTGGCTTATTAAGCCGAGCTGCAGCTGCGGCAACACTAATTGCTGCATGACTGCACTACCTGTAGGTCTGATATCAGACAGTTCAGTAGGGGACAGGAACATCAGCAGAAATGTAGGTTTCCTGATGTGGGGATATACTACTATATAAAACATTATATATAATGAATGGTGTACAATGGATACGGGTGGGCCAGAATGCATGTACCCACATGACACGGATGGGCTGAGGCCAGGTAACAGAGAGGAATGGGCCGGATATATGGGTTGGCCGGATGAATGGGTACCCAGAGCAAACGGGTGGGCCGAGGCCTGTCACCAGAGAGGAATGGGCCGGATACACGGGTTGGCCAGACAGATGTGTGTACCCAGGGCAAACAGGTGGGCTGAGGACATAGTGGGTGGGCCAGATAGTATACGGGTTGGCCGGGTTGTGCCAGATAGACAGGTTGGCCAGATGAATGGGTACCCAGGGGATATAGTATAGACATTGGCATAGAAATGTACAATATAAAATAGTATGCATGACAGGTGCAATTTACAAGGAAGCAACTAAGTCAGAAGAATCCTATGAAACCAGACATCCGGTCAATGCCATCATCCACTAAGTCCATCACCGGGTGGATTGATCTCACAAGTGTATCATCTGGTACATCCAATGTTATCTGGTCATCTGACATGCCAATTGTCCAGTGCATCTTGAATGCATTCACCGGTCGATCTAATACATTGATACAAAGAACTAAGAAAAAAATGAATCATGTATGCTAGTATTACTTGGGCCCATCCTCAGACAAGTTCTTCACATGCCTAGCACTAACTGACCGACCTTTCAGGCGTGATTGAGGTGCAAATAATCGCTGTGGCAAGGGAGCCAATACAGACTGACCATCCTCAGGTACATTTGGTGACCTGGTGACCAACATGCGAATGGTGCTGGTGGAAGGCATGGATTCCATTGGGACTGTGTGAGTTGGCACCGGCAGTGCCACAGCCAGCTGAATGGGTAAACTGGATGCCCTGATGGTGGGGGCCGGATTGATTGTGGAGGTAGAGCTGGATGTGGGCGCTTGTTCACGCCTTGTGACTGGCGAGCCATCTCCAGTGGGGCAGGCACCAGTCAAGAACACATCCAGAGTAAAGATATTATTGGTAACAGCACGACCTAATGCACTGATGGAACCAAACTCGGGGAATATGGGGGTACCGGGGATGACAATGGGTGGTGGATTGAATGTGGGTAGAGTTGTGACCAATGATGCAGCAGCCCTGTGGTTGTCCCTCAAGTACCTCACCATTTCACCCACCTGGAAAGTCAACTGATCTACCAGTCCCTTCTGGAGGCCAAATTGTTCTATATAGTTAGCACACAGCTCATCGATGCGACGAGACAGATCATTGTGAATGGCATCATCATGTGTGCGTAGCTCCTCCATATCAATCTGAATTTGGGCCAGCATGGTCTCAATCTCCGCATTACTTAGATGATGGGGAGGCTGATGAGACTGAATGGGCATGGAAGTGGTGGCAGGGGAGGGGGGCCTTTGAGTGCTAGCCGGATAGATAGGAGTGTACTGGACCTCATCCGGTGTCTCCTCAAATGGTGTGGGAGGTAGGACACTGTCATCCATGGTTTCAATGTAATGGTTCTTGGGGAAATTGTCATTGGATAGCACTGGGGCGGCGCTTGGCACGGTAGGAGCATCATTGAGCATCTCGACATCAGCATCAGGTCCCTCTGGGATAGGACTAGGCTGCTGAGTATCTATGACAAAGAATGACTTAGTAGGGACACAACCAGACATGACAGACTTGCCTTTGCGTTGCCTAGACTGCTTAGCCTGCTTTGCTACTCTGGTAGCCTTCGAGTGAGTGGTGATGGGTGCGACCAGTGGTATGGGCATGGTGATTGCAGGCGCGTCCAGTTGCGTTGGCCAGATGCATTTCATCCTCCACCGGTTGCAACGCGCACAAGTATGAGCAACCAGGCCCTTTTTGGTGAGCCAGCTGTGACATTCTATGTCCATTGCAATGCATCTCGTACACGGTCAAAGAGATGAACCGATGGGTTGCTGTGAAGGATGAGTATGAGCTGTCCGGATGGTAATGACAGGATGTCTCACTGGCTGTGGATGCTTCCCCTTCTTGTCCTTGTCTGTTCCTACATGCCGGGTATCTGACATAGACTATTGTGCAATATTACATTGGTGGCACTGACTAGCGTTGCAATGAGATAGACCTACTGGTTTCGTGTCTTTGACCCGGTCAAGATGTGGCTGCAACCGGATCAGGGATGCACCAATAGGTAGAAGCAATACCCACCTTTCGTTTGTCATCAATAGACTCCACATCTTCCTCCGGCTGGTATTCTGCATGGTCAGCACCCTTGTTTCTGGTATTGGAAGGTGGCATCGGCTGAGTCCGGATGTTGACAACCGGTATTTTCTGTGAAAATTTTAGGTTTGTCTGAAATTACATAAATGAACATACCTGTTTGAGCGGATTTTGTGTCAGTTGCCATGGCTGCGTAGGATCGTTAGGCATGTGAAAGATACGAAAAGAGACTTACCTTGACTTCCGGAACACGAGTGGCATCTTTCATCGTTATTTCCTGGGTATTGTCATCCGATGATGGTAACTTCACTCTTGCCTTTCCTTTGCCCTTTACCTGATCATGTCCTTTTTCAATGTGAACTCCATCACTATCAGTGTCGGTGTCACTCAAGATTCGCTTGGACTTGACTATTTTCCTTGCCCTCTTGACCGGACGTGGGGGGCTGACGCTAAATTGTCGTTTGCGATGTTTTGATGAGCCGGAAATTGCACCACCAGAGATCTTGATGACAATACTGGGAACCGGCAAAGTGGCGATTGGAGGTGCTGAGGTTTGTGCTGGTGCTGGTGCACTTGAGCCTGCCGGTTGAGGTACAGAGGATGGGCCTGCCAGTATAGGTGCAGAGGATGAGCCTGCCAGTGCAGGAGCAGAGGATGAGCCAGCAGGAATGGTGACAGTAGGCGACAGACCGAGTGTCTTTGAGTATAAGGGATGACCCTGGCAAATGTCCTCATTGATCTCGACCTGACTCCAATCCGGCACTTGCACCAGTTGTGCAGTGCCCCTTTGAGCGCGATGGACCTCAGCTGCCATTGACAGCAGGCGAAGGGGGATGTAGGTGGCAAGTGTGAGGTGGGAACGGACTGCATTGTTCTATAACATAATTAATATCACAACATATGGCAGAATATAAAACATACCAATTGAAAAGCAATGGTGCAGCTCAATCTCATTTTATCTTCTTCTGACTGTGAGCAGAGCACCTGTTCAACCAACTCATTCAACGTGTCCAGAAGAACAATGAGTGCCTGGTTCGCTGTGGCAGCAGCAGCAGAGGTAATGGGGTTGTACAACATGTTTTCAATAAGACGATGGCAGCAGCTGGTTGGCTTGGAAAAGAGAACCAGGAGGGAATGGCGAATACTGGAAAATTTCACTAATACCGGATCTCTGGGCCATCTTGGAGATTGCTGGATATGTGGTCAATACACCAGATCGATATGCCGAATGAATTTGATGGCTATGAAAACTTGCCGTGTGTTATCATTATCAAATTCCGAAGTAAGTATCCGGTCACAGGCTATGGAAGCACAAATGCATTATTCCAGTCATCACATACAATAGATTTAGACCTTATATTCTGTAGAATTCAACCCAAGCCGGAAAAAGATATCATCCTCCAGAGATGAGACCGACCAAATTACAATCAAGCCGGAAGAAGATATCATCCTTACATATGACTCTGGATAACTTGCAATTGTCTCACGATGTCAAAGGTACACAACCCACCACTTTCAGAACCTGAAAGGCACTGAACATTCAGTGGTAGTGTTTGACATTTTGGAGCTGCAAGGTAAAGGGCAGATCTACAGTAACCCTTGGATGAATTGCACTAGCATGGGGGAATGTGAGTGTTGTGTTGTGCTGCTACACAGGACTAACAATTGAAATTGTCTGAAGACTCAGATGTCTTGTCAGCTCATGACCAGTGGAAGGATGGGAGACAATTGAAGATGCTAGAGCACATGGAATGTGTCTGGTCGGGAGGCATCGTGTTTGCCCAGATGTCAGGTCAACCGGAAACTGACATATTGGATATGGGATTCCCTCCTCGATCAAACATTGACCGGTTATCAACTCCCTCATCCATATCAGTATTGGACATGGGATTTCAACCAGCTGGTGAGTTAGATCCCCACCATGCACCTGACACCATGAACGGCTCTTCAAACACGGCAGTCGTTTGTCCGGCCAGTACCTCAGGTATGTCAACAAAATATGTGGAGGACAATTATATATATTTTTAATGCAGGGATTGATATGTCCATTGAAAACAACCCTCTCGACATGGGTTTCGGTTCACTTCTGGCAGAAGATGAGAAGATCCGGTTCATGATGTTCCGGCTGGGTCATGTAGGTCTTGTCATTGTGTTGTGTCACACTGTTCAATGCAACTTTAGTGGACATGCAACTGGACCAGATTCATTTGAACATGGGCTTTCAGACAGATCCAGCATCCTGTCACTCATGTATGTGTCATTCATATATTTTGTTCCATTCTCACATGTCAATCCAGTGGACATTGAACCGGATGATCGCCCTTTGGATATGGGATTCGACACACTTTAACCAGATGAGCATCCTTTGGATATGGGATTCAACACACTCCAACCGGACGATCGCCCCTTGGATCCAGGATTCAATGAACTCCAACCGGATGGGCACCCTTTGGATATGGGATTCAGTGCACTCCATCCGGTACATCCGGATCAGTCAAGTACATCTTCTCATTGTAGTGCCTTACCTTGTTGATTGTGAATCCAGTGGATATTGAACGTGATCAGAAGCCTCTGGACATGGGCTTTGGGACAGCTCTGGCATCTGATGTCATGGACCACCCATGTAGGTTTTGATGCTTACATTTTATTGTATAACATTGTTCACTCTTAATTAAGCGCATAGTAAGGAAGACATGCCTTTGGACATTACAATCGCCACACCGGATCCGGTACATGGTCTTCCGGATCCGTCATGTAGGTCTCCTATACCATCAAACATCAGTGTTATTCATCAGTATTTAGTTGCCGATGGTGAACCAGAATCCATTGGATTTGTGATTCAGCGTACTGTAGGTGATTTACGTTTGGCGATACACTGGTTGGAGATGGACAGGGCCCACAGTACAATGGCACCAGAAGAAGCATCTGTCAGCTAAAAAGTTCTTCAGTCTGCCCATGAGTTATTGCTGGCATTTCAACTTATATCAATATACCGACTGTCAACATGATGTATATATATATACGCTTGATACTCTTTACCCTTGTATAGTACATTCTATTGATCCTGATAATTACTGCCTTTGCATGTAGTTCACTTTGTAAGACACCTTTGTGGTTCTAGCAGATCTCTTTGGCTCCAGGTTATCAACTTGAGCTCTGTTTGTCTTACTTGTTTTACAAGTGGCTTGTGTCGTCGAAAGTGCCATTAATTTGGGTGTAGGTTCCTTTCGACGCATCTTCCTGCTCTGAATCAGATTGGTCAGTTCGATTTCGCCTTCCAATTGATTTGGACTTTGAAAACAGCAAATGGACGTCTTCATTCCCTTCATTACCCTCGCCACTTGACTGGTGTTCCATCCTTCCAGTTGACTTCCCAGTCGGCTTGCTGGTTAGTTTTTTAACCAGAACCCTGGCCTTTGCTGTCACCAGAACGGCAGGCTCCATCCTTCCGGTCAGCTTTTCAACCGGAACCTTGGTCTTGGCAGTCATTAGACCAGGTCTGGTGCCATCGCCAGCACCTTCCTCACCATCCTCCCCCTTACTACCTGACTCCTGCTCCACCCGTCCGGTTGGCTTGCCGGTTGGTTTTCATGACTCGTGTTCCTTCCTTCTGGTTGTTTTGTTAACCGGAACCCTGGTCTTTGCTGTTGCCAGACCGGATCTTGTGCCATCGCCAGCACCTTCCTCACCATCCTGCCCCTCACTACCTAACTCCTGCTCCACCCGTCTGGTTGGCTTGCCAGTTGGTTTTCGTGACTTGTGGTCCTTCCTTCCGGTTGTTTTTTTAACTGGAACCTTGGTCTTTGCAGTAGCTAGACCGGATCTCATGCCATTCATAGCACCTTCATCACGATCTTCCTCCTCAGTGCTCAAGCCTTGTTCCACCTGCCCGGAGGTCCTCTTCACCAGTTCTCTCATCTCCTTGTCGTGGTCTTGCCAGCCTTTGAATTCAAATGTTGATGAAACCGCGTCCTTTTGTCTCTGATGCCAGAACTCTAAGAACCTGTCAGCTTCATGCAACTGAAGCTTTGATGGGTCCTTGATCTTCACACCAGCAGGTAAAAACTTGGGCTCAATAAAATCATCCTGAGCCTCTCTTACTGCAGACCAAGGAATGGAAGCCTTCAGCTTTTGACTGCAAAACCCTGCAAAATACATAGTTGCTTGATTAAATCTTCAGATATTTAATTCATGAGACGTACTGTAGTGTCTTGTGAGGAATGTGCAGATAAGATACTTTTTTTTCTCCAGGCTGAGGTCCTCGATATCTGGCATGACCGGAAGCCCATAGGCATCCACCTCCAAGGCAAATTCCTCCTTTTTTCTCCTGTGCTTTCCGCTCTCCTTCCCCCCCATATCCTCATTGTCATCCTCATCATTCTGATTGACTGCTGGTATCACAACATGGTGTAAGTACTTGACTGGATCAATCAACATCACACATAACAGAAGCTCACCGGACTCTTCTCCGACATAGGCATTCCACTCTGATAACATGAGATTCCAGTCCTTTGTATTGGTGAAACTATTACCTTCCAACTGTTCATTGAAGTCCATTCTGATGACCGGATCAGCCCTTCACCAGTTGGGAGCACGAGAATGCAACTCACTCATTGATTCTTACTTCCCCTTCCTCTGTTTTCCATGCTGACAATATGAATATCCTCATACCAGCCTGCCTCCATAACTGAGTCGCAAGATCTTTCATCATACCAGGAGCTTTCTTCTGAGCGAACTCGACCTGGACATTCATAAGAGGAGCCTTGCTAGACCACTCTATTGCAGTCTTCTTCGCTTCCTCCAGCTGCTCTTCACATAAACCTCCCATAATTGCATTGACCGCTCCCTGGTAGTTTTTAATCATCTCCTTTCCTCCTGGCCTTGCTCCAGTCTTTTCAATTATCTCCTTCTTGTACTGGTGTTCTATCACCAACCAGGTGGTCCATGTCTTACCGAACTTACTCTTTTTTTTGAGAGTCTTTTCAGCTCTCTGATTATACAACCAGTCCCAGTACATCTTCATACATCATGAGCATTTATACAATTAGAGGATCAGTTGCTCACAAATTTCCTTTTCTTCAACAGCCGAGAATCCATCTTAGGGGCTTGCATCTTTGCCTCTCATATGACTGCATGCAGAATCACTTTTCTATTCTTGCTGGTGGCTTCCTTACATTCTTCTAGGTGGGATTGTAAGATCAGCAGCTCTTCCTTTGTCAATTTCTGCTTGGTCTTTTGGGGACTGTGTGCTGATGAGTTGGATCGGGCCATTGCAAAGCAGTTGAGGTATTGGTAGAAGAAAGGATACAGTATAAGATTACATAGCTGATCACCACATGCACTCAACATTAGACCAAACAAGAGATTATCTAGCAGCATGATGCCCTCAGGCTCAATATGTCCTGTGTTTCTCTATTGTAGAACTTAGAATTGTAAAACATGCACACTTAGACCAAGTTCATCATATAGTATGTGGGTCGCATACAGAAATACTCTTAAATATGGTGTATAGGGAGACACATTGATACCGGAGGAAATCTATGCAAATTTGGGATGATGGCAGGATTACCATGTGTTTGGTTAACCGACTCGGAAATGACACAACTTATGGCAATTTCAGACCTTAATATATTCTAAATGGACATAATATTCCGATATCTTCGGTGACATTGTTGTCCTTTATACTAATATGGCCTGAGAATAGTGATCTATTTGGATGATCACATCAGTCACTTTCTAATCACCCGAGGTACCTCAATGACTAACAGGAACAGATGTCATGCTGATCTGGCAATTCAAATTGCTCAGAGACCGGAGTTGAAGGAAGACAGAACGTGAAGTCATATGCCTACAGGTCATCATACTTAAGCACACTGCCCAGCCCAACAATCCTTTTAAGTGTTATCAATCATGGCAAAGACTAAACAACAGGGAATCACATACACTCCTCCAATGAAGAAACAATTGCCTCAGCTATATAAACTCAAAGAGAAAACTACCACCAGAGGATCCAGGTCATCTTGGGTGAAAAATTCATGGTCTCCAAAAACGAAGTCGGTGACATCATTACCAACAAAATCTCCCTCAAAGCAAACAGCCAGATTGTCTCAGATGCTTCACGAGGGTGCGGACTTTGACTTTGACCAGGGCGACATTCCTCAGTTTAAATTACCAAAATCTCTGGCAAGCAGCAGTCATTCTGATTTCTGCAGTCTGCATCTGACCGGATAATGAAGGGTCAGAACGAATATCTCCGGCAATGGAAGCACAAGTTCAAGGACTACATCAATTTACTAATGGTCAGAGAAGCCCCTCCCCTGGACTGGCTTTGTTCTGTCTGCAAGAAGGATGGGGTTTATAAATGCCATGGCTGTTTTGATGAGCCCCTGTTTTTCACAGACTGCTGCAGAACCCAACATCAAAGACATCCATTCCATCGCATCAGTCAATGGACCGGATCTTTTTTTCAAGAAACTTCACTCATTAAAGTCGGCCTGCTCATTCACCTCACTCATAATGGCATTCCATGCCCCAGCAGCACTGAATACACATCAGACCTGTTTGAATGGTCAGATACTGATGAAAATATAAACTATGATGATTATCTGGAGGAAGCTTCCATTCCACTTGTCACCGACTCAGATCATCCGGCTATCACCATAGTAGACAAATCTGGTGTTCACTCTGTATCCATATCATATTGCCAGTGCCCCGGTGCTCCCACCCGGGATATTCAGCTCTTTCAAGCAGGCTTGTTTCCAGCATCATTTACCAGACCAAAAACTGCATTCACATTCTCTGTCTTGGACGACTTTCTGCTCAACAACCTCGAATGTGGTACATCGGCCATGAATTACTATAGTAAGATCTGGAGGCTGACCTCAAGCGTCTTTCCATTGATGGTTCCGGTCAGTTGTCATTGTCTGCACTCGGTCATCCGGTGATTAAACAACAGCATCTGCAGGATCGCTACAGAGAGCTCATGAGAACTGCCAGGCAGTGGCATCAATGCAAGCTTTACAAGTGGCATGGGTTTGCACACAAAAGCGATGAGCCAAAGGCCAGTGACCTCGCCCTGTTTTGCCCAGTATGTCCTCAACCAGGGATAAACTTGGACCTGACGATCAGTACATCCACCCGGCCAGACAACACACCTTCATGGCTATTCACCAGGACTTTAGTCATGGATGGTAATTTCAAAGCTGAGCACCTCCATCCAGTGAATCCATCCAATGAAGTATCATTGATGGACGGTCTTGCATTTATGATTGGAGATGAAAGATACAAGAGTCATTTATCCATTGCATAAGACTGTGTCCAAAGATCAGATTGCAACAATCACCTTGTAGTCAATCAAGCAAATGCCTCAAGGCAAAGGCTTGAGGCCACTGGTATAGGAGGATGTGCATGTGCACGGCATGGATGTTTTGTCCCACATTCCATGGTGGATTTTCAGAAGGGTGAAAGGTAAATAACCATCACATCACATCCGGTTACAAGCATTTCTGGTCTTACTGATCATCCCAAATAATTAGGCAGATGAACATGGACTATGCCTTGAGTCAAGCACTCAACTACAATACAGATGGAATCTCACACACTATAACCTTCTACGACATAAATTGTCAGTATCATAAGTTTTTGAAGGACCAAATCGCATCCAGCATGTATCTTTCCATCCCCATCAGCATGGACATCATTCCTGGAATAGGTTTGTGGCATGTAGATGGCCATCAGGACAGCTGCTATGTCCGGTATGCATCAAATTTCATCCGTGGAACCGGCAGGATTGATGGAGAGATCATGGAAACACTCTGGGCATCTTTAAACATAATCTCTGTATATTTCCCAGATTAGTCAATATGTAATTTGATAGGACGTACATAATCATACTCTGTCGGTCTCACCACTACTCCAACAACCACCGCTACAATTGCTGCATCATTTTTTTTTGCTATCTATGAACCACACTGGAGATCTGGTTGGCTCTGACCAAGTCATCATGGCTTATTCAGATGGTCAGGTCACTGCTGGAGAGATTTCTTGTGCCCTATTCTATGCCAATTTGCATTTGTTGGCCATGCACCTGTATGTGGACAAGAGCTTTGCCACTTCCCTGCCTGGATATGCACAAGCATTCCACACACTCACAAAATGGGAAATGGAGGTAAGTGTCCGGTCATCCGGTTATCCGGTCACCCAGTCACCCGGTCATTCTTATATTGCCTTGATCTCAAAGTTCTCATTTGTCATATAGACCTTTGTCACGCCTTTCATCAATATAACCTTCCTTAGCAGGTGCTCTACTGTCATTCCAACACTCCTTCATGATGTGATTGCAATCATGATTGCACATACATTGGTGGACCAGCAGCTGGATGTCACTGAGATTTTGATGGAGATCAAAGCATTGGACCTCTCTGTGCACTGCAATCAATTAGATGAATATGATATTGCCCATATGCCAGACTACTTTAATGCATGGTGGAAGGACAATCTTGCCTCTTGCAAGGTGTAAGACATGTTGCCAAGGTCATCTGTCCAAGATGTGATGGAGTTGGTTGAGGGCCATTTTGGAGAACTTGTGAGTCCTTGAAACATTGATGGCCTGCATCCTCACTAAATCCAACATTTAATATTATAATAGCCGGATCATGTGGAAACCGGACTGCTTCCATATATGCTCAAGCTTGGCCTGGTCCACACACCGGAGACAATCAGATCGGCATCACTTGCACAGTACCGGCAGACAACAATCGGTAAAGAGCTCATGAACATATTGCAAGGGAGAATGATGAAACTTGCACATTCAAGTGATAGGTTGGCATGCTTAGCTGGGCCGGTTGAGGAGATCAGATACAGATGACAGTGCATCCAAAGGACAGTCAAGCATAATTTGATATCTGAAAGCATTCATTGTGTATATTTCGTACTGCTTCTTGTATTCAATTGCAATAGACATTGGTGGTGATTTCTAGAGTACATCAGGTCGTGTGAATGATGTTAATACCTGCTCATCCTGGTGATGGATTGATTCGACTGGTCTTCTTTCTTTCCTCATCACTCATTTTGTTCCTCGACACATAGCAAGAATCCCACAAGACTGGGCATTATACCAGACCTACCTTGCCAGTGAATTGGTGTATGACATCTTCATGTCCAAAATTCATCAATGGCAGGCAAAGCAAATGAGCATTGGACTCTTGGATGTCAACACCTGTATTGCATTGGAGTACCTTGCCAATGTTCTGGCCATCGCTTACTCTAATCCTGGTATTCAATTTTGTATATCATCCTTTCCGGTCGACTAACTTGCAGACGGTTCATCTGAACATTGACATAGTTAGATATAATGAATCCCTTGACAAATACAAATCCTGTCGAAATGAGAAACAAGAGCAAAGTCTTTTGGAAAGATTCCCTCCGGAAGAACATCTGATCTTGGCAAAACCAAGCATCATCATTGATTCTGGTGGCAGAATTATTGTCTGGTATTTGTCTGGAGCCATGACCGGCATGTTAATGGTCTGTCATCTATGGGCATTCATTTTGTATTGCATCTCATCCGGGTATATCCAGACAGATATGCATTGCACTACAAACTCCATGGGCAATTTGCTCAACAATAGCATCACGACCAGCAAACCTACTGAATGGTGGACTCACAAGTCCAATTTATATCCCAGTTTGGATGAGAAGATCACCCCCAGATGCATCAATATATCTCCGGCTTGGTTTCAGCAAGGTAGAGAGGTATGTCCTGTTCATATGAATTCAGGCTACCTGTCTGAAGTGTCATAGAAATATGGTTTCCCAAATCTTGATCTGGAAGATGGATCTCTATCTGGTGGGAATTAAAACCCAAGTCAGACTGGATGAATGGGTGAGCCAGCATCAGTTACATGACATGTGTTATCATCTACAACGTTGGACATCTGTTTTCAATGTGGTGTCAGTCATTTGCAATCGTCGGTCACCGCCTCATAGAGATCCGAAGTGTTGACTGGAGGCATTTGATATTATGACCACTGCAGGTATTTACCATCCGGTCATCATGGATTTCATTCATCTTGGGATCAAATTCTTATATAACTCTGGGTCAATGTTGGCCTCATTGTGTCGGCTTGTGAGACATCATATGCACGTAGAGGAGGGCAACCAGATTGTCACTGCATGGTACATGTGAGATAGCATCCATAACTTTGTTGGAACTCCGAGAACAGAGTATGCAAAATATGGCAATGTGAAATACAGTGACCCAGTCGAGAAGAGTGCCTGTGTGTAGAGAAGTTATTGTACACATTTATATATACACTGGATATGAATTTCAGTTGGATGGCCTGTTGAACCACATTGATATTTCAGGCAGATCCCTCATAGACAGTGGTATGGGAATGTACCATATAAAATATCATGCATGCAAATGCAACATACAAAGGAAACAACTGAGCCGGAACAGTCCTCTTCCACCAGATATCCAGACAGTATATGACCCAGTACAGTTTATACCCTTCTACCTACCGGATGATAGCTTTGACCGGATGCCCGGTGTCATAGTATTCTTTCGGCTCACTTTCCCCCCCCCCCCCCCCCCGGTACATCGCTTTTCCCATTCTTAATATTTATATAGTATATTACTATACTAATGTCTAGGAATATATCTTATTGGTCCACCTGTGTTTCCTAGGTACACACATCTGGCCAGCCCACCCATTTGCCTGGGCACACATTCATCCGGCCAACCTGTCTGTCCAGCACATCCATTTCCCTTGGGTGCACCTGGCCCATTCCTATCAGGAAACTAGCCTCGGCTCATCTGAGTAAGCTGGACATACACATTCCTCCGGCCCACTTGTTTGCCCTGGGTACCCATCCGTCCAGCCAACCCATGTATCCGGCCCATTCCTCTCTGGTGACAGACCTTGGCCCACCTGTTTGCCCTGGGTACTCATTCATCCGGCCAACCCATATATCTGGCCCATTCCTCTCCGTTACTTGGCCTCAGCCCATCTGTGTCATGTGGGTACACGCATTCTGGCCCACCCATATCCATTGTACACCATTCATTATATATAATGTTTTATATAGTAGTATATCCCTATACCAATGTCTATACTTTTTACCCTCAGCCCATCCATCTACCTCAAGAATACATTCCGTCGGCCCACCCATTTCCCTCGGGGACACATTCCCTCGGCCTACCTGTCTCCATTGCAAACTGGATTCACTATTCATAATGTCCAAATATAGTAGTACATTGCTATACCACTGTCTATACTATACACACTCAGCCCATCCATCTGCCTTGGATACATACATTCACCCGGCCTACCTGTCTCCATTGTAAGCCGGATTCACCATGATGCCCTATATACTAGTACATTCCTATACTACTATCTGTATTGTATACTCCTGGCCCATCCATTTGCCTCGGGTACACACATGACCTTGGCCCACTCATATATCATGGTACAATTATTGGCATGGGCCCACATGGGATAGCCCATCCCCATTGGTACATTGTCACATTTGGCTGCCCATCTGAGACGGGTGTATGTTACTGTATTATGTGGTTTGCGCATGGTGCTGGTGGCATTGGATGCAGCGTGGTGGTCATTTGTGGTGGTGGTGTTGGGGTATGCGCCAATGCTGGCGCGAATGGTGGGGGTGGGGTGCGAATGGTGACATGGCGTCCAGTGAGTCGCATGCCCGTGGTACTGAGTGCTTGCTGCCGGTGTTTGGATGGTCTAACCCATGTGCGGGTATGGGTAAGGGTACGGGTGCCATAAAAGGCAACCCCCACCCGTACCCCAGGTGTACCCTTACCCATGACCCGTGCGGGTTACCCATACCCATGCAGTTGCCTAAGTATGAGTCCAGAAATGTAGAACTACTCAGAGTCGTCGTCCATGCCGGCAAGACCAAGAATAGCCATCGCATTGTTGTGTGATCCTATATCACTGTTGCCATTTGTGAGGAGGTTGCTTATGAGGGGTGGAGCATGAGTGATATACTACACAGTATGGAACTGGACTTACCGGATAGCCTCGAAAATATTGGCCATCAGCCTGTGAAACTTGCCTGACACATCCCACCTCAACTTCTCGAGAAATTTCACATGGAACAAGTAGACCTTGCTGAACAAGTTAACAGTGAAATTGAACTTGGATGGAGATCCACTGGACTTCCAGACTAGCGCAGCATACACCTATGCATTTGTTGTCAATACATAAGTATGGTGTTGATTATAGATCGAAATATACCGAAGTAGTAGTCAATGCAACCATCGGAATTGTTACCTCGGGCCGCTGGGCTTTGTTGCTTGCAATCTCCTTGAAGCGATCCAAAAACTTTATGCCAACCGACTTTGGCCCATTGGAGTAGTGTCCTTTCATTAGATATGGCAAAATGTCAGCAGAGTAAGGCTTGTTTGCCTGTGGAATGGCAACATTTTTATCCTGCAAGCAGTGCACAACATAAGAATGTTCCATAGCCTAGAGTGCATAATTGTTAAGACCATGCACAAAGGGTAGGACTGATTCCAAGGGGCTTGGCTTCAGCTCGTGCGCTGCGCCCCTTACCCGAGTATGTGCCCTTAACTTCAGAATGAAGTCCGGAGAAAGTCCAGTGAAGTCCGAAGGACTTCCGGAGGAGCGTGGGAAACTTCAGAAGGACTTTCCGGACGAGTGCGAGAAACTTCCGGATGAGTGCGGGAAACTTCCAGAGGAACTTCCGGAAATTACGATGGAGTTTCGTCCTGACGGGGATATGTGTAATGGCTACTCAGGACAAGTCCTGAGTAGAAGCAAACAGAGGAAAGGCTGCAAGGACAAAGTCCGAAGCAGAATAGGTCCGGAGGACCGCGGGAAAGTTCCGGAGGAGCGGAGGAGCGGAGCTCCGGCCTAGGGAATTTCTCCCTAGGCCTGAGATGGATAATGACTAAGTCGGAGGACTAGAACTGTTATGAGGACTTAGGGTGAAGGCTAGTGCGAGGACTAATATGTGTATGATATTCAGACTGAGGAAATACAGGAGTATCTACTGGGGTTTATATACTAGAGGCAAGTCTGTGCAGATCAGTAAGCAGAGGGGTAAGGCTATGTACGAGCATGTGGAAATGTATTAGAAAATAAGACGGATCATAGGAAATGAACTCGGAGATGAAATGAGGTACGGAAAATGAGGAAGTCTAACTCAAGAAGGAACATACAAAGGGATAAGGCACAGAAGATAGACGCGGGTCAGATCTGGATGTCCGGAGATGAATGTGTGATAGGTCTGGGTCCAGAACGCAAGGAAGATAGATGTGGGTCGGATCTGGATGTTCGGAAGTCCGGAGACAGGTGATTACCATAAGGGGATGGGCGCTGATTTAAGGTTTGGGTTCGGACATGACAGATAGGTCGGATCCGGAGATCCGGAGATCCGGAGATGTGAATATCAGATCTGGCGTCCGGATATCAGATGCAGGAGTACAGGGATCTGGACGGATAGAGGATTGGGTCTGGAGACATGGACAGGAGGTCCAGAAGTCCGGATGAGGCGTGGGAACATCGTCGGATGTTGGTCCGGAATGCGGGATATGACAATATCATTCTTATAAGTATTGGCCATGCATGTCCTAGTACATCAGAAAGACACACCTCACAAAGGTGTGTCGCATCCCTACCACTTTTATAGGTGTTGCTCATGTACATCCTGTAATTATACTTGTGAGCAGCAATATGCAATATTTGGTGTTCCACCCGATTAGTATCATTACTACACATGTTGGACTCAAGTGCATTCATTGGACTTGTGGTGACCTTCATAGTAATGCCAGTAACACCGTCTATCATTGTATCACTACTGTCTTGATCGTGGCCTTGAGTAAAAATATATAAAGTTGAGTGGAACTTGTCATTAAATTTTTAGCCAGAGGATTGGAGTATAACATTGGTGTCACATTGTAAATGCTAGTGCAGCATGCAGTTGTAATAACTACAAGGTAGATTCTGTACCAAGGTACAAAGAACTGCCGCATAACAACATTTATGCTACGATATCACCACTACCACCATCATAAGCTAAAATATCCTTCATTCTTGCTCGCTTTTCCCCAATCCTGGCCAGTGCACTATTCTTGACTAGGGGGCATTGGGTGGTGGAGTATGAAGGAAAAATTTGCCTGAAACACATGAGGATTAGCAGAACATAATCCAAAGTCGTCAATCACCTGTTCCACCACACTGCAAGGTCATCAGTCTCCTGTTTCTCCTCTGGATCTTCAAATACATCCAACATAGAGTTGTAGAATCTTTCTGAGTTGGTCACAGTGTCTGTACGTGAAAATACAGGTGATGAGGTTAGGGCAAATTGGACCTGGAAAGAAAGTTACCTAGATATAAACTTATATATTTAATGTGTCGATTACCTGCATTGCGATGTACACAATGGAAGGCAGAGTAATTCGGGTCATCCCATGAATTCGAGCATTACCCAAACAAGTTGCCTTCAGCTCTTTGTCCACAGAACTGGGAGAGGTAAAGATGTGTTTATACATCTGTACAGTTTGGTTGAACATGAAGAATCTAGAAGTAAGAAAAAAATGTATATCTTACACAGACCAATAGAGCACTTCGAAACAGACCATTCCAGGAATCCTCAGGATCATAGTAGTAATCTGCATACAGGAATAGTGGCCATTGGTCTCCAGTCATGACAATCTCACCGTTTTGTAACTTGGCTTTTGTCCTACATACTATTGGTATTTATACCAAAAAGGAGATGTGGAAGTTACCACGCACTCTGAGTGAGACCAGTCCAGCCCAGCAGGACAAAGTAGTGCACCTGTCTGTTCATGATGAAAACCAAGGTCAATCTTCACATTGTGAGCAAGAAGAGGAATCAGATTCTGTCCCTTTGGAGTAATCCAGTCTAGCACGCTGCCTTTGAGACTTTTGGTATCATTGCCCCTCGCTCCAGATGCACCTTTAGTGAGCTAATGGCATGTGATTAGTTGACTTTGAAGAGATGGAAGGGCGTGATGGTACTTGCCACCTCTGCAATGGCATCAACCTCATCATCTCCATCCTGCATCAAGCGCTTCTCCAGGCCTGCCACAGACTTGAGGAGCTCTTGGAAAACATGATGCTCCCGCCGTTCCCTTGTACATCAGATTAAACGCACTGCACATAACTCCACAGGAGGATAAAGTACTCAGCCATGAAGTTTTCTTCTGGAGTCTCTGCCAATTCACCCATTCATAAAATGCCATTTGTAAGGAGAGCTTGGAAGTTACAAAGAGCATGCACTGTTCGCCTGAAATGACACCCATAGTGAACCAATGGATTGGCTGCAGTCCTGTATCATAATTATAATGGTCAGTAGTAATTGCTTCGTGTAAACAGGCTAAAGTCACTCACCACCTTTTCCTAGGGCCAAGTTGAAGGGCATCCATGGGTTGTTTGCATCTTTCGCCACAAGATTGTTGCTCTTCTGACATGATAGGTGGAATCACTATGATACAGGATGAGAATCGATGAGAATCTCACCATGACCACTGCTCAACTTTTAAACCCTTGTTTGGCATGGTTTGAGCGAGTAGCTCGAAGTTTGTTTTAGGAACTCCAGTCAGAGTAGCAAACTCTTTAGTAAGGGTGTTGAATTGACAGCCACTGACCAACAATTACACACCTATCAAAGCTTGTGAAAATTTGGATGGTGACCCCAACTTGAACCACTAGTATAGTAGTATCATTAGTCCATAACTGCTGTCAGATTCATCTAACAGGTCAACACACCAGATACGAGGGCCCCCGCCTCATTCCCAACCTCGATAAGACACAATGATACTGTCGTAAACATAGTAGTCACTGGGTTGATTCAGAGACAGTCTGATCATGTGTCATCACTAAGTACTGAGGTTATGTTGTCAACAGAGCGTAATAGCCAAAAAAAGGTTTAATTTTATTTATACTAAGCTAATGAGTTGCGTGATTCCCAGTGTCGTTGCGAACAACATGATCTCCATTTGAGTCTGACTCAAATATTATCCACTCTGAGTGGGCGTGATTCTGGCAGTTACCTGAGCTTATGTTGTGAGCATAGATGGCCAAATATAAAATTTCAAAATTCAAAAAAGGCAGTGATCATTGTTGATGACCGGAAATATTTCTCCACTCAACTTTGAAAGTGCGCATTTGTCCAATTTGCCTCCTTGCATTTTGGCTGTGGGGCACTCTCATCGCTGCGTATTGCCTGAGCTTGCTTGATAGAAGAAATAATGAGACGACAGAATCAGGGACCTGTGGTTTGCTGCTGCTAGGGATCTCTGAAAGTTCACATATGCCAGTGACACCTGCCAGGGTGAACGGCCAACTTGTATACTAACTTACACAGTGGTGCCATATCCAACCAAGTTGTACAAGTAAATTTGCTACAAGATCACAACTACACCTTAAACATATAGTACATATTCAATATTGCATGAATGAAAGCCTTCAAGCAGAATGTGCGGTGGCATGAGATCATCACCTGCTTGGTCCATGACATGAATTTGACAATTGCAGGGCAGATTCGGTGTGTGCATCAGACGAGCTTGAGTCAGTTTGTCAACAAACTCTAATAGAATTAACTCAACAGGTCATGTTTCCACCCAGTATGTCCAAGGCGTGTACTCATCCACTGGTTCAGCTCAATAGCTTCTGGGGTGTTGCCCGTGTGAGCCATCCTGAGGAGAACCAACTGAAAATAGGCCTCCCTCTGCAGAATGTGAGAAGTAATTTTAGGAATTTGATGGCCAGGAAAGTATAGCCTGAAATGAATGACAAGCTATAGATCGAAGACGAGTGTAAGATTCAAATTTTGAATCAAAGACGTCACATACCATGGCACATGCCATTGCTACATAGTGCTCTGGGATGGTTTCATACTGATTAGGGAATAGATCCACTAACAACTGTCTGGGCTCATGAAGAGTCGGTTTCAAGATCCAAAGGGCCACTAAGATGAGAATTGCCTTCTGTTGATATAGTCTCTGTAGGAGTGCCAAATGAGCGTTGTTGATTATTGCACAAGAAAACAATACTACCCCATTTGAGTCCAAGGTAAAGTCACCCTGTCATTCCAGACCGTCAAACCTGTGATGCTATGAATGTATGGTATGACCTCGGCGGCGTTCTTGCTATCTAAGGCATAGCCCTCAATGTGACCTCTATCTTGGGAGTTCACCAGTGTGAGCGTGTTGTCCTTCAAGGCCCTCTTGGTCCTGTCCCTCTTGGAGGATACCTGTAGTATTTCAGTCTGCATCAGAATATTCGAACACAGCCGGATTTGAGTCTTGGCGACGGGTATGATGATTCTGCTTGAACTATAGTCTGCTGGGTTTGTAGACGCAATGAAGGGATCAATGATGAAGACTTGGGGTTCGTTTGGGATAGGAAGGGAAGGGAGTAAGAATTCTGCGCTCCCGTAGATGCCTCTTAAAGGTGCATCTGCTGGATTGCACTTGCTCATGACATAGGCTGGGTGGAACAAGTAAGGTGTTGCGAAACTGTAGATAAGATCGAAAATTCTTCTGAAGACCAGGTTGACCACTTTGTTTCTACTCTGGCTGTTGCGCCATCCTTCAATGACGCCCTGATTGTCTCCATAGACTCTGAAGTTCCTCTCCGATCCTCCCATTCCAACAATGTGCAGAGTAAGGAGCTCAAATCCAACTGCCTCTGCCCATCCAATGTCCTTGTGACCATTGAGCATCTGCCAACCTTCACATAAGCACCAGGCTCACCACTTATCAGGATCGAGTGTCCGACAAAAGAAGATTGCAATACCGTAGTCCACCAGCAAAGGTTGAAATCGAGACTTTTGACTTGTCACTGTGGGATAAAAGGCTTCTTGGAGGCAATGCTTCGCATTGCCTCCAAGGACGTAAGATATGCATGTCCTTTCGGGACAACGAGGGTAGTATGCAGCAGTTTGCCATATAATTGTTGTATGTCACGAGGAATGTGCGTACCTTGTTGCTGCCAGATTCTGACTGCTGTAAGATACTTAAGCTTTTTCTCTTCCACGAGATACACTTTGTCCTGCTCCAAGTTCCACATGATACCAATATACGGATTGCTATAGGCAAACTGTTTGTCTTTGAGTTTCTCCCAGGGAATATTGAGCTCTTCTGAGAACTCGTCAATGTCTGCTATGCTAAATGAAAAACGGCCATATTCTGCGGATCTTGGAGATGCTCCAGAGAGGTCCCTGATCGGAAAACGACAGTCCTCGTCAAACTCCTCCAGCGTGCCATCTTCAAAGATGTGCCCTCCGAACCACACTCTACCTCCATCCTGATGTTGTCCCCTTCTCGTAATTTCTTCGTGCCATTGTAATCTCTTGACATTGTAAGCCGGCATGAACTCCTTGAGGATCCTAATGAAGAGGTGGTCATCGACCCATCTGGAGTTCGGTCCAATGCCTCTGGAGCGAAACAGATCAAGACTGGCATCTGCGAGATTGCCGTATGCTCCAGCTGAGGGCCGAAGGCCAAAACACATGCAAGTGTTGATACAGAATTGATCTTCTGAGATCCGAACAATGGACCCTGGCCACTGCAATGAGTGAATTGGAATGGTTCGGTATGCTTCAGAGACATCTCTGATAGCGATCTGTGAGCCTGGCGGCAGTCGGCTGATAGTAAGTGCGAGAATGTGAAACGTTCCCCAGGTACTGGGAAAATTATCAGGATTGATATATGAATTGATGGATGCATTGGGAAACTTCGCTGAAGGAATGTGCGGAAAAGAATAATTTTGAATGATACAATATCGACCTGGGCGACCAGGCTTTGGAATGATTGAGAACGGGGACGTTTGGAAGGTTCCAATAAGACTTTCGACTTCTTTAAAATTAAGCGGGCCAATGTACCTTTCTTTCTGAAGTTCAGTTTGCACAATAGATAGAAACTCTTGTTGATATATAGCGACAGAGTCTTTGTTCAGAGGTGTTTGCGTGATTGTAATATTAGGAATGTCCAGAATGAAACCTCTATGCAGGCCCTCAGGAATATGTGAGTATCTGTCAATGAGTCCTGCCGAGATGAGTCTCGTTTCCCATGTGTCCGGATTGTATGGCGTGAGCGCTTTACGCTTTCTGCACTCGAGGACACGCTTGAGCTCCATGATTCGAGAGTCCGCACCCTGAACAGAAGTGCCTGCGGTCGTGCGTGACCTCTGCACATCCATGATGAAAAGATTACTGACCTTGAAATCCCTCGCATTATCTTTCTTTAAATGATCATCCCAATAAACTTTGCTCCTCGTGTCCTCTAGAACCTTCTCATTAATTATTGAGAGATCGTAAGGCCCTGTTGAAGACTTGGCTGCGACGTGCCAACGTCTTCGCTGCTCGGCTTGGTAGACTAACAAAGTCTTTTGGGCTAGCGGGTCTCAAAGTGACCGGTACTTGTGAATCTGCAAGTTCCTCCAAAAGAGAGCCGTCATCCTGATTCTATCCTGTGGCCAATCTGCTTCCTCTAAGGCTACTAAGAACCGAGGGCATGCTTGACAAAACTCTTCAAATGGTAGGTCTTCATCATTGGCGACTGAACGCGCGCTGCAAGTTGAAGCCAAAGATACCCAAGCTGTCGAGCCATCAGGTAATGCGGATAGAATTATTGCATCGTGATCTACCATTTTCTTGGTTGACACTTCGTCCAAACCATCATTCACTGCAGGCATTTCCCCATTTTCCTCCACCAAACATCCAAAAAACATTGATTGAGAAGATAGAATTTTCCCCTCATTTTGTCTGTCAAAACATTGAAAAAAAGTAATTCATGTTTCAATGATTTTCTGTGTGTGAGACATGATGCAAAAATTGATCATGTTCCTTCAAGGATAATGCTGTATTTTCCACCTACTGTCTTTTAAATGACAGCTTAAAATAATGTTAATTTTCTTCTCTGTGTTGTTCAAATATACACAGAACATTTAAAAAACATAGTATATTTGACAAACATGGAGAAGGAAATTAACATTATTTTAAGCTGTCATTTAAAAGACAGTAGGTGGAAAATACAGCATTATCCTTGAAGGAACATGATCAATTTTTGCATCATGTCTCACACACAGAAAATCATTGAAACATGAATTACTTTTTTTCAATGTTTTGACAGACAAAATGAGGGGAAAATTCTATCTTCTCAATCAATGTTTTTTGGATGTTTGGTGGAGGAAAATGGGGAAATGCCTGCAGTGATTTGTAAAATACCATAATTCGAGATATTCTCCCTTGTCCAGCTTGTGTAGTGCATACGAGCAAGGAGTGACTGTAGGGTCATCTGGGACACCCGAATTCTGAATCGGAATGTATTTGAACTTGTTCTTCTTTTGTTCTTCCTTGCGTGCATCTTCCTCTTCATCGATGCGTACTTGGTTCAGACGCCCTTGTTTGTCCTCTTCCATGCACTGCTGATGGGCTCATTCTTCTCTGTCAACTTCCGCTTGTTGTTGCCATAAATGTTTCTCTAGATTGTTATTAGCTAGCCAGATATTCCTGAGTAACTGCACCACTTGATCTTCTGTAGTGTTCTCGTTTACGAGCTGTGCTCGTGTGTTTTCGAAGTCCTCCGAGTTATAGTCCGGACAGATGTTCAAGTTGGGATCACTGCGAATACACGGCATAACAATTTTTTGATGATGAATATGATATAAAGAAGCTGCGACGAAACGAGCGTGCAGTCACGGAGAATAGTACTTGCGAGTGCTGAGTGGAAGTACAAATCAAGAAGCATGAGAACTCGAAAGACTGAACCGCCACATAGATCTCATTCTACGTACGTTCTCATGCCTTGAACTAACATAGAATAGTGCTGCCGCAGTCCGGTCCAGGACCTAGGTTCGAACCCGAACCTTTGTGGACCGGACCCATGGTTCGGTCACAGGTCCAGAATTTCTCTTGGACCGAACCCCTTGGTAGGTTCGAGGTTCGGTGTGTTGTCGATAAATCCGGACCGGTTCTGGACGCATCCGGACCGGTTCGAACCTATCATGTCGCTGGCTTTGACTTACGATTTTCGAAGTCGAAGCCTCATGTTTTTGGTGAGGCTTTCTATTTAAGTATCATCCTTGCCCTTCTGTTCACCGTCTTCTCCTACTTCTCCTGCAAGGCAATCTCTCGGCTACTTCAGTAATGCAACTCATTCATGCGCCAGTGAGTTCGCAACAAGTCTACTGTCTGTCACAATTAACTTATGATGTGATTTATTTCAGAACATACCTACAGTTGTGATTCACCATACTGATTATCTGCCATGGGTTCTCATTTTGGTGTTTCATGGTGCGCAACAGTTTTAAATCTAGTTTTAAATAAATTCACTTGGTACCTAGGTTTGAAATTTATGCCCCCTGCTGCTATGTCCTCTGCACGTCGCGCTGACGGTTCGTTGAAAGACGCCAGTGAGATAGCGTGGTACAATGATGCCGAAGACGACTCTCCAATGGTTCCTCCCTCTGCTCCTGCACACAACGGCACTCTCAATTCGTTTGTACGTCGTTCTGGTCGAGCGGTCAAACCCACAGAGAAGATCCGCGAGACTCTGACTGCCAGCAGTACCTCAGCCAAACGGTCAGCTGTAGAACCTCCTCAGGGTGTCCCTGCACCCAAACGAGTGTTCGTTGGTACCAGTAGCAGAGAGGATGACGAGGATGACGATGAAGATGCACCCGCACTTGAAGACGTTACAGATGATGAGGAAGAGGATGCCGAGAATGCCGAGAATGAAGAAGCTTATCAACGGACGAAGAAGCTCGGCGACCAGGATCGCGAAGACCGCAAATCCCTCAAGAAAGATGAACGCAGCGCTGACTTGACTACAGTCTTTACCTTTGAGAAAGGTCACATCAACCCCCACACCCAGGAGCGTGAAAATGGGTGGTGGTGTGAGGTATGCAAGGCCAATAATGTCCCACTACACCAGTGCTTTTTTAAAGGTGGTATCTCGACTAGACGCACTCACATTGCTCGCCATCCCAAGTGCCACTACCCAGTCTATCACGACCGCTGCAAAGAACGGGGTATCAAGATGCACAATCGTGCCATACCTCGTGATTGCAAGGCAACCGACAGTCAGGCAACCTTGGACGGCTCTCTGACTCCAAAGATTCCCACGTTCACGAAGTCCGGACTCATGGATTACATCGTCGAACTCATTGTCGCTGAGGACGAGGTAAGTAGCTTTCATTTCTGAGATTTTTTAAAGATACTTACACTACATTTGTACTAGGCATTTCAACTCGTAGATAAAGGTCCCTTCCGTCGACTTCTTCAATATCTCCGACCCTCGCTTTCAGAAACAGATATTCCCCACCGTACAAAAACGCATAATGAGATCCTTGAACGTGCGAAGCTGGCAGTCGAGCGCGTGAAAGAGAAGCTCAAGCATGTCGACAGCAAAATTTCCATGATGTTCGACTCGTGGACATCTTTTCCTGGTCACCCTTTCCTATCCATTACAGCGCATTACATAGACTCCCCGATCGAAAAGCCTCACGGTCATTGTGAACGAGGAGTAGCTGTACGTAGCGTACAAATTTGTCGTTGTTGTCTTGTAAAATTTTGATTTTTTTGCAAATTGAAATAAAGGGTTCGAGGGTTCGAACACGTTCTGAACTTGAACCGAACCCTCCCGAACGCGTTCACAGGGGTCCGGTCCATGGTTCAGCCTCCTTGCTCGAACCTGACCAATGGTCAGGTTCGGGGTTCGCAAATATAGGGCCATGAACTGGACCGAACCGGACTTCGGCAGCACTAACATAGAATACACCTATATGTTCTTCAGAAATGAGTCGAAGTACAGAAGGTGTAAGCCCTCTTGCTGTTTGTGTAGTCATGTTGCCTACTTCAACCATGTAGGTCTTTGCCGGCTCTCCAACGCTTTTTCATACTCATGCATATCCATTTTCAAGCTTCCAGATAGTTTCAAAGATTTCGCCACAAAACACCTCGGTGGTAAGGGACCCAGTGCTGACTTTATGGTGCACTGTCATAGGGAACTCTATTATGCACAGTGGAAAGTTCTGCTTGACGATGAGTTTGTGGAAGCCTGCAAGCATGGAATTGTAGTACTCTGTTGTGATGGAGTAGAGCGTCACTTTTACCCTCAAATTTTTACTTACTCTGCTGACTATCTGGAAAAGTGAGCCAAACTCCATTCCTAGAGGGCCAACCAACTAAACCCATTGCCAAACCCATCCTCAGGGCATTTATAGCTACCATACAGACCCTAGGCGGGTGCCCATGCCCTAGATGCCTCATCCCAAAATTCCACATTCAGAATCTGGGCATGCCATTGGATTTGAAACAATGCCAGACCCTCTTGCACATAGACAATAATGTTTGGCAGAATAAAATCACCACCTCACATTCACTGATTTATGACAGCAGTTACAGAGTGCATAGCAACTGGATTGAAAACCTACTGAAAGAACACTTGTTGTATGCCTTTGATTTAACAGTTGAACCTGACACTGGCCTTCAACCTACAGCTTGCCACCCATTTGGGGCTACACTTCCTAAAGTTACTGCTCTTCCCTGATCAATATAAAATCATTCCAGAGCACCATTTAGCAATAGTGTGTGACTCATGCCTGCTGTTGAGGAGTTGAAACAACAGCTCGATCTTTCAAATGCTGATTTCGAGCGATGAAATATTGAAGAACTTCAATATCTGGAGGCTCTTGCTACATACGGTAGCATTACTTCCGTTCAATTTCTTTCATACATGCTGGCTGATTTCACACAGAACTCAGGTCTACGCAAAGGTCCGCAAGCTGCGACCAAAGCACTTGAAGCTGAATGCCGAGCTGCCTATAACAAACTTGCTCTTGAGATGAACGCAGTCCATGAGTTGGAGCGCCGGCTTGATCTTATGAAGTGCTGGACACCTGGTGATCCCGAATATCAAGAAGCGCTCAAATATTTGAATAATCGGCAGTTTATACGTGTGGTTCAACATCTTGAAGGACTTGTTGTGCAAAGATTGTTTGAACTTACCAAGGCTAACTTGGCCGGTACAGGTACGTGCACCATTACAATATACATTACTACCTACTCATTATGCTAGGTTATAAAATGCGCCAACAGATTTCCAATGCAATAACTCACCGTTCCACTGTGATTCGCAACACGCTTGAATACTACAATTGACTTGCATCTCTGCAATCCCCTCCATGAGACATACTGAAGTTTAGCGAGGTTGTATCATATGCGTGGCTTGGCAAGTTTGAGCTGCTGAAAAGCTCACGGCAGGAAGTCTTAACCAAACCTTGGGTCTCAAAAGCCAACAGGGAGGTGGCAGGCAAATACTTCAGGATAGTTTGTGTGCATGAAGAAATTGAATGTCTCAATGTTGAGATCTCTCATCTTCAAAGGTGGGTCGGGGACGAAGACACTCACTTGCTCACTATTGCAATGTAATTGGAAGTCAGCCAACCTGCACTTGCCTGTGAGATCCACCATCTACACGATAAACGTGTGCACATGAACAATGTTCACCATGCGCACCTCCAGGTGATATATGCAATGCCAGGTTTTAGCAGTGTTTGTGTGCTGGAGACCTCTAATGATGCAAATGAGGGTGCAGTGATCAACGAGCTACAGAGAGCTGCACCCATCGAAGTTGATGAAGATGATATCTCATGTGACGAAGCAGCTTGTTTAGAATCATGTATTGCATAGTACCATTAACTCTATACCACTTGTGCTATTAGTTAGACTCCCCAAATAAGTCGTGATGTGCTCCCCAGTAATTCACCATTTGTCCAGCTCCATCTCTGAATCCATCTACAAACAAGCCTCCAAATTTATGTTCAACTCCAAAGTAACCAAAGTAAACACCATTTATGCTGTTGTTGAGTCTTTCTAGATAATCCGCTCAAGCTTGTGTTTAAGGTTTCGATGCTCAACTGCCAGTGGTCACTAACTCAAGCTCAGACTCGGAGTCAAACTTGGTTTGACTCTGAGTCAGAACACTATTTCGATCCAATGATAGCCTCAAGCGCTAGAGTGGAATGGACATTTCTCATCTGTACACATCACATGGCACTGACACACAGCTCTTTAAACCAATGGTAGCCTCTGTCCATCACCACCATAGCACAGGATGTGTTCAAGTTAGTATGGGTCACTGTAAGGCCAATGATTGTGATATTAACTATGACCACATTTGCAGCATATTAAGTCCGACATTCAGTCCTCTCGGAGCCTCTTAATTCCTTGCTTCACTCTCAAAAATCTATTGTCCAGCAGACTTAGCTTCAATGCCAATGTTCAAGAACTCAATTGCAAGCCTCCAATGGCTCGATTTAGCCTGCGACTGTAACAAAACCGTACATTCTGCACTAGTATCTCATTGCAAACTCTGATTAATTATTTTGGAACATTGACTTGGATTGCAGGCAACTAGTATCACGGTGACACTGGAGGCCCATTGAAAACCGTGCAACAGAAATTGAACCACGCCAATCTAAATCCAACAATGGACTTACTGGAGGTCATTTTTGCTTTGTCGATTGTGGATAGGGTCCGCAAGACCGTTTTTGATAGGAATTGGCAAAAGTCGCCTAGTGATTTAGGTGTGTGTCTCAAACTTTTGTAGCTCACACCAAACTCTGATTTTTTTCAAGGTTTAACTCAAAACAATATCTTCCAGGATAGCAGTTGTGTTTCACTGCCATTCCCTCCCCTTCCTGTAGCCATTCAAAACCCTGCTACCGCTCATAGAAACATATCAACGACTGCAACACCCGCCACTCCAAGGCCCGCACCAACATTAGCTGAAGTTTTGCAGTGTCCTGACTTTCAGACTTGGTTTCTGGGACAACAGGGCACTCATGAAACTCCATCTGGAGGACCAAATCATTCTACTAGGATCCCTGCAACTGCATCTAGTCCTCATACTCATTGGCAGCCTACACCCACTGTAACTACTACTCGTCATTGACCTACGCCCACTACCCATCAGCGCACTACACCTTCCACTCATCAGCAACCCATGCCAGCACAATCAAATATCCCAGCCGCTTCAAACCCTTCTCGCATTACTACAACTCGGTCGTTTGACTCAGACTCCATGGATGTGTCGGATTCCCCAGATTCTATATCTTCAGAGTCGTCTATCAGGGTTAGTGTTTTTTTTCACAACTTTCCAGTAGTTCTTTCCTGAATGAAATTCTTATTTAAAGCCTGATATAGTTATAGCCTTGCAGGAAGCACTTCATGGACAAGATGTCGTTCAAGATTCTGCCTCTAACCTTGATTCTGAACAAGATACAGAAACCAATGATGGGCGCCGTGGGCCCATGTGGGACCAGCCCAGCTTTTCATCAGCATTTTCTGTATATGATAACCTTCAGCATCTAGGTGCCGAACAACATGGGTTACCCCCACCATATGACACTGTCATAAATAACCAGCCAGTCGTCTATATACAAAATGTGAGTCATTTGCTTGATACTGGTATAAATGTTTCAGTAATTCTATTCAGGGAATTATTGTGAGGATCAACCAAAGACAGTAGTAGTAGATATGCTGAAACTGAAGCTGCATTAGCACCTACAATTTATTTGTATCTCATGAATTGATTTCAGTGTCTTTTAACTCAAAGGTTGATGCCCACTTTAACTTGCTTCTTGAACTCGAGCTTTGTTTCCAAGTGAAAAAATATATAATTGCAAAGTATAACTAAGTGTCCTTTAAATGTAAGGTTAGGTATTATCCCCAATTCCAACTGCACATTATCCATGGTCACCATGTCAACATCAAAAGTCAAACACATCTGCGCAAAGCTAACAGATATCCAAAAGGCTGCCTGCCGCACAAAATTAGTCAAGCTCACCGATGCCATCACAACAGCGCAAGATACGTACCAAGAGGAGGCCAGTGCTATTGCCAAAGATAATGGCCTGTAAGATCGACTATTTCATGAAGAAATTCATAGTACTCACTCTTGGACAGAAGCTTGAGGTGGACGCGAAGGCAGCTCTATACTGGCAAAGGTGTCTTCAACAGACGCTGTGCTAATCCTTGGAATGCATTTGTCAGACAAAAACTGAATGAGGAGAACGAAGGTACTAACTAATGAAATTTTTACACCAATACTCATGTGAATGAAAGGACATGTGCCGGAGGATCAATTGAAGCTTCCTGCATTTATCAAGGCCCACAGTTCAAAACTAACATCGGCCTATTTGTGCTTGACGTTGGTCGACAAGAACCACCTGCAGGAGAACATCAACACATATCACCAGTCACGCGTGAAGGTTACACGTGCGAACCCTAAGGCACTACAAAAAGATGTCAATGCGACATTCAAAACAATGAAGACAGAGGTACTGCTATAAAATAATACATAAAAATGCGACTTACTTGTAGTTGAACAGTGGGCTAGCATCCAAGCACGAACGGGCCTTGAGGGAATGTATCTTGCTGTTCAAGGTGATGTCGAGCAGTACCACAAACTGAAGCTCTTTTACACAGCAAAAGTCGGGTCGTTCATCAAAGATGTTCTTGGCATGGAGCCAAAGCGCTTTGCACTCAAAGTCAAGTCCTGGGTAGTTGGAGATTTTGGTGAGCAACAAGCATACAATAATCATAACCTACTAAACAAATTTTATGTAGATAGTGCTGGCACAGTCAGCCAACGACTGTCATTGACAAAACTTGTGAGCCTATGCTGCCAACACATCCAGGACGGACTTGGTAGGTTGAGCGAAAATTCTTTGCAGGCACATGTCCTAACATTAGTCATACAGATATTATTATTCCTACTTTGAGGTATCCACTGAAAAAGAAGGTCAAAATGAATTACAACAATTATGAAGGCAAGATTGTAGAAACTTACGGCATTGCACTGGAAAATTTTCCTGGGACTATTTGAAATCCTAGAAATATTGGGTGTCGCGAAGACTTAATCAATTTGCACAACTTACTTTTGAAAGGAACATGCTCATGGACAAAGCTCACAAGTGACGAGCTCATAGAACACATTGCCAAGAATAAAGAACAACAGGCAAATGGCAAACCAATCTACAAGACTCATAAGCGCCAAGAAAAGACCCCCATAGCAAAGAGCACAGAAATAGTGGAAGATACAGAGGACAATGGGATGAGTTCAACAGAGGCTTAATCAACAGATCATTTACATTACCTGTAGATACAATACCATTGCAGTGGGTCCAGAAAGCCGCACAATCCATATGAGGATGATATTGTCCTGCCCAGGCGAATTAGCGGTCATCCACTTGATGGAAGGGGACTCACCAACAGTTGAATGGCGAGGTTGAAGGTGATGGGTCCAGAAAGCTGCACAATCCATATGAAGACGATATTGTCCTGCCTGAACAAATAAGCAGCCATCCATTCAATGGAAGGGGACTCACCAACATCAACCATGGACAATAAACAAGGATTCCGCTTCCATGGTAAGAATGAGAGAGACATTCTGAAGCCATTTACAAGACCTCCCGCAGTGCAGTGGTCATGGACAATGGTGAGGTTGAAGGCAGTGAGTACTGAAAGCGACAGAACCCATATGAAGACGATATTGTCTTGCCTGGGTGAACGACGGCATTTGAGCCTGTCATGCAGCATGCAGACACAGTTGGATATGAGGCGCCTGCAAGGCGGAATAGCGAGAGGTCAGAGAGCTGTGCGTGTGCATGTACTATAGTGAAAAGGAGGACGTGAAGATGATGAACAATGAGTGAAACAATGAGCTCACCACAACAGACGACCTGCATGACAATCCGGCAATAATGAGAGGTCATGGAAAGTGGGATACTGTATCAATTGCATGGAAAGATAAAACAGAAAAGGTCCAGGGAAATTTGGGTAGAAAATAAGTGAAAAATGGAGCTCAATGTCACGCACGATGAGCACAGGTGAGAACATTATCGTGAGAAGGTGCGGCACAGTGAATCAGCGCCATAACCGGAAATGTCCGCTCATACCTATTTAGGGTAGTAAGGCAACAGCGCCTCATCAGTATTAAATAAGCCATAGGGAGCTCTGATTTTTCCCAAGGGACTGCCGGTTTGCTGATATTATTGCTGGTATGAGGGGACAGTAATATTTGTTACTAATTAGTAAAAGGATGGGGTACGTGATACATTTACTAATTAGTAATCTTAATGGTGACACTCAGGTGTTCAAATGCCTTTGAATCATGACATGTGGCTGCATTGAGATGGGAGGTATATGTAGGTGTGTAAGTGAGGAATGGAACCAAAGTGACACTGCCATACATCGCTCTAGGCATGCCACATCAGAAAAATGCCACAACTTATGGCACCAAAAACAAACACTGCAAGTTTCAACTTCTCAAAGCTGCTCAATGTAAGCGAAAAGACAATCTACCACACCATGTAAAAGTATATATATAGTAGTACACAAGTGTTAAGACCGTGCACAAAGGGTAGGACTGATTCTGAGGGGCTTGGCTTCAGCTCGTGCGCTGTGCCCCTTACCCGAGTATGTGCCCTTAATTTGAGAATGATGTCTGAAGCAAGTCCAAGGGCATCCGAGGTGCGGGAAAGTTTGGAAGGACTTTTCCGGACGAGTGCAAGTAACTTCCGGATGAGTGTGGGAAAGTTCCGGAAATTACGATGAGGTTTCGTCCTGATACAGATACATGTAATGGCTACTTAGGACAAGTCCTATAGAAGCAAACAGAGGAAAGGCTGCAAGGACAAAGTCCAAGGCAGAATAGGTCCGGAGGACCACGGGAAAGTTTCAGATGAATGTCCGGAAACTTCGGAGGATCGGATAAGCAGATGAGCAGATGAGTTGAGGATCAGATAAGCGGAGCTCTGGCCTAGGGAATTTCTCCCTAGGCCTGAGATGGATATTGACTAAGTCGGAAGACTAGAACTGATATAAGGACTTAGAGTGAGATCTAGTGTGAGGACTAATATGATATTCAGACTGAGGAACTACAGGACATATACAAGAGTTTATATACTAAGAAAATAATGGAAAGATCAGTAAGCAAGCATCTGAGGCTATGTATGAAGCATAAGCAAAGTTATCAAGCGCGAGTTGGAAATGAAGCATAGGTTAACGGATCAGTAAGCATACCGGTAGTAAGTATAACTGAGATACCGAGGACAAGGAATACCAAATAGAGGAATAGATTGGAAGCGGATCTATACATTGGATCAGATCAGATTGGATGAGACACGTGGATATATGGGATATGACATTAGGGTGATGGGACAAAGGATGAATGATGCAGGCTAGCTGAGGTATGGAGGTAAAGGGATGTGGATGTGCAGAGGTGCAGGGATCCGGCACCTGAGTGACACCGTTTATGTTACTACTTAGTAACGTGAGAACGTACGCTCTCGCGTTACTAGTTAGAGGGAATAATCTATACTACAGTACTGCACCACTTACTTCAGTAATCAGCAGTGACTTCGCAGGTACGTTTTTTTCCTCTCGGCTTTATCCGACGGTGGCTTAGCTGACTGCAGCATAATCAACTTTCGGCAATGTGCGGGCTGGGTGCCGACCACTCCCGCCGCTGGCGCCAACGTTCCCACAGCCTCTGCTCATCATCTACAACGACGAGCACGCTATATCACTCAACCTTACCCAAATTTGAGTGCGTTTTTTGCACATCCTTTGTCTTATGGTCCTACTCTACTCTTGTGATGTTTTTTCAAGTGCATCTGTCTCATTTTAGCTACATATTTGGTGAGTATTTGTGTACCTTCTGTGTTTCTGACTAAGCATACTAACTGTTGTTCCTCACCACTATGGGGCAGATCAATGTCGCACACAGCAGGCTGCCCTTGCTGTGGAGGCTTCGCTGGAAGCTGGGTCGACTTTCGATATGATGGACCAGTTTTACGATGGTGAGTCGTTGATGCAGCGTTCAGATGGCAGCGATGGTGACATGGACGGTGTAGCAGCATGGACTTCCCATTCTTCAGCCCTTACACCTATTTCGAGGGATGGTAATAGTGTTGCACGATGGACTTCCCTTTCTTCAGCCCTTATACTTCCATAGCAATTACATGTGCTCTGTACTAATAATGCTAATGATTACTCATTGTCCCCATCATCCCCTTCGTTCTCGTCACTCTCACTGCTACTCTCAACAATGGCAGCACTCTTTTCTACTGTCTTTTTGGTGCGCGTCTTCCGTGGTTTGTAGACGGTCTCCCCAGCTGCTTGCCGAGCATGATTGCTGGTAATCCTGTCTGCAAGCTCTTCCTCAGTTAGCTTCGTCCATTTACAGGTCTCTTCGATGAGTCTGTTGATCAATAATTGCACTGACTTGCGTCCGCCAATACTAGAGGGATTCCGGACTGGCAGAAGTTCGAAGGGCCAACCTTTGAGCTCCACGCCATAGTGTTCAACAATGGCGTGCTCGTAGTTAGTATAGTTCATTTTCGCGTGGTTGGCGAGTTTGTTTTCGCACAAGATAAAGTCTGCATCAACATCAGCAACAATGAAAACTCCATGATAGAGATGGTGCTCACCAAGTTCGTCTTGTATGAGCGTCCGACATTCACTGACCAGCTGGTTGAGGGATTTTTTCTCCCTTGATATAGTCGGTATGTCTTCAGCTGCGGGAATAGAACGTCATCAAAAACACATTAGTTAGAGTAAAATATAGAAACTTACCAAGGCCAGAGACAGCAAATGCTTCCAGTTTTAATGCCAGGCGCCGAGGCTCAAGATCCAGAACGGCTCGCACAAACTTCTCGGCCTTCTCTGAAAAAAAAAGTTTGGGACCACTAAGGTCCTCAATTCCACCGCGGACAGCCACATAAAAGCCTTCAACACCGAGGCGGGAGCAAATAGCTGTCCACTGGATTATATGCCTGTCAGAAAACGAGCGACGAAGAAAATAAGAAAGTACCTCTTGGTCCATAGCAGCAAAAGTAGCCTGCATGTCGCGCTGGACCGCTCTTGGGTTGTCGTGGACCATGCGCTGCTTGTCGGCACGCATCTTGATAATCTCGACTTCGTAATTATTCTTTTGAGCGCGTGAGAGTCTTGCATAGTCGTTGCGAAGAGTTTCTTTATGAGACTCAATAAACTCTGTGAGTTTCCAACGGTTACCCTTTGATAGGCCTGGAAAGGAGTTGAAATTGAGCACAAAGTGATATAGATACACACACCTTCGTTTATGTCATCCAGTCGTTGGCGAACAAATGCATTCCACGTGTTTGGACGCCGAGAACGCCGAACCGTCTGACCCCCAAGGTAAAGTTGACGTCGTGTCCAACGCTCGGAGCTAGTAGCATCTGTTGAGCCTCGGAGTACTGTCGTTATGTATCATGATAGAAGATCTCACCGTCCATGTTTCTTGGCAAGGACTTGAACCTGGTCCATGTAGGTTGTGCGAGCACCGTTCACATCATCAGTGAGTGCAACGAACTTCGCACGACACGCAGCCTTCTGACACGTTGTGAGCTGGGGACGGACTTTCTTGACTTTGCTTGTATTTCCGCGTGCCATGATGAACTGAATAGGCGAGGTAAGTAACAAAATTTCTGACTTACATAGAGGGCTATTTATCGGACAGCAGCACAGCAACGGCACTCGCTCGAAAATACGGACCCGAAAGAAGATACGAGATTCTGACATGCAATAACGTTACAAAAAATTGTACTTAGTAGATCAAAGACACTAAAATTTGATTCAGTCATTTCGCTCCTTTGCCGAAACTCAAAACTCACCTAGATTATGGATAGCGTACAAAAGAGCAGATTTTCGAGGCTCAAGCACCAAGTTATCATCAAGAACATATGGCCACTGCGTGTCCTCGAAGCCTTCCCTTTGAAGAACACAAGAGTGAATCTCACGGACAACACCACGTGGAAGATCATGCAGGGCAAGGATGACCTTTACGTCCTCAAAGGTAGGAGTGTTTGGGGTACCAACACAGCCGTTCAAACATTCAGTGCCGAGATTTCGGACAACTGGGTAACCAGGAGCCGAACCTTGAGGCAACTGACGACTTTCGGCCATTGCGCCAGGGCCCAATGCATCAAGCGACGTCGAGCAAGATGGGCTACCAGTGGTGTCTCTAGCATAGACACCAGGATGGGTCTCCGCAGGCGTGAGCTCTTTAGTGCCCGAGTGTGACCTTGAGCGATTTTGTCAAAACAAAATGGAAGGAATGAACACACCGTCGTTAAGTTTAAAAGCAATCCGCTTGACATCGGAGATATTGTTGGACGTCGTGTCAGTCGTGGTAGCATCTAGATGAGAATCAGTTGGCAGTAAGGCAAATGAAAACAAAAAAACTCACTCCATCATAGTCTAGTAGGCAGATCAACCGTTTTCCAACAGTTGTTTGGAAACCAGGAGTCATGAATCCGAGGGAGCGAATGGCTGAGAAGAGTAGTAGTGATTTTACTCATGGCATCGGCAAGCTCATAGGTTGGCGGATGAGACACAGTAGCTTTGAGTATGATGTCTGGAGATTTAATGGTGAACATCCTGTGTCCTTGAGGCCCTCGTTTGTACCTACGTTTTGCTGGCCAGTTGAAATCAAATGTTGCATGGAATTGAATACATATGAAGTCGTGCTGAATCAACAGTGAGTGCACACAGTTTCTAGAGACAGAAAGAAAAAGCGCACCAGTACATCATCATCAGCGTCAACTGCAAGGTCTAAATAGTGAAGGTGGTGGAATGGCCGAGGCAGACGACCATCCGGTCTGCTTGATTCTGTCGTGAATGTGGAGTTTGAAGTAGGCATAGTAAAAGTTGCGCGATTGCAGAAAGTAACAGACTTGGAGGATACGAAAAGCAAGAGTGAAAATATGATTGAAAAGGCGTCCAGAAAGTTGGCCTTTTGAAGGCTGGGAGGTTTGAGACTCTCCTAATTAATGACTGTGACACGTTGCGGACAGTCTGCAAGTGCAGGATGAAGCGAGATATGAGGCAGGTATTGGGCAGATGCACATGCGGCACACTGCATGCAGTTGCAATGTGGCGTACAAACGTCACATCAATCTAAGATTGATCCAATCATTCAATAACTACTAATAATACACCCATCAATTTAAGATCTTCGTGATTGTATGCATTCTGGCACAGGTACTTCTTCATCTTCACAGCGTAGCAGCAGCATGGACTTCCCTTTCTTCAGCCTTATTGCGAGGGGACAGCATAGCAAGGCTCAGAACACGATGTAAGGACTGAAGAAAGGGAAGTCCATGTTGCTACGTTGTTACCGTTCCCTCTGAACAGTGTAAGGACTGAGGGAAGTCCATGGCTTGCCATGGACTTCCCTTTTTTCAGTCCTTACATCGTGTTCTGAGCCTTGCTATGCTGTCCCCTTGCAATAATTTAAGACTTGTTCTGAAGGAATGGTAAATGCATTAACAATCAATCCTCAAATTCATGCGTAATGCAAAATCACAGAAGAGAACTACAATGACATCTTGAAAAAAGGGAAGTCCATGGCAAGCCATGGACTTCCCTCAGTCCTTACACTGTTCAGAGGGAATGGTAACAACGTAGCAGCATGGACTTCCCTTTCTTCAGTCCTTACATCGTGTTCTGAGCCTTGCTATGCTGTCCCCTCGCAATAATTTAAGACTTGTTCTGAAGGAATGGTAAATGCATTAACAATCAATCCTCAAATTCATGCGTAATGCAAAATCACAGAAGAGAACTACAATGACATCTGCTGAATACATAAGTCAAATCGTGCCGCCTCGTCTCCTTCTAATTCATCTTCAATCATCTCTACTGAGACTTCATCTACAGAGTCCAATGAGTCATCTGTTGCGGTCACATCAGAAGGAACACAGCCAGTAAATCCTTCAAGTGAATATATGCGATTGATACGAACACGGTGCACATCATTGACCCTCCGCTGCCGATGATACAGCCTCCAAATTTCTGACGCAAGCGGAGGGTTAGTTAGCTCAAGCTCAGTGGCCACGTGTTTGATGTCAGAATCCTCAGCATCGATCCAAGCGTGCAAGCGGCGGATTTCAACATTGAGTCGAGTAATCTCCTCACGAGCTCGGAGAATCTTGAAGTACTTGACACCCATCTGACGATGTGTGGTGTTGCTCCAAGGCTTGGTCAGGATATCGTGTCGTGAATGTTTGAGGATATCAAACTCGCCAAGGGCCACATAAGACAGAATCTCACTATATTGTAGTGTTGGCCTTCGTGGATTTTGCACGACAGCGAGCTTGTTGTACTTGTCTAGTGCAGTACGAATTGCACCCGATCGTTTGACGATGGCTCGAGATATTTGTCTTCGAAGTTTATAGCCTGCGAAAGATTTCATCAGTAGAATGCATTAATCAACATTAAGTTAGTACCGGTTGACGAGAGATTAGCTTTAGACAACTCAAACAAGTGCTGGATGACAAGACCCTCAAGATCTTCGACCGCACGAATGAATTTCCGTCGTCGGCTATATTCAAGTGTCTCCCGATAATCTGAATATCCAGGTGTCCACCGTTCAGCAATGTCGAGGCGGGTCTCGAGATCCTCAACAACATTGATTTGAATTTGAAGATGGTGTTCCACTGCACGCCGAGCCGCTTGTGCCTGCTTAGTTGATTGAGAAGCTGCAACACTCAACCCAGAGTCAGGTGTGAATGATGATGGCAAGTACGTCAGAAATTTATCAGTTCCAAACGAGTCGAACTGTTGTCTGAATTGATTGTGAACTTTAAAATATATGCAAACGAAGTAAAATGAAACTTACTGGTACGTGTTGAGCTTCTCAAGCGCTTCAACGTAATCGACTGCGAGAGCGTCGCGTGCAGGCTCCGATGCAACGGACTCCAGATATGCGAGTTCTTCGGTTACCCAAGTCTCGAAATCCATGGCTTGGTCAGGAAAGGATAAGCGGTAGGCGTCGAGTTCTTTGGTAAAATCATCAATCAGGGTAACCGCTTGTTTGTAGTTATTGAAAATAAAGCGGCCTAAATTTCAATTAGATCAATCAGAATTACTACATAGTCAGACAATAAACGCTCACTGAGTTCCAAATATTTATCCATGTCCCATTGGTCGAAATGCAGGTCTAGGAACTGACCATAGTGAAAATGCGATGCATGACGAATGAGACACGCTGCAGCGTTCGAGCTTGCAAAAATATGTTCACAAGTTTCGAGATCTTTAAGTCCGAAGCCACGTAGGTACATGGGGTGATACTGCAGCTGGCATTTGCGGTTGTGAGCGTGTCCGTGGAATGCATTCACCAACAGCGAAAGTTTACGATCGAAGGCTTTGTCTCGTATAGAGCTGGTGGCGACTGTCTTAGATAAGCTGCAACCGATATCACTACCAATGGCTTGATTGTCACCGAAGACGTCGAGAAGCTTATTGATAGTAGCGAGAGGATATTTCGCACTTTTGAAAATCATTAGCAACATAATATTGAATTGTATTGAAAACTTACAGCTCGCCACTGCAACGCATCTCAGTGACCGTTTGAATGATTCCGTGTCGACACGCAGAGAGAAAGATACCAGTCTGTTCAAAAACACGGACAGTGTTCTCCTCTGTTGAGTTAGCGGCTTTCCAATTGTCAGTGCAAAATGTTAATTGATCGGCTCCGCGTTCACCAGGACGTAGTCGTATGTCATCCTTGAACACGTCAACTTGATCCGGGGGAATCATGTATCTGCTGGGAAAGATGCGGAGGTCGGCACTGCCGGCATTTGCCATGCGTTTCGCAGAATTGTTCCCATCCATTGCTTTGAGACTGGCAGGATACAGCGGACATTCATTAGGTTGCTGTTGAAATAGATCAGACAATGATGTTTTTAAAATAAAAATAACACACTGACCTCAAACGTGCACGGCGGACAACCATGTCGAAGGCGCCAGTCAGGATCTGTGCGGCCGAGTGCCATGTCCACTTGAGACCGAACACTACGAAGTATTGTGAGATAGATATCGAATGCGATCGAAAATTGATCACGGAATGTTTGCGCGTAATTGACCTAATGATTGATTAGAATGCTGTAAGTCCATGCACAAAGAATGACTTACATTATGTATTGCGCACAAGACCTTTGTGAATGCCTGGATGCTGAATGAAGATTGCTGTCGTCGAAGCTGATGATAGAGCTCAAGACATTGCAGGCTAATTGCAACAGTCGGTGCAGTAGGAGAGCAGCCAAGTAGACCCACGTGCAATAGAGACACATTCGCGACTTCTTCGTGCTGTTGTGTGATATCGTGAAAGTAGTCTAGTTCTAGAAAATGTAAGTAATGAAATCTTTTGTTTAAAAAAAACGTACCAAAGACATGCACCGCTGTGACCTGGAACTTGTGAGCCGAAGTTAGAGCGACATTGAGCGAACTGTTATGCTTCCAAGTGAGATACGCATTTGTCAGTGCAGGCAGCTGCAAGCACCATGAAGCGTGCATATTGGTGTAGCGTGCTTCTCGTGTCCGTTGGTCACTACGGTGTTTCAACGAGCTGCAGTAACCTTGATTAGCCAGAAAGACTGAGTAGAAGAAATACAATACGTACCTGTTTTGTAACTGCAGCCTAGCATAGGCAGAGAGTAGCCGGGATTCGACTGAGTAATGGCCCTCATTACTGTTGCTGTCCGTGTCCGTGTCTGTATCCGTGTCTGTGTCCGTGTTGCCATCACTGCTGTCTGAACGCTGCATCAACGATTCACCATCGTAAAACTGGTCCATTGTATCGAAAGTCGACCCAGCTTCCAGCGAAGCCTCCACAGCGAGGGCAGCCTGCTGTGTGTGACGTTGATCTGCTCATACATCGCTGTAAGAATGAAAGACAAGACTGATTTGTACACTCACCTTGAGCTTGAAGTTGGAGCTCTCTCTCAGCTTGCAGGCGGTCTGCTCGTATACGGGTCAGGCTTGCAGATGTGGTCCGTGGGCCTGTATGACAAAGTACGGTCATTGTGACCCTCTGCGACATTGTGCGGAACGGACGCTGTCTCCCCATGGTGGTGAGGAACAACAGTTAGTATGCTTAGTCAGAACACAGAAGGTACACAAATACTCACCAAATATGTAGCTAAAATGAGACAGATGCACTTGAAAAAACATCACAAGAGTAGAGTAGGACCATAAGACAAAGGATGTGCAAAAAACGCACTCAAATTTGGGTAAGGTTGAGTGATATAGCGTGCTCGTCGTTGTAGATGATGAGCAGAGGCTGTGGGAACGTTGGCGCCAGCGGCGGGAGTGGTCGGCACCCAGCCCGCACATTGCCGAAAGTTGATTATGCTGCAGTCAGCTAAGCCACCGTCGGATAAAGCCGAGAGGAAAAAAACGTACCTGCGAAGTCACTGCTGATTACTGAAGTAAGTGGTGCAGTACTGTAGTATAGATTATTCGGGATATGACAACAAGATCAGTCAGTTCTACATTCTTTGAGCAGGATTTTGACACAAGTAAAACAGTATCATTGAGTGTATTTATTTTCCCATTTTCCCTCCCGTCTCCCGTCTCCCGTCTCCCGTCTCCCGTCTCCCGTCTCCCGTCTCCCGTCTCCCGTCTCCCGTCTCCCGTCTCCCGTCTCCCGTCTCCCGTCTCCCGTCTCCCGTCTCCCGTCTCCCGTCTCCCGTCTCCCGTCTCCCGTCTCCCGTCTCCCATCTCCTCGTGTACTCCCGGTTCACTCATTCTAAATTCTCCCAATTCCCCAGGTTTTGTCTCTCCATTGCCTTTTCCCTTCTTTTCTCCTTTATATTTGTTGGTTTGTTTCACTACCTTTTGTCATTCAGCATTTCATTTCAACTATTTACTTTGTGTATATACCGTTGCTACAAATACTTGCAGGAAAATGCTCCAATTTCGTGAATAAATGTGGTGCTGTTTCTAATGAGCACAGGAGATTGAGTTGGCGCTCAAAGGCCATGTAGGTGTGGCTGCCGTCCAGGAAGGCCAACAGATAACGGGATATCACACATGTTATGTTGCCTGCCAGTGACTGCCGTCCTGGACGGCCACTATGTGGGTGGGAGAGGCACACATTATATTGCCTGAAGTGACTGCCGTCCCAGACGGCCACTGCTTGGGTGGGAGTCACACACGTTGTGTTGCCTGCAGTGACTGCCGTCCTGGAAGGCCGAATGTTGGTGGGCGTCACACATGCTGTGTTGCCTGCAGTGACTGCCGTCCTGGAAGGCCAAATGTTGGTGGGCGTCACACATGCTATGTTTCGTGCAGTGACTGCCGTCCCAGACGGCCACCGCATGGATGCATACACAAAGTTATGTTGCCTGCAACAACTGCCGTCCTGGACGGCCAATAGTGCTGTTTTGGTGCTTTCTTGTGGGGGTGCTTTCTGGACACTTGCCGGCACTGATAAGGTAGACCTCAAACGAAAGCATCAAATGTCACATGACTTTTCGTGACAAAACGGGACTAATGCAATATCTATTCAACGGCGACACATTAAATAAATCTGAGAATGCTGATGGATGTAGAATGTTAGCTTGCATAATTAATCATTGAGAAATGTCCAAGAACTGAAGGCACAGAGTAGAAATTAGTGTGTTTCTACAATTTTGCTATGTTCTTATTTCTAGTTTCCTCTTAGCCTGTTCCGGCAATTAGGCATTGACCTTATCCTCGAGTATTCAGCCTGTCAAAGTCAGTCACACTCACGTGACATTTGATGCTTTCGTTTGAGGTCTACCTTATGTCTAGTGCTTTTTGCAGGTTGATCCGGTGCTTCTTGTGGGTGCTTTCTTGGTCCTGTCGGTGCTGTGCTTTTATATGCATGCTATAAGGAAGTAATAAGGAAGTTGTGTGGCCTTGTTAAGGGGATAGTGCTTTCAGGAGGTCGCTTTTCCCCCTCCCTTATATACATGGAGCCTTTTGTTGAGCACTGTGCGGGGAATCGGGCTCTTCTTGGGGGTGTGCTTTCTCAGTGCTTTCTCAGTGCTTTCTCAGTGCTTTCTCAGTGCTTTCAGGGGGGTTCAGTACTTTCCTAGTGCTTTCCCTGTGCTTTCTGTGCTTTCGCGTGCATGCTATATAAGGAAATTATGTTGCCTTGGAAGGGAAGGTGCTTTCGGGAGGTGGCTTTTCTCCTGCCTGTTATGGCAGGAGCTTTGCACCCCCCCAAGCTGGGGGGCTCAGTTCAGATTATTAGACCGATGTGTTCCAGAGGAGCGCATAATTATTAATACGAGTCCTGGTGCTCACCAACAGGGTCAACATTCTCTCGCAATGCGTCCTCGAACAATAACAATGGTTATCATGGAACGAGTTGATGTTGGCTCGATCAAAGGGTGCCTACGCGGACAATTTACTAGGGAAGACGCATAGGGCTAGTGATGCAGGGCACAGGCTAAGTTTGGTAAGAGCCTGGCAGACGCTGTCGTGATACGGCGCTATAACAAATTCTAGCGCACAGATCACGTTCAAACAACTTCATATGTTCCAAACACGTTAATGATCAACATATATGAGCGTCTGCGTGCATACATGGCTCTATAGTGCTGTATTCACTTCTCACCAAATTTACAGAGCTTGTCCTTTGCGTCCATACCGTGACTACTATTAGGTATGCATCTTGCGTGTCAGTCCTGCATTGTTGTATTACCTGTAATTCGTTCATGTATGTTGATTTTCAGACGCAGTATCGAGCGTTGTCTCACCGCGTCAAGCCTCGACCTCACCCTATCAAGTTCGATTCACTCTCTATACTCTGCACCACCACGTCAAGCTCCAACCATGTCATGTTAAAAGCCTCGTTTAAGCTGCGTCGAGCGCCACTCACTCCACGACAAGTTCTCCCAAACCTCTTCACAGGAGTTTCTGTACTAATAGCTGGGTCGAGCGCCACTCACGCCACGACAAGTTCTCCCAAACCTCTTCACAGGAGTCTCTGTACTAATATCAACATCCACGCTCTAAGCCGCGTCAGACATGTAAGTCAAGCTCCTTCGACTTGGACAATAGAACTTGCTGACAAACTCGTCATAGCTTTGTTCCTCCCGTCGAAGATATCTTCACAGTTCGACCGGAGAGCTCGCGCCACCAAGGCAGCTCATTCCAACTTCGCAATCAGCTTCGCCTCTGGCCAATGGCCATGTGCCTTTTACACTTGCTGTACCAACTCCTTCGTCGCCTGATGCCTCGACGGATTATATCACGTCGCCTCTTTTGCGGCAAATGATGCTCGCGGCCGCAGATCAATGCGCCTGCTCTCCTTCATGTCGAGCAACCCGCAACGAACCTGGTGGCTTCTGATGCGGTCCATTCATCGACTCCTCCACCCCTGCCGACTGCGTTGTTGCCGCCATGGCAGCTCTTGGCGATGTACTTCTGCTGCGTCCTGCTATCACGCAGATTGCAAGAGATGGAGGTTTTGCTGTGTGACATCCAGGACAAAGTCGCGTACGAGTTGAATGGACTTCGTGGCGTCGCGAAACTACTACCTCACGAGGTGCAATATGCGCATAGCCAAGCTGATGCGTCGCGTAGCAGACAAATAAGATTCATTGTAGCATACTTAATAATCAAATTTTGAGATGTCCTGGAACGTTATCTAGGACTTAGCACTTGGCAGGGCGCCTCCGGCAGTGCTTTTCAGCCAACCGCGCCTCCTATTCTCTAATGCTTTGAGGGAATGAGCTGGAGAGAAGAACACATTTCCAATACGACCTGGTGTGATTCCTCGCGAAGTAACTCCACCTTCAGGCTTCCAAGGACCAATGGCATGGTAGAGATCCCCTGCCCTAAAAATTAGGACATCACCTGGCTGGTACCTAGTCATATTGTTGTTAAGTATCAATGAGATGTTGATGCTAGATTTGAGACATACCAAAGTTTGACCTTCAGATCTGTCAAGTATGCCTCCCCTCCTGAAAAGTGGCCCAAGCAAAATATTGCAGTAGGCCCACCATCTTGTCCATCTCGATGGGGTAAAACATTAAGCTTCCACACAATTGCACGTCCTAACCATGGGCCTGGATCTGCCAGCTCCCAGACGCCTGCATTGAAGGCCTTTTGATAGATTTCAAAATCCTCTGGGAAGGCTGCTTTGAACATTTCCTTGAGAGCTACAGCCAACTTTGCTGTTCGCTCCATGTACCATGCTACAGCCTGAGCTACTGCTGAAGAGCCACCACCATGCATGTCTGCTGATGGCTTCAATGGACTCTCTTGAACCTTGAGAGCAGTCAGTTGTATTGGCTGGGCTAGCTGATGGCAACTCACATCCTTTCCCTGAAAACCTTGCATCTGCCAAGCATGAACAAGATGGGATACACCTGTACACTCTGAATTTTCATACTCATTAGCAAATTCATACTCAAGTCCACCATGACTGAATGTGGTAGGCTCCTCCTCCCAGTCAGAGTCAGAGTTGCCCTCATCCTGGTCCTGGTCCTGGTCCTCAGCTACTACTCCCTCTTTGCGCTGATATCGCATGAGGAAATCAGTAAAATCATGCCTTCCATCCTTTTTGTTCTTTTGTGGGCGAAGGTAGTGATGTAAGACTTGGGAGGCATACAGTGCATCCTCCAAAACATCTTTCTGTGAATTTTATGAGTAAATGGATACTCTGAGATCAGGAGAAGCTCTCACAGGAATACCATCAAATTCTAATTGGACATTGTCATCAGCCTGGGCTGTTTCCAGATCACATACAGAACGACCAAGTTGACTTGGAGTATGTGGTCCACCAATGTACGTTGCATCTGGAGGTTTATCGGTACTGCGAATTCTGTTGGAAAAGTAAGCTGCAAGCAACTTTCCATCTTCATCTGCAAACTTGGCAGAAAATGCATTGGATTCCCAGTCCATCATCTCTTCCATAACCTCTCCTGAATGTGCTTTATCCACTTTGCAGGGCTTTGGCCTATCAGCAAGCTCTTTAATCTTCACACCTGGAATGCGAAATGTAGGTGTGCTGCGAGACCAGTGCCTGGTGGTGTGAGCGGCAGTCTTCTGTAACATAGCTTTCTTGCGCTGTTTTGCAGGGCCAAAGCGTCTTTGTGGAAGGGGTACTGATGTTGCAGCCAGAAGTTGCGTCATCTCACGCTGAGGCAACATTGAAGCATGCTTGGCAACTTCATCTGGGTCTGTTACAAGGCGCCTCTGAAAATACTTTAGCAAACAAAGATTTCAAGGAAATGACACACACACACCTTCTTGCTTGACCTTTGACTACCAGCCATGAAAGTGAAGGGAATATGCAAGTGAGTGAGAATGTTGTGAGCTGCAAGGGACTTAGAAAGTTGTGGGCTGCAAGGAAGTGGAAACGACGCCAGCAACATATATATGACAGTCAAAAAGCCATCAATCTTCAGATCAGTTCAAAAGCAGTCAATTTTCAGATCACAACATATTTAATCATGACATCAGATATTGCTAATATATTATATCACGTAGGGGAGGGCCCGCTCGACTTCGGGAATCGATATCTGACGCCCTGATCAAACGATAGAGCCTTGTCGATCGATTGTGACCTGCGGCGTTTGTGTCTCCGTTCGAACCAGGCACGGCTGACGCCAAGTGTACGAAATTTACAGAACGCCCTGCCACATCGTCACAGCTACGGCGCGACTGTTAGAATTGCTAGCGAGAAGGAGTCATTAACTGCACTTGGGCGCGATGAGCCCCTGGATGATCGGGTCTTTCGTATGCCTGTACTGCAAACGTTGGTCATAAATCAGGTCCATGCGCGAGTGATGACAACAATTTTGAAACATATCATCCCCAGGAACGCGTCCCGAACCTATCGGATTGAACCTGAAGGCCTGATTGAACGCGGCTAACAATATTTCACCCCAGTATCTTGCCAACGAAGCTTGATGCCGCGTTCTCATGATTCATCATAGTCTGATGGGAGAAAACATCAAATCTCCAAGAACACGTACGCGTTAACGAAATTACCTTCATTAAGCGCCGATTAAGTTGACTTCTCAGATCTCAGATGCCGACTTGCTGTGAAGCTCTAGGCTCCAGGCTCAGCGGTAGTACCTGGCGCGAGTATGACAGAGCACGTGCGAATCTCCGCTCTCCGTTACTATCAATCGATTTTCTTATAGCGCCTTGCTTTACAAAACGTCAGTCGACTTGAAATTACACCTGTAATTGGCATCACCACGATCGAGAAGTATTTGTTTGATGTGCTTTTTCTGCGTCTCCGTATCGACGGGGGGAATGGGTTTTACTTCAGGGGCAGATGCGTCCTTGGATGGTGCAGGAATCGTATGGGTATCAGGGTAGACAGATGAGCCTGAGGTAGTCGTTCTCGTAGTGCAGCCACGCGGCGGATGGCGTTGTTGATCGATTGCGTTTGAGTCTCCGTTCGAACCAGGCACGGCTGACGCCGAGCGTGCGAAATTTACAGAACGCCCTGCCACGTCGTCACAGTCAACTCCGAATATGCAATTTGTACCTCACTCTGTCATGTAAGAACGCGTGAATACCTTCTTGTAGCATGTACTAATCCGCGAATAGCACCAATAGTATCCCCGATACCTGTAGCGGGCGTTTCAGGCAAAAACCATGTCATAGTGACAGCGCAATCAAGTAAAAGACAGCTTGTCCGACCTCACCAAGTCGGACGATGAGGTAAGACGTTCAATCCCTCGACGACCCTTTCTCTAACGCCTAAAAATGTAGATTATATCCGAGGCATAGGCTCTAGCTCTGAGCCCTTGAAACCATCTCCTGCGTTTACGTTGAAGAGCGAAATCAGACATTCCACAAATCTTCTCGTTGCTGAGATCGTCGTAGACTCAAAACTCTATCCGGCGCGCTACAAAGTTCTTATTACACCTCGTCCACGAGACAAGCGAAGTTCGCCTCCCTCGAAACCACCCGCGAGAACGACGTGAAACTGGTTTCAAGTTCAAGTGCAACCGACCCGCCCATCAGTTCAAGCGTATACATCATTCCTGCTTCGCCACTGCCCTCATCACAAGGCCTTGGGTGGTGCGCGTCACCAAGAAGCCTTTCTCAACTTCATCGCTCTCTCATGGAGTTTACCCATTCATTTTATGTACAAGGACTTCGTAGTGGTATGTGAATACACACCCGAAATACTTTTCATCACTAAGTCCCTTGTCCAGCTCTTCGGCTGGGATCTAAAATCGTTGCAGCTCACTACGTGGTCGTGCGCTCTTTCGGGCAGGTCAACATCAAAATGCCACGAGATGGGAAAGGAATATGGGGCGCGTGCATGGGTGGACAAAGGGTTACTGTGCACAAGGACGAGTAACAGCAGATCGTGTCCTCGACCGCTATTTTTCTGCACCGAGCGACAATGAAGGTAGCAATTCGAGAGGTGGGTCTGTTGAGGCACAGAATACCCCGCGATTCAGACCAGAACTGATATCGCGCACTTCAAGCGAACAATCACATCCTCGTACGGCGTTCAACATCGGCCTTAACCACAGCAACGTCCACCCAGACCTCATCGCGCAGTACCATGTTTTTCCCTGCCCACGCGCTGAACGACATTCCTTCAGACAGGTAGATCCCAGAAGCTGATATGCCCTCCCCCATTTGTTCAAGTCCGGACGTGCCTTTGCGCTCCCTGTCCCGAGATCCTATACTTATGGAACCAGAGCCTCGATCTCCTAGGGCGCCGTTATTCGGTCCCTGCTTCGGACTCTCATACCCAACGAACGGTACGTCAGAGAGCTTCGGGTACAGAAAGCATGTCCTCTACGAGGACGTCGGAACTAAAGCGAGCTACTTAGTCCTCTGGAGCGCCATTTCTGAGGTGGCGAGCGTACGTGAGCAGAGTACGCCTAGTAACCGGCGCATGAGACCGGGTGCAGAAGAAGCAGTAGACGAGGTGCGTTTTGCTCAATAAAACTCATTTATCGCATTCGTGCTGATCGTGTTGCAGGCTTGCTTCGTACATGTTTCTATGCTAGCACCGCGTTCATCTAGAGAACAGATTCGGCTGCAGAAAATACTGTCTGCCAGATCAGTAGCTAGATCACCAGCACCAGAATCAACCGGTCCCATCATCTAATACCGTCAACATCACGATCCAATCGCCCCTGAGTAACCTCTCTTCTCAGTCTGTTGAGCACTGACAAACGCGGCACAACTCTAGTCACGTCCCGCATCTAACGTGTCGCAAGTAACGCCATCTGGGCAGCGCCCGTACTTCAGCCCTGCAGACGCTAATCGTCCATTACCACCGCCGCCATCGTCGTATTCCCTATCACCAGTACGCACGACGCCATCGATTTCGGTGCCATCATGATCGAGTGGAACGTGCATGATCCATCTGGTCAGGAAGCAGCGGCAGGAATGTGGGACAGCCATATTAGGTTGGTTTTGGTTCTCTCGTGGATTCTGGATGCGCTAACGATAATGGTACAAGTTGGGTGGAGGTAAATCTTTCGAGATTTGCTAATGGACAAACGTTCTAACTTTTCCTCGTTAGCTGCGGGAGCAAACATGCAGTATTCACAATGTCCCCCAGGCTCTGTCAATAGCGCCTGTCAAGCTGCTTTCCTTGGGATACATTTGACTTCTGGATCGAGTGCATACCTTGAAGTACAAGGATTAGAAGCCCAAATAACTTACTCTAATTTGATATTTTCGCATAGGGCGCATGGGTCTGGACCGCCGACCACGACCTTGATACTTCCGGCTCCTCTGAAATTTCGATCTTTACTGGTCGCGGGATTCTTTCCGAGTCTCATGGCCCAGTGTGGCTTATTGGCATATGCGCGTGGCTTTTGCGACTCGCCATCACCAAACTGGGACATTGTCGCAATGCTTATCAAAGCAGCTGAACGCACTGGGCTGTACCAGTATAGGCTGGTGAACGCTCAGAACCGCTGTATTGGCCTGGCCCAGACTGAAACGGTTTGAACTGATCTTCCTATCAGGTTCATTATATTTGATGCTGCTCAAGTCATATTACCAACCCTCTCCGGCTGCTCCAGCGCCTTATAGCACTGCCTCGACCTACAATGACCCTACATTTTCGAGTTCGATCAGCATTGGCCGCCCTGGGGAATGTACATTCAGTCTTCGAACGACGTCGTCATATTTGGTATTTATTCTGTCTGTTCTTGCACGCTTTTAATAATCACACATACAGGAGCAGGCTTCTATAGTTTCTCCAGGTGAGTGGACTGCGCTATCCGATCTTTCGTTGCTTATCCGGATCAATTATCCGTTCAGAACTATAGCCAGGACGGTTTGACCACTAACGCTTGCCAAGCGCAAATTTTCAACGTCGATTCCGTGTCAAACGTCATTGGATACAGTGCGTCAACCATAGGTACTATGTACAAGCTCAGCGTATCGCAAGATGGGTCGGCCGCTCCAGCAATAATGCCGATGGGTTCCAAGAGACTTTCACAGCTTGGAGCGAGTAGAAAGGACCAATTGAATTCTGCAGTGCTAAATTTGAATACATCATACGAGAAGTCTGTGGTTCCAGTAATACAAGTCCCTACGCGAGAGAATACGAATTCATAACTACAAAAAAATTGAGTAGACAATTTGCATGCGCGTGGCATACGACGGCAAATAAGGAAATCCTTCAGCTTTTTCGCTTATGTAGCAGCTCCTTTCGCAAATTTGTTGAGCATACGTCATGTAAATAGTAGGCATGGACGCTGTAATTCACTTCCAGGTCTCTTCATCGGTGATCCAGGAGGCATTCTTCACAGGGTATCAAAGACCGCATTCGGAACGTCAACAGCAAGCATCGGCAATCCATTTTGCACTGCCGTTTTAAGATGCCCGGCCTTTTCATACGCTGAACAAACGTTAGTCGACTTGAAATTACACGTGTAATTGGCATTACCGCGATCGAGAAGGATTTGTTTGATGTGCTTTTTCTGCTTCTTCGTATCGACGGGGGGAATGGGTTTTACTTCAGGGGCAGATGCGTCCTTGGATGGTGCAGGAATCGTATGGGTATCAGGGTAGACAGATGAGCCTGAGGTAGCCAAGTCTACGCGTTTCTGCTCAGCAATCTGGCGTTGAAGCCAGCCGACAAGATATTGGCGTGAAACTGCACTTCGATCAGCCTCGAAAGATAGAAAAGTTCAAAAAATCCAAGCCTTCATAAACTGCGCCCTTCAAGATGCTTTTTACTTTGAAAGCGGCCTGCTCCCGGCGCACGGTGTGCGTCGAGGATAGATAGCAAATCTTATGCCAGATATCAGTGTAGATGTTTTAGGTAATTCTGGTTTTGAACTTACAATATTCCTTCGCGTGAGCATGAGTCGACGTGACTTTCATGTTCATATGAAAGGACGTAAATGTCGCACCTCCGAGGGCTCCAGAAACCGAATGACCGCTGTTCCTTAACGAGTGCTTTGACAGAGGTACTCTGGAAGGCCCTCAAGGCCATTGCGATCTTCTCGAGAGCGATTCGTACGGCGAATGCACTGATAGGATCCATCCTAGGTTTCGGATTGGATTGTCGTGTCGATTATAGATGTCAGGTAACATCAATTTTAACCTTGGATTCCATACCGTCCGGCTGAGGCGAGAACATCCAGCCGCCTAGTTCGTACGTCCACTTCGATACGCACTCCATCCTTGAAATGCATGCGTTGAGCGCCCCACATCAACGGATGGAAGAAGAGGGGAGCCGAGAAGCCCGCAGATGTGGCGAATTAAATCGTTTGCTTGATTTCCTCTACAGCAAGCTTCATGACCGTAACAAGGGCGTGGTGATGATGTCAAGAACCGCTGCTTTTGTAGCCTTTGGATGTCCTGGGGCGGGGCTGTGGATAGAATCCTCGTTGAAAACACATTTTGAAGAGGCTTGGAGAGACTCACTTTGGCCGATAGATATTCGTGATATGGAATCGCTTAATTCTTCGCAGGCCGGCTCGTGGAGCCAACCAAGCGAAAGGTACTAGCTCGTTGTTTGGCAAGCAAACCATTTCTCCGTGACGATCAATGAGGGTAGCATGATTCTGGCTTTCTTCAGGATTGGATGACGGTAGTAGAAGCGGAGGTTCCATGTCAACTGCGCCACGAAGTCGGAAGATGGCTGCGATTCGGTCCTCAACGATGTCGTACAAATAGTTTCAAGCCTGATTTACAGGCTGGTTAAACAAGGCAGACAACGCGCCCTGGTGGTACGGAGAGTCTGGTTTAGCTGGCGCCGTGATCGTCAGGAGGAAGATGCTGCTTGCTAGGGAAGATCCGTACCTGAGTAGTTTCTTGAGCAATTTGGGTAGCGGGTCCTATATAAATAATAAGACGGGTAACTTACGGCAGCCAGGACATCAGTATGGTAAAGTTCGCAATCTTTTCTTCGTACAACATTTCTATCAGCCTATCTTTTTATTCAGGCGTTTATAGGCATACGGACGTCCACAACGCTTAGAGGCATGCCGCCCGATGCGTACTCAAACCACGTCAGTTCCAGTCTCAGCATTTCTTGAACAGTGCGTACATCTTGTGAAGGCGCTTGACGTTATAGCCAACTGTTTTCAGGGATTGGATTCTGGGACTACGTGGAACATGCACTCGCGAATCCTATTCACTCGATGTAGGCGCCGTCTCTGTAGGGTGACATCCACTCAATTGTTTCAAACTAGGTGTGGGACGATATCTCCGGTACTCGCATCACCTTTGACGCGTCTGAAATGCCGGAGTCGAGCGAAATGGCTCGAAGGACAGAAAACCTGAACCTCCAACATGCGCTGCTAATAAAGCTTTTGGATACACCGAGAGTCCAGGTAATTCAAAGCGTCAAAGTTGAATCGATACAATGTGAAGCAGTTGACCGTAATGACTGGCCCCTCGTGCACCTTTCCAACGATGCCACCCTACACGCAAGACTGCTAGCCGGCGCCGATACCTTTTAGAGACTGTGTCATAAGCACAGCGAACACCTGCATTGGCGTCGAGCTCTGTGAAGAGCTTTTTTACGCCAGCAAGGTATTTGTCTTCATCTTCCTCGAGCACGTCCATTCATACTCGCACTCTCGAAGGCTGCATATTTTAATTGGACTCGACGCCGTCGAAATATTCACTAATTCCAGTGGGAGCCATCATGAGTTACGAAAACTTTACACCTGCGCTGAGCTAATAAAGGAAGCAACGCTCAAGGTAACAGGCGTGCCCCAGTATGGATTCTGCCAGCTAACTCGCCTCCCAGCTTGGTGGCGTCTATCTTTATGCCAATCAAAAAAGGCTGCGACGGTGATCGGCTGTATTATGATGGTTGTGCCATGATCGCTATGAATGGCCACATCGTCGCTCAAGGTTCCACACAGTTCTCCTTGGACGATGTTGAAGTCGTCACAGCTACGATCGATATCGAGGACGTGCGCTCACATCGCACATCCCGCAGCCGCGCGTTCCAGGCTGCCCGTTCTGAGGCTTTTCATCGGATTGAAGTGCCATTTGCACTTTCAAGTGGAAAGTTTGGCGATACAGATGGGGCGATGGCCCTGGGTATCCGGGCCAAGCTTTCTGGGGCAAGGTTTCATGCTCCAGAGGAACGGATAGCGTAGGCCTATTATCTGTGGGTAAATCCAAATACTAATGATCTCTACAGACTTGGTCCAGCTTGCTGGCTCTGGGACTACCTCAGGCGCTCCCGTATACGGGGATACGTGTCCTTCTCAGCGGAGGTATTTATTCCTGCGCTACAGCTGTGATAGTATATTCCATGTGCCACCTCGTGGCTGAAGCTGCACGCAAGGGAGGTACTGTTATTCATCTGCTAGATTTGGTGTTTTGGCTAACGTGATCGCTTCAATCAGACAGGCAAGTCATTCTTGATGCAAGACGAATGGTCGGAGAGCCGGAAGACTCGGTTTATACACCTTTGGACCTGCATGAGTTCTGCATCAAGATCTTCCACACGCGTTACATGGGCGCCAAGAACTCTAGCGCAGAAACGAGAAAGAGGGCCAAGGACCTCTCAGAAGGTATGCGTACACTTCAGTCCTCGAGACGCTCGACTAAAAATAAATCCAGTTACCGTATAGACTTGAACATGGACTCGGACGCCCTTGTCACCTCTGTCCGTGACCTGTTCGCGTTCGTTACTGGTATGCGACCTCAGTTCAGAGCCCATGGCGGATCCGGTGCGGAGAATTTGGCACTACAGAACATCCGTATGTTGACCGGCCGGAATAGTGACAATTGACTGACTTAGGGTTCAGTCTCCGCGGCTATTTCACAAAATACGTCGTTCAGCAGGTCAGCCTATCTCGAAAGAAATGCCAACTGAACTAACATTAATACCAGCTGATATCAATCCTATTGGGGGCATCAGTAAGACTGATCTCAAGAAGTTCATTGCCTACGCTCGGGATGCGTTTGAAATTACTATCTTGAACGAGTTAGTACAGCAGGGTTATTAGGATCGGCGCTTTTCCCTGATATTCTGCAGTTTTTTGACCGCTATACCTACCGCTGAGCTAGAGCCAATTTCAGAGGCGTATGTCCAAGCGGATGAGGTGAATATTCACTCGAAAGTGTTCTCTCAATGGTGCTGATCGCTCAATAGGTGGACGTGGGCGTGAGGTATGATGAACTATCAGTCTTTGGTCGTTTCCGCAAAGTGGAGAAGCGTGGACCATACGGCATGTTCACGAAGCTGGTGCGCGAGTGGGGCTCAATCCCGTCTCCCGTTCAAGTCAGTGCGAGTCAAGCATAACGGAGCGAACGCACCCTCCGGAATTGCTGATCCTGAAGCAACCAGGCTTGATCCCTCCAACAGTGGCAGGCCCGATTATCAACATGCCCTTCTCCTTTGCCTTTCACAGAATCTCCCTCGCCTGGTGTTCTGGCACGCCTTCGGTGATCGACGCGATGGCCTTGATACTCTCATACCCCAAACGCTTCATCGTACTGCTATAAACACTACTCGACGCAAAGTTAACGACGACATTGACGTAGGGGCGCTTCTTCACGGCCTCTTCAGAGGTGTATACGGGAAGAAGGGTCTCGCATGTACCCCAGTAGAATTTCTGGACGTGGTGTCCACTATAGGGGTAAATCATAGCGGCCACAGGGGCGCGCGCGCGTTTACAGCTGTAATCAAAGTCCAACATGCCCTGGATGGCCATAGACAAAGCTGCGGGTTACTTCGTCAAGGAGTCTGTATGCGGGCCTGGAGCCTTTGGTGATCGAGCGAATCGAAGCAGACGACGACGTCATTGGGCCGGGTGCGTTCGCCCTCTGCGTGAATGGTTCCGACGTCGTTGGCCCCGTGCTCGGGGGTTGCGGGTGAGATCTTGGGGGAGCCAGGTGCGGTGGCGAGGACACTTGTGGGTGCTTTCATGCTTGTTGTGGATTTGAGACTGAGGGCGAGGGGCATGATTTTAGTGATGTGGGTGCCAGGGCCGAAGACGTGGATGGGGACACCGAGGGACTCGCCTGTGTGTTAGTGTCACTGTCAATTTATACATGGGATGGACTCACCGAGCAGACACATGACTTTGAGACCTTCTTGCCAGTTGGGAACTGGCTTTGTGTGCGATGAGTTGAGTTTTGTAGGATGTGAGTGCGCGAATGATGCCTCCTGAGGTTGCAGCTACATTGGTAAAATTTGCAATACCACCACCAACGATGAAGATCTTGCCATCAGGGCAGGGAGGTGGGCGCGTGAGCAGGTCGACTAGATGTGGATTAGTGAGATGTAATGGAAGTGATGAGATACATACGAATTGTCATATTCAAACGTCTGACCCTCGCTTGGGGCACCAGAGTACTCACCATAGTTAGCGAGTTTGTGTGCAAAATCTGCTGCTGCGATAGAGTCGCTGTGGACAATAGATGCACCTCCACCTGCAACCATTGTCCAGACATGACCGATGGGTTTGAAGGTGGTGAGCTTGAGAGAAGCACCGGTTGAAGCATTAATGTATACACTGTAGATAGTAGTTCCAGTGAAATTCATTGGGCGAAATCATTTAATAATGGTCTGAAACTCAGAGCATTATGTACTGAAATTAGGGTGCTGAAATTGTGGTTTTTACTCTGAAAGCACACTCTGAAATGATGCGCTGAATTTCTAGAAGGAGACGGCAAAAATGAGACTACCCAATAGTGCCATCACATCCGTTCACATTGATAATGACCATTTGTCAATTGGCAGGAATTGAACCAAAGGCTTTGGTCAATTTTAGGTACAGCATTGCTACTGCTAAGCCATGAGGCCATATATATATATACCAACAATAATACTAATATATCAAAAAGCAATATTATATAAAAATGCGAAATTCCATCAAGTCATCTCTTTCAATTATCACTATACAATACCACTACTCCATTTACTTATTACTACACTATATAGCTTAACATCATAATAGAATGATATACAACTTTATCTAATATATTTACTATTTCACTTGGAGTCATGTAAGTGTATGTATAAAATGCAATATTTGTAAGCACAATTGGGCAGATTGATCGATACTTTGACTCACCAGTACCTAGTGCTAGTTCAGAACTCCTTGGTGCTGAATCCTGATTCAGTGGATTTTCCACTGAACATCAGAATCAGCACTCCAATGAAATTAACTGCATGTGGTTTCAGTAAATATTTCACTGAAATTCAGAATCAGCGCTCTAATGAAATTAACTGCATGCAATTTCAGTGGAATTTACTCTGAAACATTCAGCATCAGCACATTTTGCAGTGATTTTCATTGAAACTACTATCTACAGTGTGTGTTATGTAAAATGAGTACAATGCAATGATGATCGTCAGAGTGCACACCTTTGTCCTTTGTGAGATCTCTCCCAAATGGGCTGTGGGTGCCACAACCAGTGTTCACCTTTGAACCAGTGGTAAATGCAGCTGGAGCAGCTGTGTAGACTGTCAAGTCTTGTGCAACAGCCCATTTTGGACTGCATATGTATGCTGCTGAATCTGCACAGATATTATTTGTGCTCCTCCGAAATAAAAGTGTGCCCCCCTGAAATTGAATTTGTGTGATCCTGGTCATCATCTACAACAAACCAAACTAGCATGAGTTATGGGCATCCATCATAATACCTTGCACTCCTACTTGAAGCAGAACAATGTTAGCTATAAGTATAGCCTGATCTCAGATGCAGACCTGGATCAAGCTGTGTGAGAATTTGGTCAGATGAAGCCAAATTCTGGGGTTCGCTATTTTACTGGCCATTTGCGACAGTTGGGCTTGCAGATACAGCAACAACAGGTTATTTCCTCTATCCACCATGTTGATCCTTTGGGAACTGTCCTCTGCCAATGCACTATGATTCAACGGCGGCAGTACAATGTCGGAAAATTCTAATTTTGGTTGAAATATATTAAAAGGGCATGGAAGGCCTCAATTTAGCAGCGGCATTGCGGTCCAGTTGCAAGACAACCCAAAAATCATGGAAGTTGCTTGGAAGCCTCAGGGGTGGTCTTCCAAGACCGTCCCAAGGCCATTCCAATGCAAGGGTCAAATTTTGAGACAGCCCAAGTCTCAATTGCAAGACAATTGAAAGTCATCTAATTCCATTTCAAGGATACAAAGTTCATTGGGTCCATTGTAAGGCAATTTAAATGTGTCAAATTGAAATCCATCAAAATACAGTGGTTACAAAAGTTGATTTTCTAGATACGTATCACTAATACCACTACAAATATGCCTTTGACGAGGTGCTTTCATGCAGAATGAGTCGATGGGACAGACAAACACTCAGAGGGTGCCCTGAGTCAAAGCAAAAAGTAATACCCCCTGCAGCCAGAGAATGTCAATGGAGTTTGACTAATATGTGCAGATACGCACATTATGATGGTGGGATGGTGGCACTAATTCAACGGTCCAGGAATGAGAGTCCAGTGTCCACAAGTGGCTGCGGCAGTGTCTTGGTGGTATGCTCAAGGAGAAGTTTGCGGTTATGGTGGTGGTAGACATTGTCGAGGGGGAAAATGAAGGAGAATCATTTGATGGTAAGCAACTGCCTGCCTCAACGAGTCGACAATGATGATGGTCTTGATGTGCTGAGGATTGTTGATGGGAGTGATGGTCGAATATTTAATGCCTAATGTTGTTGGCACATTGGTGTGGTGGGTTCTGGCTGGCAGTGATGGCCATTGACAACAGTGACTGTTAATTGAAAAAAAATGAAGCTATTAGTGACAGTATCGGACTGTTATTAATAAGACTTACCTGCATCTGGTCCAGAGTCTGTCAATGAGTCTATCAATGAGAGCCAACCATATGATGTTGGTGCTGAGGAGAGAATCTAAGGGAAGTCCAAGGCAGATTCAGACTGTCACTAAGACAGAATCTGCTGTCAATGGTGGTACTCACCAACTGCTTCGGGAAGCGTTTTACTAGTGCATGTGAGTTTGGCATCCCATTCTTTTTCTGCGTGTTCAATGAGGTCAAGGATGGTGTGGTTAAGGATGATAAGGTCTGTTGAAAGAAGTTAGAAGTTGAAGGGAAGATGAAGTTCAACCTTTGTTTGGCCTTGCATCGTCTTTCCATAATAGGAAACAACTTGCGATTTGAATCAAAGTCTAATGCATGACAGCAAATTCTATAAGAACTATTAACTAAGTAGAGTCTGAGAGCGACAAGCAAAAGAACTGAAAGTTGCCAGCATTGGCAACCAAGTCTCAAATCTTTTGAGGCCTGGCTGCTGGTGGACGAGCATGACAGAAATGCCCTTGAAAAAAAGGTAATGATAAGGCAAATCAATGCATTGAAAACAATGTAGGTGGAATGACCATGATGTCAGATGAGCATACTATTTGGCCTTTCGGCCAGACCTTCGTGTAGTCTGAGTGTTGATGCTCCCAACAACTGAAAGAGTGGAATCCACAGTGAAACCTTCGCCAATGACAAGATTATCAGCTGTCTGGGCTTTGCGTCGGGGCTTTGGTTTTGGTTTTGGTTTGGGGCATGCATTGTCAATTTCCATGGGACCTAAATGTTCAATTTCAACATGGGCATCTTGAGGCCCCAGATTAAGGCCCCCATCATGGTAGATATAGACTCTGAAGGAGCTGGAACAGGTGGGGCTACAATAGTGGGAGCTGTGGGAGGATAATTTGGGATGAGCCTCATCTTCAGAGTCTGAAAGTAGTGAATCGTGTGGGATATGAATGGTCCATGGGTTTGGTAATAGCAGACCAACGACATCTGCATTGAAGACCAGGCCTTTGAGCTCCTGTTCCATGGCACGCTCGAACTCTTCTTCATATATGTGGCCTGGTTCATTGTCATTGGCAGGAGGAGGGACAGAGGATGAAGTTGAGAAGAGAGCGTTGTTGAAGAATAAGAAAACCTGATGTGCCCAGGAGCCTCCAGTCAGTAGGCATTGACGGAAGAAGTTGTGGTATTTGCGATATGGTATCTTAGTAGTCTCCCCAATCTCAGTCAGTTCTGCGTCACCGGAAAGTAGGGATATTGCCTGATATTTGAGAATAATGAGTTGTAGTTGTAACGATAACTCAAAAATAACTTACTTTGTCCTCGAAGATGCAGCACCTGTGGCAGCCAGTGATGATTTGCCGAAGAGCGATACTTTCAACACCTACCATTTGAGGGTTTATTAGCCTGTACAACAGGAAAAGGAGGAACAACGTACTTGCACCAGCTTCACTGATTTGAGCATCTCACTTGGTACCAGCTTTTTGGATGTAGGAAAGAACACTGGCACAAATTTCATATAGTCACCATGGGGACTCAGTAAAAGCGCACGACATCCAGGGTCTTTGTGTCGTTTGTAGCCCCATATGAAGATGTTCACGCTCAGACTGAAGATGGCACCAGCACACACCTTGACATCTGAAGCCATTTCGGAATGAGCATTACTGACGCCCCTCCCGAACTAAGGAGATTCAGATCAGAACATGAGAATACATTGACAGGACAGGCACAACATACCTGAGAGCCGAAACTCTGATAATTCATCAATTCATGCTCTTCTGGGGGAATGAACTGGAATAGTTCAGCCTTTACACCATCCTCCATCGACACTCCGCTTATCCAGCATTCCTTGCTGTTAAGATTGATGTCTGGACAAGTACACAATGGGAAGATCTTGACGTTAACCCAAAGGCAATGTGTGATGGAGTACTTCCTCCCAAGAGTTCGGATGGTGTCTTCTTTGGTGATCCACGTGTGGTATCATCATGGATCCCTGCCAAGATAGGGCCGTGTCATAAGAAACGCATAATGAGTACACATGTCAGTGACTGTTCAATGTCATTATTATCATGACAAACCTATTGTTACACCGGTGACCTTGTTAGTGAGCAGTAAGACCCTTCAATTTCATAAAGCTTACCATTATTTGATGTGTATCATGTCAATGAGTCTTCAGAAGACAATAAATGCGGAAGTTGATGATGTTGACCTGATTGCTGATGCCCAGTTGCAAGATCCCTCAGAATTCTGCAAGAAGCACGTGATGGCGCTGTTAAGGCACACAAGTACGATTCTGTTGTGACGTGTGCGATAATTGTTGGAGAACTTGAATAGCGGACAGGAGGCAAGGTTCCCTATACATGGCAGCTAGAAGTGTCTGAGGCACTTCTGTTAGGTCTCGACTGTTCAGTCATTGCTGGTACCGGCACTGGCAAGACAATGCCTTTCGTGCTCCCATTACTTGCACAACCAAACAAACATGTACTCATCATATCCCCACTTGATGCTCTTGAGGCAGACCAGGCCGAAAAATTCCGAGACATAAATCTTATGGCTGTAGCAGTGAATGGCAACTTGTACAATCAACATCTACATCAAGTATGGTCACTCACAGCAGCAGGCAACATAGCATCAGCAGGGAGGACTCATACTGTAGCTGCACAACCACTCATAAAGTGGCTCTTATTGTGCAAGCACTGGGAAAACACACACATCGGTATGTTGACATTGTCATGTGAGATTACCCATGGCAAGCACTGAATATCTTCCCTGACCTCCTCCATAGCACGGCTCAACAATGAACCATATGCATTGGCTGCCCACTTATGGCTCATTACAATGCCAAGTCCATGAAGGGCATCAAAGGCATGCGCCGATAACTCACATGCTTTCAAGTAAATTGCCCATAGCTTTGTCATGCGTCCCCAATAATGTGATCGTGTATATTGCGCCTGCGATATTAAGTGCAAGATTACCTGTAACACATATTAATGTCTTTGCATTTCAGAGTATTAAAGAGAAGCACCATTGCTGGACTCTTGTGTGTGTTATGTGCTGAAAAAGAAGTCAAACCCGGCGATTTAACTCTGTTTTGTCTGGCGTGTCCCCAGCCAGGCATTAACGTCACTTTGCCTGTCGGCGAATGTATGCCATATCCAACATGATTCAGACAGATGAACATGAATTATCGAGGCATTAAAAATCAACGCCAATGGACTCCGCTGTGTGTTGACATTTTACGATGTCAATTGTCAGTACCACAAGCATCTAAAGGACCGCATCACTGAGAGTCCAATCCTGGAGATCTCTAAAGAACTGAATATTATCCCCGGCATTGGACTGTGGCATGTCCATGGCCATCAAGACAGTTGCTTTGTGAGATATGCATCAAATTTCATCGAGGGCGCTGGGTGGATTGATGGTGAAATCATGGAGACATTATGGGTGCCATTGAATATTATCTTGCTGGCCACCCGTGGAATGGGAACTCCGCACCGCAAGGAATGCTTGGACTATCAAATGAATGATTGCAATTTCATGAAAATGATCAGAATGAGTGCATTCTCCTTCCTATATATTGGAACAACTCATAATAGGCCATGCAGGCAAGTCGCTGTGCAAGAAGTACAACAAGGTGGTCAGGGGGACTGCCGACAGTAAACTGGTGTTTGAAAAGCTTGATGAGACCGCTGTAGGGATACATTTCTGGCTGGGCTTGTAGAGACTGTTTTACCTATAGTTATGTTTGCACCTTAGCTTACATAATCAAGTTACCTTTTCACCAGTATTACTATGAGTCTGAGAGATCAGCAAGTTTCTATCATATTTCCTCTTCTCTGAGCCTTGAGCCTGGTCCAGAAACCCTTTAGGGTCGAATAGCAGCTAGGTTCTGCAAGACCCAACATTGTTCAGACTCACCATCTGAATTGTTGTACCCTTCACCGCCAATCCTGTGAAAGTCTGGGAATGGGAAGCCCAAGAGAAAGTGGTGCACCAGCAGCACCACTGTGATCCAATGGCAATGGATATTTATGAAGTACAACTACAGAAAGGTATGTGTAATCCATGTATAGCAAGTCTGATCTCATCCAACCACAGTGCCGACGAGAAAGCAGCAGGAAATACGTCTATTAGCGGAACAAGGGCACCGCCAGGTCCTATCCGGCAATGAGGTGTTGCAACATGGCTGGCAGAGGGATTGACAATTGAGGAGGCACAGGTGACATTGCAAACGACTATTAGAACACTCGGTGCTCGGCAGACAGACACAGAGTCATCAGCTTCAACCTCTATAAGAGATGATGGACCGGCCTCGCAGCATAGAAGGGCAAGCGAGGCCCAGACTGGATATCGCTCGGCATTAATCTAAATAAAAATGACCGTCAGTGATTGTCATTTAATCCAAGCAAAGCTACTTACCCCCCACCATCGTATGGTGCTCATCCCAGCTGGTAGAGCTGCTTCAATAGTCTCAATATACCCCAAAAACTCGACCCTCCATGGTTTCAATGGGTCAGCAGTAGATTCACCTATATCTGCCTCACCGTCGTCTTCAGAATCACTTTCTGCCGACCTTGCTTTTGCGAGGTGACAAAATATTTCGATTCAACTCAGAATAGTGCGCCTCGAACTTCAGGATTGTTAGGGCTAAGAAAGTAATTAGTATACAGTGAATGATGTACCACTTTCTCTGCACACGCAAGGACATCATTGAGCAAACTCGATGGCCAGTGCTTTTTGAAGTACACCATTTTCATTGTTGGATCCAGTACTACACTTGCAAATGTCAGAGCGGGCCAACCAACAAAAACATATAATAACAAACACATAGCAACTATATAAGCTGGAGTGTCGTCCTGTCGTAGTACTCGTCTAACTTGTTGGACACTGCCTTGAGTGCATTAGCAAATCAACTATATTTAGATCTTTCCGCTTGTGACATCCATGATCTGTGAAGAGTCTCCAGTGCTGGAATAGCAAGATGAAGGGTTGATCCGTGATCTGAAGAGAAGGCTTGCTGAGCAACATCAGCATACTAAGAGAAACAGGTTAGGCTGACAATCAAAAATCAATTTCACTGAACGCACCAAAAGGAGGTCTGTAAATTGCCCTGCTCGTGTCCATTCCACAGGTGACAGTTGCATACGATCAATTTTGGAGCGTTTGGTTAGATTACATTCTTGGTGACCCATCTCATAGACAAATGTGTCGACATGCTATGATGCACAACTAAAAACAAAAAATTTGGATGAAATAACCAGAAAAACACACCCTCTTGTTGTAGCAGCTGTGTTGGCGAAGACACACCAGCCTTGGTTTGAATGGTCTTGTATATTTCTTTCCGCTTGGCGGATGAACGTTCCTGAATGTGGAAATTCGTCAACAATATCAGGGATGAGATGGCCATAGTACCTTGACGCAAATACTGCAGATGAGGCCAACCTCATCCTGATCATTCTGAGATGTGTCCAGTTTGTACTTATGAGGGTCTGTGTTCTGAGATTAATGACATGTGCTAGGCAACTATCAAGATAGTCAATGATTCTGCTATTAAAATTAAATGTAAATAGACGTACTTTATCTTGCATGACTGCCATGGGAATTCCTTCCTGTACCTCGTCTCATACAGCTGTGAAAACTCTTGTAGCATAGTGCTATTGTTGCTCGCATTGTCGCACGTAACATGCCCAAGCTTATGAGCAATACCAACTCGATCCAGTACCTTGAATAAGGCACCGCCCAAGCGCTTGCCATTGTGCGGATACAATGGGATGCGCCATCTCCATTCTTTGGTGACGCTCTAGGTGAGATTGCAAAATCAGAACAACATTTTTAGGATCACGCTAAAACTCAACAGATGAACTCAATGTGATAGCAGAGGGAACTGGTTGAATGTGTGGCCAAAGCTGCGGTCAAGAAGTGAAAGGAAGGAATGCCAAGTAGCAGTAGTACTAGTACTGAGGAATTGGTAAAAGCATAAAGCACAAAGTAGATGATCAGGCTGACTGAATTATCAAGAGCATAAAAGCATCGCTATTTGATCACTGCCAAACTTCTCAATGAAAGTATTCATTTGTGGCCCAGCCGTTACACCCCTCCTTCCACTTATCAAAGCCCTTATCCATGTGGAAAATAAATGAGGCACTCCTACCCTCATAGTGCATGTTAAAGTGAGTTTCCAACACCAATCCCTGCTCAAACATAACCAAAGCCCCTCCTGTGAATGTCCACATTTTTCTATTAAGTATTGATGTGCTTATCTATCAAGTCAGCAATACCATAAATAGCCTGATAATACAGCTGCATCTTTCCAAGAAGAGGAGGGGGGAGATACCATGATGGTGGTCTTTGAGTGCAATGGTGAGGTACTGTATAATTTCGACCTTAGGTTCGTGGGAAATTCACTCCCACATTATGTAATCATTTGTAGCATGTTCGTTGGCTGTTGTGACGTGTGACACAACCTAAAATAGGTTCGTTGAGTTGTCGACCACGGCGGCGTTGGCTCCAGCGATGCCTCTAGATTTGCAAGGATTTGCACTAGTTCTGTGTTGGCTTGAAGTCTGCCATTCAGGTTGGCAATACTCAGCTCGATTTTGGCTCATTTATAGGTGTGTGTCGCACAGTTTGTGTCTTAGCTACCAATTACTCATGTTTTCTCACAGCAATCCAGCTTCAGATGGTGAACCCATTCCATTGGGAAGGGACAAGCGCAGACATGTCGCAAACAAACAATATGGTGCATTTGAGGAGCATTAGCATGTACTAGTACAGTAATATGTCTTGAAATTGCGTGAATACAAAGTGTCACACATTTAGGTTCGTCAGCTGAATTTGCATGTGACTGTCATAAGTCCCGAGTCCCGAAGCCCGAAGTCCCGACACCTGGAGTCCCGAAACCCGGAAATCAAAACTTGGGACTTGACATTTCATATGGGACATCTTTCAAAAATGTTTAAATCAACCTTTCATCTGTCCATACACATTTTACCAACTCCCGAACCTCGAAATTGTGGACTGCCGGGTTTTGGGGTTCGGGGGTCCCGGAACTCGGAACTCGGAACTTAGGAAATTTGGGGAGATCAATAAAATATACTTTACAATCGAGTTGATTGACAGACACATTGACTTACCCGTGTATGAAATATATTTTTGTCTCACATACCGAGTTCCGAGTTCCGGGACCCCCGAACCCCAAAACCCGACACCCAGCAGTCCACAATTTCGGGTTTCGGGGGTTGGTAAATCCTGGTTTGGGGTTTTGCACTGAAAATTTGACATTTATATGTATCTAGGCTCACCCATATATGTACCCATCTACGTACAATTCCCCCACGTCAGCCCACCCATCTATGTATTATCCCCCACGTTGGCCCACCCGTCTATATAATACATACTACGTCGGCCCACCTGTCTATATAATTATACCCCACCTCGGCCCACCTGTCTATGTAATAAATATTTTATCACACCCTCAGCCCACCCGTCTATTTGATATCCCTTTCGTCAGCCCACCCGTATATGTAATACTTTTTATGTCCGCCCACCTGTATATGTAATACACCCCGCGTCAGCCCACCCATCTATGTAATATTCCCCTACCTCGGCCCACCCATCTATGTAATACACCCCCGTCGGCCCACCCGTCTATATAACAATATTTGCCTTACATCTCTCTTCAGCCCAGCTGTCTATAATATCCTACTCTACATATTACCCTGATGGGCCCACCCATCTCCATGAATGATCATATTCCCCCGGCCCATCCGTCAACATCAAGGATATATATATCATTGGCATACATGGGCCCACCCGTCTCCATCGGAAATAATATGTGTCCCGGCCCATCCGTCATCATCGAGAATATACACAACATGGGCCCATAATCCGCTGGCCCGTCTCATACGGGATATTATGTAGGTCGGGTGGCCCGTATAATACGGAATTTGTCACTGAAGGGGCTCCATCATAGCGTGGCCGCTGCGCTAGCCGGTCCATCTATTCCTTATAATGTCTTTATTGTGAGTCGCCTGTTAACTTTATTCTGAACAAGCAAATTGGCCATTTTGGCAGGAGTATTTGCAACGAGTTACCACACTTTTTCTAACTGTTAATCATTTTAGTGCCACTATGGGCAGTCTCATTTTTACTGACCCCTTATCTTTGTCTTTGTATTATGGTAGTCCCAGAGTAACACTGTGTGAGGATGGCTCGCCCTTTATTTTGACTTTGCTGCAGAGAGCAGGGTAAACATTTTCTTGGCATTCTGAAAAAGCCAATCGGCCATTTTGGCAGGAGTATTTGCCACTGTAGGGAAAAGGTGGATGTTCACTTTAATGGCAGTCCAAGAGTGCCTCTGTGGGGAGGGGTAATTTCTTGTGCTAATTTTTAACCTGTATTGTGGCAGGCCAAGTGTGCCCAGAGTCCCACTGTGTGGGCAGGATATTATTTTTTGCTCACCCCTTATTGTGTACCTTATTTTTCTCAACTGGGTTTGCATTATGGCAGTCTCAGAGTGCCGCTGCAGGCAGGGTAATTTTTTAGGGGTGAGTCATTTATGTGTGAGGTTTTTGTGTGGCAGTCCGACAGTGCTGCTGTGGTTTTTTTTTTTTTTTTTTTTGGAGGGGGGGGGGGGGTTCTTGCCACTTATTTTCATGTTTACATATTATGGCAGTCTTATAGTGCTGCTGTGAGCAGGCTCTTTTTTCGGTTGAGAGGCATGTATTATAGTGTCACTGCAGAAGAGCAGATGACAGCAAGAACAGGCTGCCCACATTGCGGCAGTCCAAGAGTGCTGCCATGGGAGCAAGATCATTTTGACCAACAGAAGTTTACTTATTTTTTTCAACTAGGTTTGCAATCATGGCAGTCTCAGAGTGCCGCTGCAGAGCAGGGTAATTTTTTTGGGCGAGCCACTTATTTGTTGAGTTTTTTTTGTGCTCATCCCCTTATGTTTATGGCAGCAGTCTGAGAGCGCCACTGCGGACATGAAGGCCAAAAGAGGGAGGGTCTAAGAGTGCCACTGGGGGGGGGAACAGTATGAAGGCAGTCTGATTAGTACCACTATATGATAGGTTTTGAGTCACAAAAGTTTACTTTATTTTCTCACTAGATTTACATTGAGGCAGTCTCAGAGTGCCACAGCAGGCAGGGTAATTTTTTTTCCAAGAGTGCCGCAGTGCATGGGGTTCCTTTTTATATATATATATAAGCTGCACTGTCATTGGCTAGTGTGGGGGCAAGCTTAGCAATACAACATTTGGCTTCTTTGGTTTGAGGGTAGCAGTTCAATTTCCTGTTAATTTCCCGACAGTAGAGGTGGATGTTCACTTTAATGGCAGTCCAAGAGTGCCGCTGTGGGGCAGGGGTATTTTTTTGTGCTATTTTTACCCTGTATTGTGGCAGTCCAAGAGTGCTGCTGTGGATAGGGTCGTTGTTTACTGCAGAAGAGGGTTGATATTTGTACACTTATCTTTGTCTTTGTTTTGTCATCATTATGTGGTGATGTCACTGTATCGTGATGTTTTACCCTGCATCATGGCAGTCTCAGAGTGCCACTGTGTAGGCAGGATATTTTTTTTTGCTCGCCCCTTATTGTTTACCTTATTTTTCTCAACTGGGTTTGCATCATGGCAGTCTCAGAGTGCTGCTGCAGGCAGGGTAATTTTTTTTAGGGGCGAGCCACTTATGTGTGAGGTTTTTTGTGTGTTGAGAGGCATGCATGAAGAGAATTAATGTTTTGCCATTTTGTATTATCATGGCAGTCCCAGAGTGCCACTGTGTATGCAGTTTTTTTTTTGAGGGGGAGGGGGTTCTTGCCCCTTATTTTCATTCTTACATATTTATGGTAGTCTTAGAGTGCCGCTGTGAGTAGGGTCTTTGTTTGGGTGCCACTGCAGAAGTGCGTTGAGGGCAGGGCTCCTTTTGGTTAGCAGGGATATGCATTTCATGGTGGCAATTTATGAGAGGGGGGGGAGCATACATGGAGGGTGAAGGGGCATGCCATGGGCGGCAGTCTAAGAGTGCCACTAATGGAGAAGATAAGAAGGAGAGGGCATGCATGGTGGCGGTCTGAGAGTGCCACCATTTTTTTTGCTGGGGGGCCACTGTACAGTGGGGGGGGGGAGGGCTTGCCCATGGTGGCGGTCTGAGAGTGTCACCCAGGGGCATGCATGTTATCATAATTATGAGAGTGTGGGGGGGAGTGAGGGATGTGCCCATGGTGGCGGTCTGAGAGTGCCACCATATATTTTGGCGAGAAGAAGGAGGGGGCATGCAGTGCCACTAGGAAAAGGAGAGGGGCATGCATGTTATCAATCATGGAGGGAGGGCGTGGAGTGCCACCATGTGGCCACTTTAGGGGGACCGTGGGAAAAACCTGGACTGCCGTTTTTGTTGCCTGAAGCTGACCTGGACGTGGTCATAACTACCCCCCCTCAAAGATCGATTTTTCTAGGCTTCCCATGTCTTGCCAGGACTGCAAAAGTATGTTTCCTGGGGGTTATTGATGCGTCTGAAGACGATGGTAAAGCTAGTTTTGTCAGGAAAAATCAGGCTGTTGAGATATGCAAGGTCCCCCTCCCCCCCAAACTCATATATATTGATATTATGTAAATACCGGTATATAAAAGAATGTTCCTACTGTTTTCCATTCATATAAATCGATTGGAAATGGTCCCAGAGTGGTTTGAGCCCATCCTGATCAACATATGCGAGTTTTTATGGTATCCCCCTCAAAGATCGATTTTTCTAGGCTTCCCATGACTTGCTTGTACTCTAGAAGTATTTTTCTGGAGTACTCTTAATGTCCCTGAACAAGATGGTAGAGCCCGATTTGTCAGGAAAAATCAGGTTCTTGAGATACAGAAGGTCCTCCTCCCCCCTCCTACTCCATATATCTGACTACACTCAGGTTTTGCCCAAAGCTGATACTGAAAATGGTGGTTCCAGTGTTTTTAAGGTGTAGAAATCGATTGAAGATGGTCCCAGACTCTCTAGAGGTCGACATTGTTGATGTTTGTTGGAGGGGTGGAAAATTCAGTATTTCGACATTATCTCCAGATCCCAACCGCCGTTTTCTTTCATTCCGAGCTCATATTAATCCTTGGAGATCCTTCTAACATATGTACCAGCCCGAGAAGAGAAAAAAGTTTTGAAAGTTGAAACCTATTTCTGTTTTGACCATATAAATTTCGGTACTCCTGCTGTTCTCCCCTTGTTGCGAAAAGCTCGATGACTGCTGCGTCTGATGGTACGTTAGCTTGATGTTAGCTGGGTCTCGAGGCATGTGAACTCACTGCTTTTCTGCCGCGGAAGCGGAGCGAGCCTTGGAAAGCATCGTTTTGGGAATCGTGTCGATCAGACAAGGTGTCTTCTTCGTTGAGACCGACGCCGTGTTTGACTTCCCGGGTGGTCAAGCTGAGAAAAAAAATAGGAACACGGTGTCCGATGAGCTGTGAGGTGAATGACTTACAGTCCCAAGACAATATTAGCGTAGACTACGATCTGCCATGAGCCTATATGCGAGGTGAGTGGGTGACAAAAACTCACTCCTGGGGGTCACCATCTGGATCGCTATCCAATATGGTTTTCCTGGTGATGCAACAAACTAAACAGATGAGTCATAAATGTATGCTTACGAAGCATCCACGTACCGTGCCAAGATACGCCAGCTGAATGATGCTGACCAATGGAAACATGATTAGGCTATAACAACAGACGCGGAGTAAACCTACGCGAGTCCCAGGCCACGGCCAACAAACAGTACAACGAGGTTTTCAACCACCCCCTCGGGCCTAAAAACAATGCGTCAGCAGTTGCTTGCTTATGATACGAAGCACCGACTGGAGCATGTCCGGATAACGTGCTGGACGCAATGACCAACGCATCGCAATAAAAATGATGATGTTCGTGATTGATGCGAAGCCTTGGCTGATTCCAGCGATAATCTGCAATTCCAGGTAAGAATCCTCTTGATGAACCAAAACACTCACTGCCATAGAGGGCGAAGCGAATGTGGACAACTGCCTTTGCTGGAAGCTGAGAAACAAACGAGAATCAGCGACGGTATCCAAGATTGTTATTAGAATATCCACTTACAATTGCCCTACTGAAGCTGCACTTTCGTCAATGAAAATCGATTGAATATCATACAAACTAACTTAAGCCGAAAACTGTGATCGAAAATCACGTCAGGCAAGGTTTATACACGCAGGAAAGAATACTAACCAAAGGCGATGAAGGCACAGAAGAGCTGCGGCGTGGTCAGCAGAAGTGACTGAGTATGGTTATAAAACACATACCACTACCGTGCCAACGAATCTCGAAGTGATACTCGTAGGACCACCGCAAACTACGAACAATGAGAAAATGAAACTCACAAACAAACTTGGCTCACCAGTATAAAGTCAACTAGCGAAAAATCTAAGGGGGAGTAAGAGATGTAGCATGTTCTATCTATGATTGTTGCCTTACAACTGCGTGATTGGAGTGAGAATGACCTGGAGTAATGCTGTTAGCACGCCGGAAGCCACCGTTGAGTATAGAAGACTCACCAAAAGGAGATATTGTATCTTGATACGGCAGACAATGAGAAGCGGCTAAGGCAACCATGCGTCAAATTCACTTACGCAAAAAGTCCTGAAAGCATGGTTGCAAAGGTCCATAACATATTTGACGAACTGACACTTATGGTGTTGCATACAGGATATCCATTGTCACGTCGAACATTTTTATCAGATAGTGATATAGCCTAATCAGATATGTTAGGGATTGGAGTGAATGGAGACAAAGCTCCTACAAGTTAGATACTATGAATCTAAGTCAGGAAGACAAAAAGACACGTTTGAAAGTGGTCGCACCTAGGCCAGTTGAAGTGGTATCCAGGACACTGGATGTGTGTAAGATATAGTTCAAGTTTAAAGCCAGGATGCATTACAATAGTGTCCCAACCTGCAAGAAAGTGGAAATGTGAGACGGGTACACGACAGATAGGGAAGAAAACTATACCAAGATCTTTGTCCATGTATAATCATTCGAGTATTGAGAAAAATATATGTACATCTCTGCAACGACATGAGAGAAAGTTGACGAGACCAGCAAATACTCACGAAAGAACATCAAGCCGTATAAGAAAGTGGCAAACGCAAAACCCACGAAAAGAACCACGAGATTCTCTACTTCAGCGGGAGAGGGGGAGCCAGGGTCACTCATTATGGGTAGTGAGCCGCAGATTGAGGAGAGAAATATGCATGAATGAGTGAATCATGATTTCGACGCGGCCGGTAAATTATATTGTGAAGTGTAACTAATATATTCGTTCGCATAATTAGTGCAACTCGGGACCGAGATAGCATAGCAGACCAAACAGGGTTGTATTCAGCGCTATGTGGAGGTATTATGTAAGCGCGGGCTACTGATACTGCTCTGGTCAAATTGGAAAAAAAAACCATTTACCCAGACTCCAAACCAGTCGGCGGTGTGTTAGCGAGCCATAATCCTATAATAGCCGTGAACCAAATACAACCACATATTATTTCTCCGAGCTTTTACCGACTTTTTGTTGGGCTCTAGCACAACTTGCTGTGGCGCAAGATTATGTTCTGTTTGTCTCACCGTAAAATCACAATCCTCCGGCGGTTACGAATATTAATATTAATTCTTTTGAGATATGTGTCAATATGCGTCATTCTTTGCACTAGTAGTGTCATGTCGGCTTTGCGATATGAAGTCCCCACCTTGGATGATCTCAAGAAGCTCGTCGAAACTTCATTCGGATTCACTCCATGTACCTGGCAGCTCAACTCGGCTCTATCAATCTTGCGCCACAGCAAGTTGTGCCAGTCGGCTAGGTGTGTTAGAGCCCAACAAAATGTCGGAATTATGTCGGAAAAACTTTGTATGGTTGTATTTGTACACTAGGATAAGGCTCTCTACACACCGCCGACTGGTTTGGAGTCTGCTGTGCAGTGTGCTCAGTTGTTTTCGTCACTGAAATTGAACACATGACAATATTTAAGCATATTCTGCGAGTCATTTCTGTCTTGTTGATTCATCGGCGCTGAACGGCGTGTATGCTATAGTTCCCTCCTTTATAATTCTTCAGGACTTTACAGGTGTTGCAGTGTTTCGTGACCTCCAGCACACATCTTACTCTCCAGCGTCAGTCTGAAATCATCCCTCAGCCATCATTATGGCCCGTCGTCGGCCTGTCACCTTTGAGTCTTCAAGCTCATCAGAATCAGACTCTGATTTAGACTTTTCTTCGGCGTCATCGCGCAGGACTTCCCCAAATCCTTCAGCAGAGAAATCTGCTTCCAGCACTGAACCCTTGAAAGGGAGAAACTGTAAGCGCAAGTCGTTAGGCGACGATAATAACAACAATACGAAGAGTTCAGAATGTCCACGATGGTAAGTCGTGTTGTATAGCACATGTATGCACTTAATCTCGCGTTTTCAGGCAAAAAAGGACAAGTCAGCATATGAAGCACCGATAATCTAAATGCTTAACAATGTGCGTGTTGTTTAGTGAGGAACTAAGCTACGCAGAACACGCCCAGGACCCAGGAGAGATACACCTCAGTGGAGTGCATCAAGTTGTCATTACTGGTGTGTGATATCCTTGGTGATATCAATATCAGTGTAGCACATATTAACGACTTTCAAGCCATTCGCGCAACCGATCTCACTCTTGGTCTCCGACGGATCCCCGCCGGCTTCCTTGTGGTGGTCAGGGCTGACGGTGCTGAATACCGGACAAGCAATAAATCTACAAACATAGACCAGACCGTCGTCGAATGGCATGAGCATATTCTTCTGTAAGTTGTTTTTGACTCCGTCTGTCTTGCAGATATCGAGAAAGATTCTAGGCCGTGCGAGCCATCTTCTAAAGTTCGGGTCAGCGTGTATGCTTCGTTTGAACTGGGTCCCATGGTGTGTCACGGAGAACTCCTCAACACATTCGAGATCTCCGTTGGAGAATTACTATATCTCTGTTCAGGCGTTTGTAGGCCTGTAGACGGGCAATATATATAGCATAGGGTTTGGGCATTTAACGGTTCGTTCATCGTCTTTCTACCTAGGTTTGCGATTCAGCGTCCTGATCAACAGATGTGGACACCATTCCTGAGAGTGGAACGTGGTTTCAGTTGGTACAGAACGGTACTACCACAATTAACGACGGACCAAATGGACTACAGAAACTTGATACAGTGATTCAAATGGCAGAACAATAAGGGCTTTACGTCATAATGTCACTAACGAATAACTGGTATCCATTTGTTAACTCGACAGCAACAAGCACTGCATTACCCGATGTACTTGCGTCTGTCACTTCTCCGCCGCGTAATACTCTTTCAAACGACTGGTAAGTCAGCACTGCATTTGATATTAATCTTGGGCAAATCGACATTCTTTCAGGTGGTATGGATCTATATGTCAACCAGTTCGGACTTCAGAACCACGACGCATTCTACACGAACAACGAAATATTGACCGCCTTCCAGAATTACACCCAGCAGATCGTATTACGCTATCTCAACAGCCCTGCTGTATTTAGCTGGGAGCTTGCGAACGACGCTAGGTAAATCATGCTACGTATCTACTGCCTTGGAACATGTCCCTCATCATGTATCAGATGCAACGGGACCTTGCCCACTAGTCCAACATGCACAACACAAACAATCACACAGTGGCACGCTGAGATGGCTGCATTCATCGCGTCCATTGATTCCAACCACATTGTCTCTGCTGGGTAAGTATCATACAATACCGCTTTAGGGTCGTGGTTCTAATTTTCCGTAGAACATCTGGATTTCAATGCACAGATTGTCCGAAGTTGTATCCCATTACACCAACAGCTTCGCCTACGCCCTCTCCCGCACCTGGCAAGAAGCGCAACAAAGTCACTCCTTTGACAAAAGAGCAGATCATAAGGCAGCGCGCTGAGTCGAGACACCAAAACAGGGCAACCGCCAAGCGTGCAGGCACCTTGAAGGAAGGCGGCGTAAGGATACGGGGTCGTTGGGTATCTACAGGTATTTTGGTCTATATCATCAAAATGTAATGTTTCTTATCATTTTTCAGCAACGCGAGAAGTCTCGAGCTCGATCGGCCCCACGACGGATGGTTCAACTGGCGTCGACAGCCAGGACATCCTTAACATCCCCAACATAGGCTTCGGTTCCTTCCAAGTATTTCCCGACCAGAACTCGTACGCTCCCGATGATCCAAACCTTAGCCTCGTCCAAAACAAGATCCAGTCGAGTCTTACGTGGATCCAGCAATCGGCTCAGTCTGCTGCTGCGTGGGTTGAAGTCTAGCCCAGCCGATTATTAACTTACGTTTCTTCCAGCGTTGGGAAGCCTGTTGTCCTCAATGGATTCGGTCTAGTTACCCAATCCAATCTGAACGACTTCGTCCCCTTCAACATGACTTATGCTCCTTATGCACCCGATACAGGTAATATTGTCGTAGTTCGACGGTCGACGACCATGTACTGATGTTCTTGTTTCTACAGCGGTCACCGCGAGGTCAGGTTTTGCCGGTAGCAAGCGACAGAGCTCATCATCAGACTACGCCGATAACAGTGACCAAGAATCAGGTTACAGCTCGTTTTTGCAGAGTGCGTGAATACAGAAGTGACAATGTTCGATCATACTGAACTTTATTGCAGTGGGCAACAGCGCTGGATTAGCAGGCGTCATGCAATACCAGGTCAATACTTCCTTTCGTTGTGATGCATTTGATTGACGCTCGTTATAGTGGGGCTCAACCGGCGTTACCCAAACAAGCAGTACCATCCAGTTAGACGAGTTAGACACAACCGACTCCCCAGCATCAGGGGCAACACTAGTTGCTTCGCCTAACGATGGTTACTCCATGTACGTGCTACATTATGGCATTAATAGACACCCTGGCTCACTGAACGTTATAGTGCTAATAACCCAGCCATTCAACAAATCCTGCAGCAGGGCGCGCAGGCAATGGCTCAGAATTCATGAGGATTGTTGATTCTTCTTCGGTTCCTTTTCTCCAGAGACGCTGTTTTTATATATATCATGATTCTCAAGAGTTATGCGTGGCACAGACAATGGTAGAGTGGGACCGTATGTTTCCCGCATTTGATACGTGCGTCGGGGCAGGTTCCATACCTTCCTGAATTCGGACCATTTCTGATACTGTGTTGGTAGTACATGCTAAGTACGTTTATGAAGTGTTGTAATATAGTAGGTGAATCAACAAACGAGAGCCATAGCCATGGTTTGTGCGCGTAATAATTATAAGTTAATATCTATCGAGGGACTGCAGTAAGTTGGTACCAGCCCGAATTGATGGAAAAATTAAGTCTTGGTCAATGTAGCATAATAATCCTGGATACTAGACGTGACTTCCGGATACTTGTTTCGCCTCTTCAGCTTCTCCATCACTAGACCGACATGCTTGCGAATCTCCCTAGTGTCGGCTGCTGAAATATCTTTCTGTTCCACGCACTTGATAATAGCCGGGAAAGCGGCGATGCTTTCGGCTTCATGATAAAGCTTCAAGTCCAATGCAGCCTGCCAGGCTGACTTGACAAGGGACGGGAACTGGTCAGCTGTGACTGCCTCAAATGTAGTTCCAGCCGCGTCTGGATTCGAAGAACGAACTCGCCCGAATATTGCAGCGAGATGGAAGGGGGCGGGCGACTCGGAGTTCTCCTCGAGGTTGTTTAAGATGTAAATGCAGTGTCCGATATGTCGATCGGTAACTAGGCGTTTACACCACTCCGTGTTAGAAGTAAGAGCCATGATGAGCCGTAGGTAAGCATCATCTCGCCAATAGTTGAAGTTGACATCGAGTTCGTCATCTTCGTGACGATCAGCAGGACGAACAGGACAAATGGAAGTTAGAAGAGCAGGGGAAAATTCGGTGAGGAGTTTCTGGCGTATATTCTCGTCCTGTATGGCATCAAGGTCGGCGAGTGCCAGTCGAGAGTCCGAAACACGTAAAGCTGCGTAGCGAAGGCGACGAGGGCTGGATGATTCCATGGCAGATATGAGCGCGCTTAGGTAAGCAGATTCTCGAGTACCAAGTCCGTTCATAGCGCTCAGCACTAATAAAGCATCTCCCATTGCTGTGGGATCCTGGGAGCAGGACGCGAGGTAGTTGACCAGCCAATCGAAATCAGCTGCTGTACGACGATCGTTGGTCCACGTGAATTGACCACGCCAAATGATGGAGTCGTGATCTGGATGGACGAATCCGTCCCCAGCAGCAGCAATCATCATGCGCAATGCAGTGCGTGCGTCTGCCCGACATTTTCCCCTCTCCCGGTCGGACAACTTGAACCTTGACAGTTGGCAGGCAAAGGCCTTGCACTGGTCAAAGCTTCGTGGAAGAATGACGCTGCGCCACGGATGCCAAATTCTCGACTGCTGGGAAGCAGTTCGGGTATTGGAATCATCTCCAATTGGCAGAACACTCAGACACAAATGGTTCAAAGCTCGCCCACAGGCGACCGCTCTATCTTCTGTTGAGGGCCAGAGTCGCCCTTCAGCGTCGAAACAGGCTAAAAATGTATCTCGAAGCCGCTGACAGTAAGACACGATGTCTGAATTCGGTGGCCATGTAATGGTGGGAATGAGTGATGCTGCGCTTGTAATGTCGTCTGGATCTGTGGATGTTGCAAGAACCCAGCATATGGCAGATTCTGTTCCGATGTCGCTGGAGGGCTTGACACTGAATAGTCGTTGTAGGAGTCTCGAGATGGATGCTCTGATGCCGCGGAGGCAAGAGCGAAGGCTTGCGCCCAGTGTGCGTAGGTCGTTGTCGTTCTTTTTAATGACCATGCTTGCTGCCCACATGAAGGCACCAGTCATGCGAAATATGAAAGTAGCTGGCGTTTGGAAGGGACAATCTGGGGATAAAAGGGATGCAAAGAGGGTGCACCAATGGAACAGGCAGCCTAGCACCGTGGTCGCAATGATGATGGATGTGATGGTCCGCTGTTGCGTCCACACGTACGCGGAGAGGGAAATGCCGAATAGCAATAATGAAATTTCCAAAAGGACCGGAAACGTTTGCAGCACAGCATCCAAATGCCACGCTTTGAGGCTGTCGAATTTTTGTTGTCTGTTCTTGCCCTGCTCCTCGAGGGATCCACACCCGAACCGTTCAAGCTTGTAGATGCGGAGCCATTGTTTGCCCAAAACGGCGCCGAATGCTGCAAGAAGGCTGAATGAAAGGCTGGCGTAAGCTAGTGTCTGAAACCATATTTGCCCGTTGGAATATGCAGGTGGTGCGGGAAGCAGATAAGTATCTGTGATAGGGGTTCCATGGCTGTTCATTACCATCAGCGTGATGATTTGCGTCAATAAAGCATCTGTGGTAGTAGCGTCGCTAGGCTCCATAGTGGCGATGAACGCCGTATTCACTGCGGAAAATAGGCCAGACTAAAGACTAGTCATCACCATGTTCAAAATGCACGAGTTTACGACTTACAAAGATCAAGACGATATCCATGTCACCACCATATTGCTCCAAAAACTCGTCGTCGTGTTGCGATGCGACCTTTTGATATACCGTCCAGAATCGCGATCGCTCATCCTTTGCTCCCTTTCCCACAATGTTGGAACTTCGAAGAGTGTTGAGGATTTGCTGCAATAATCTAAGCAAGTTTTCAGCACGAGCACCGGAGAGTACCGGTCAAATTACTTACTGCTCAGATGACTTATCGCTAAGAGAGTCAGAGAGTCCAATTGCATCACTATCGAGCGTGGACTGGGCACTTGGCGAGGTGAACGCTGCATGCCGTGCAGCAAGGGACTCAGATGATAGACTTCGAGCTCTAAGTCCGATTTCAGATGTGTTGCAGGTATGTGGAACGTGGACACTTACGGTCGATATGTGCCATCTGCTTGAGGATAACGCATGTCATTTGGTTCTCTGTATCTCGGTCAGCTGTAGCGACATCGTGGAAGCAGGTGAACCATACTGAAAGTAAGCGGCCCTACGGACGCTCTTGTCAGGAACGAAAGTACCAGTGTCCATTGAATGACGACGGAAATTGTTGCATTCGTATCGGCGTTTAGTCTTTTGAAGTAGTGCAAGGCTGCGTCCCCCACCTTCAAATGCAGTAGCCTCGTTGTCGACAACATCAAGGCGTAAACGAGGCCATTCCATACACGCCACAGTCCACCAGGGTCATCCAGTGTATGAGGTATGACGATGGCGCCCCGATGAACAAGGCCATTCTTACGAATTGACGCCTGCTGAGTTTTGTCGCTACCGACATGTGGTGATCAGGACGATCTGGGGCTTGCCTAGTGCAATCAGCGCTGAAAATAGAAGCTGTGGTGAACATGAAAACAGCATGGTATAAGCATTGTACACCCTACATTTGACGCCTTAAATTCGAATTGGCCGTAATGTGCCGGCATATCACAAGCTTAATGCCACAGCAAGATCATCGACGTCGCAAGACAGCCTCATGAAATTGGCGCGAGTCAATGAGAACCCCCTGTCCTTGTGTAGGACGACAAGTACGCATTCTACTGCGATAGTTGGCTGCCACTTGACTGATGCGGCTGGCACGCGTGACGTCATTGCTAGCGCCCACCCAGCCTCGTCGTCTGTCCGCGCATTTCGAGAATGAGTCGTGATTTTCCAAACTTGTCTTGCCATTGCCTAATAGTCATTCGTGAGAGTTTTTGCACGGCGTGGAGTTTCCAACCACCGTAGACCAAGAGCAGACGAGCACAGCGACACTCCTTTCAATGCGATTTATTGTATGCTATTCCTCAGATTTTGCGCCTACAGAAAGTTATCCGATGAGCAGAATGTTAAGAGGGTAAACCATTGGAAAAGTACATCCGACGTCTTTGTTTTTGAGACACGCCTCGTCTTTACATACCAGGTGCCATATTGCATCTTCGCACCCGAGGAACTCCAACCACACTGCCGAGTGGTACTTTATCCTTCGATATGGCCATTGCTCCATCTCTATCGACCCATCACTGTCTAGGCGGATAACACTCCAGACATTGTCTTCAATACGCACAAGCCGCACGTTGGAAAAGCCCTGGTCGATCACGTTGATGACGGAACGTATCGGAAAGTTTGTCATACCAATGAACGTGAGAAGGGGAGGGACTCCCGGACGCAATTGCTATAATAGAATACATTAGTTCTACTCTTCTTTTCAATGACGAGCGCCATCGACTCACGTTTATGAAAAGGAGAAGGTCCTCTGCAGGCGGTACCATAATATCCATGGTGAGCGCACGAACACTCCACGGAATAAGCCACACTGCTAGCGAAGGAGAAAGATCTCTCTAGGATACGTGATATAGAGACTGCGGAGGTTCGTCAGAGAAGGTAGTACACCCCAAGCAGACGCGTCAAAATCAATGCGACGATGGTCTCCGCTAGGCACGATGAGGTGGAAGGAATGGAGATGCTTGCGATCTCTCAAGAATTCCGAGATAGCAGGCACGAGGTCCCTGTCTGTGACATGTCGATGCAGACTGATAATCTTTGAGAGCAAAATGCATCAGAAACGGAAGCGAGGACCTATGCAGGCGGAACATTGCTGATGGAGTACATTCCAGAATACCCGACAACGTTAGTGACTGTAGTTGGTGGCCGGTAGACAAGATCTCTGAGAAGACCTGGCTGTCTACGGAAAAACAGCCCTCAAACTCTATGACCGTTAAGTAACGGACAGAGATGGCATCTGTTGGGAATTTCCAGTTTGCATTCTTGATGGACAGCGAGCGCTGGTTGTCACGACTCTGTGATATAAAGTCGTGGGTAGATGTGCTGTTCCCTCGTTAAGCTGTGATGGAGAAATGTGTAATGTGCTTGGATGGTGGGAAATCAATATCCCCTGAACGATTAACAAGACTGCGGAGCGTGAACATGCAGGCCGTTTTGGGGCGAAAGGAAGTATGAAACGACGTACTTGATGATGGTTTGTGGCACACAGTGTTTCAAGTATGTGATTGATTAATACACTGTTGCCTGAACAATGCGCACCGCGAAGGTTGCATAGCTTAGGCAAAGAGTTAATTAACATTCCTAGGGAGGATTGAGACATAGTAACGCTAAATAATGAGCACAAACCAGTCTGAAACGCCAATGTATGTGACGTGTCTGAAACAGCATATACGCTTAAGTTCTGACCTGCGAGGCAAAGACGGGATCGACGAGAATGCGGGTAAGAATGTCTGCACTTCGCTGGCAGTGCCAGGCGATGCTGTGGAATGAAGATCGATCTCGCGGAAGATAAGCTGACTTGCAATGCGAGAGAGTGCATGTGGGACCAGTAAAAGAGACTTGAGATCATGTTTGGGAAGACAGAGCAATTTCTCTCCAAACTTCGGCAGAAAAATGAGGCGGACCGTCAGGTTCCCTGATAAGCTTGATATTATTTGGTAAAGGGACGTCATAAAAGGGTTGCACAAGTTACCATTTCTTGTCGTAAATGCTCAGATTGTATTGTGGCTTTGACATCTTGATTTGCAGGATCTGAACCCAACACGGACATCAAATCTGAAAGATAGTGATATCAGCACACTGACGGGACCCAAGGACATGCATGAATTTGACCTCGTTGTGCAGAAGTTCGGTACCCAGCTGCTAAACGGGTTTTGGCACGTAACAAAAGAGCTCTTGCGACATCTGCTGGTGGAACGCCTGAGACTTGGAGAAAGGACTGAATAGCATTTTCCATGACAATTCGGAACCTTTGTGATACACAACAATTTAGATTTTATCTTATAAACAAAGTAATTGGATGAACGTACCCTTCGGACGGCAAATGCTGCAAAGCGTGGAGAAGAACGTCAGCCTTTTGAACGTCAGACAGACACCCCGTCACATCGCGGATGCTGGCATCAAGATTAATGCGAGGATTGAAAACATTCATGAGGCAATTCCCTGGGACTATGTACTGGTTGCTCCGTTGGTGCGAGGTGAAAATGGGGGCTTGAACGTTTAAGTGCAGTCCAAAGGACTTTGCACGGTAAATATGTTATGTTTCATACAACGTCACGTGACAACCATTCATATTTGTACTCCACTTGCGGTGTCAAACACCAGAGTGTATTTAATCAGCTACTGCCCATCCCAGCATGGAGAATAGCAATCCCTCGCCCATAAGAAAGCCTATTAGCGTGCCACCGTAGATACATGGCTTCGCCCATCGCTAAACTTCCAGAACTCGCACAAAGGCCAGTCCAGTAATGTCCGGCCTAGGAAAATCTGCGTGGAATGACTGAAAGGCAGCACTTGTATGGCTAAACATCGTCGCGTGTGTTCAAAGATTGTCAGTTCTTCCTGGAGTCATTGAATGATGAGTTTCCAACGCAAGCGCAGCATGAACCACTGCAAACTCCCTGCTTATTGGTACGTCTACACTCCCTCCGTCAATAGGAGAAATTGAATCCGTGCGGTGCTCCTAGCCAATTTCACTATACGCCGTCATGATATACCCGTACACTCTGACTCTTTTCAGTAGATTCTGTAATAGAATCCATAGTGTATATAGGGTGGGTACGGGTCTCCTGGGCGATTGTAACCTGGATTGGTCGAGTGAAAGTGGGCTCCGTAAATGTTGATGGCTCATGGTATGCACTGTGCATCAGGCCAAAGCTAACACTGGCGATGATAAGAAGTGGTGTCAAAGTCTAGAAGAACGTGAGACTAAAAAGAAGAAGCAGCGTAAAGTGCTCACAGAAATCTGGATAGCAACATTAATTGCCACGCTAAAATCATTGCTGCCGGACTGGTACAGAGCGCACACGACCACGATGCTACTGGTATAGATCGCACCGGACCCGATGACAGTGTATATGGCAGTTTTGTAGGAATTGTGATTGGCTAGACCAGACACATCTCGGCTCGCCCGCCAAAGACGATATGCGATTCCAGACGTGACACTGATAGTAAGAGCAAGATCGCATGTGCAACTAGTATTTCCTAAAGCTATGGCAGTATTCCAGAAGATGCGATTGGTTATGAGCATGGCCAAATTTGCGACACCAGTTGCTAACAGGGGAGATGGTTATTGTGAGTGCTTGATCCGACAGCTAACAAGCCTACCGAATTGTGCAGCTTCTAGAATTAGCTAGCGGTACCGTCGCTCGTCAAAAGAACAACAAGTAAGATGAAATCAGATCTCTTACCATGACAAAAACAACGATCCACCTGCAATTCCAAACCACATAAAGCCTCCAGATCTGTTGTTGCATGTGTTAGGTTCCACACCTCGACACGCTAGTAATTACTCACTAGCAGTAAATTTAGAGCGAGGCCCTGAAAAAAGTAACGATAAGACGCGATTTACGACAAAAATATGATATGCGCGTTGAAAAGAAACAATCCCCCCATCGTCTTCGTGAAAAGTGTGCTCTTGAACAAGTATATGATAGTTCCGTCTGGAATGGATACTATAGCAGGATTTGTAAAGGCCTCCAGAAAGAGAAGAAGGGAGAGGATGTTGTGTGCTGTCGCGATTGAAATGTGGAAAACGCATAAAAGAGTACTCAAGATCCTGAACCAATAGTAAATGCTGGCGAATGATTTAACAAATAATCATACGAACCAATGCAGTTGTTTGGGCGCACTAAACAGGGCATACATACATACGCCAAAAAGCACGCAGCTGTTGATGAAAATAAGCATAGTGGGAGCCTGTCCACTGCGAACTCACTTGACTCCTGCCAGGTGTATTAGCACTATATCTGTACGGTGCCCAGAAAAAGGACGTTTGACTCCGAAACATCCGAGAGAGTCGAGGGAGGACAAGCCGACTGATCCGAGCAGATAGCAACGGCCAGCAGGCGATAAGGTTATGGGTCCGAGCGCAGCCAGTGACGACACTGACGAGCCAATGGGTGACGCTGAAATGTCGTTGCGGTGCGCCCTGTGACATATGTCAATTAGTTACCGAAAATTTTCTTCATGCTTCACTCACTATAAAATCCCCATCCTATGATAGATGCATCTCAGTTCGTCTAGAACGATAACTGAGATATAAGTCTGTAGACTCTTGTCCGTCAGCCGTTAGCTGACAAAATCGTGTAGCGTACCTTTGTGATTCTAGGTACACCATTAATATGAGTTCGTCTAGAACGATAACTGAGATCGTACCTTTGTGATTCTAGCTCCGTCTCAACGTTCCCGCGAGTCCGATCGCTATAAAGGATGCATACCATAGAGAATAGACTCTAACAAAGCTGCGGTTATGAACATGCGATTGATGGCCATTGGTGAGTTGAGCTACTCAGTCCCTCTCCTGCACTGGCTCCCACACACGAAACCTCGTCTGAAAGCCCTTACCTCGTTTCTAGTACTCTCGCTATTACCTCTCTGCAGTAGACTCGATCTACTTCGTGTGAAAAATTGACGGTCCCACCGGTGGCGTTTGCAGTCCTCGCTTGAGACTGCAAACGTGACACGTGACGACTCAGCCACAGCGCTCGCTTCCTTCCTGGGTTCGATTGCCAATCGCGCTCCACCTGGACCTCGACCACCGACGATCAGCACAACGTTGTTAGTATGAAGTTCTCGAAGGTATGCTCACCTTTTCTTCATCGTCTGATCGTGCATTCAGGTATGCAGCGCGTTATGTCGAGGCCGCGGTTCTTATTTGCAGGCTTCTCAATGTGCTGCCACAAGTTCAGGCCACAGATCTCCTGGTTCTTATTTGTACTAGGCTCCTCAATGCGCTGCCAAGTTCAGGTGCGCTGGAGAAGCCCGTGAGCGCTCCGTTCATGGTGCCAATAGGTATGTGCCGTCTTCGTCCGGCCCTCGAGACTCACCAAATCCCAGCACCAGGTACCAATGTGGGTTACAGGTGCGCTGGAGAAGCTCACGAGCACTCCGTTCATGATTGTAGGTATGTGCCGTCTCTGTCCGGCCCTCGAGACTCACCAAATCCCAGCACCGGGTACCAACGTGCTCCGTTCATGGTTACAGGCGCGCTGGAGAAGCTCATGAGTGCTCCGTTCATGATTATAGGTATGTGTAGTCTCCATCTGACCCTCGAGACTCACCAAATCCCAGCACCAGGTACCGACGTGCTCCGTTCATGGTTACAGGCGCGCTGGAGAAGCTCATGAGCGCTCCGTTCATGATTATAGGTATGTGCCGTCTCCATCTGACCCTCGAGACTCACCAAATCCCAGCACCAGGTACCGACGTGCTCCGTTCATGGTTACAGGCGCGCTGGAGAAGCTCATGAGCACTCCGTTCATGGGTTGGAGACAAGACAACTAGATTATGTAGTGCATCATACTCGTGTGTACAGTAGTAGATTAGAAGAGAATGTATGGTTTATAAACTATTGCACAAATGCCTGAGTGAGATCTGTTCAACAATGTCCGAACGTGTCGTCAGAAGCTCGCGCCACTTCTTTGCGACAGCATCGTCCTTGCTTGACAAGTAAGTCTTGCCACTTTTGGTGTAGCGAAAGGCACTGTGGGCTAGTGGGTGGTCGAGATTGCCACCAAAAAAGGTGCGTGCATCATTAGCGTCTCGGGCAGCAGCAGAGACCCGGTGCTCTGCAAGGCAGTTCAGGATCTGTTGGTAAGAAAAAACCTTGCCGTTCTCGTCACTAAATGCATGCCAGAATGAGGTGTTGTCTGAGTATCGCTGCCGTTCTTCGGCAATGAACTCAAAAGACAGGCAAGAGGTCAGATAGCACATGTGACTCGCTGAAGGTAAATCATACCTTCCAATTTCCCCATTCTACTCGAAGTGCATCCCATGCTGCAGTCTTGACGCCCTTTCCTTTCTTGTAGAACTCTCCCCAATACTTGACAGGGATTCCGCGACCATTTACAATGAGTAAGTTTGATTCCTCCCATTCTTCACACAGCCGGTTGACATCTTTGGAGAGGTGGATTGTAGGAGGTGATGGTACGGTTGTCCTGTCGTATAAAAACTGCTCTTGGCCAAGGTGCGCAATTCCAAGGTTTTCGGGGGGGATTATCTCTGGAGGCAGAGACATGGCAGATGTTGTCTGTGTGGTTGTGCGAGGTTTGAATGGCACATTGTTGCTGACAATGCACGCTTGTGCGTGGGATTGGACGATTGTGTTATCACACCCAGGGCTCTCGCTGTGTAAAGTGCGTGCATCTTTTGATTGCATCAGTGTTTTCATATCGAGAATGTGCGATGTGAGGACACTGATGTGATTTTCAACATTACTGAGATCTTCTCGCACAGAAAACATGTTGGAATCTACTTTCCGCATACGAACAGCGAAAGCATCCTGTTGTGGATGCCCATCACGTCCGAATCCTTCAGCTTCGCTTGTGGCAGCAACTTGTTGGTGGCAGCTTTTTCGCTGCGTTATCGAAGGTGGTACACTCAAATCGTGAGGCATACCAAACGCTGACAACACTGCATGTGCCTTTTTAACAATGATGTCGTGAGCTTAGCATGATATAGCATCACTTCTGCTCACCCATGCTGAATTTGCAGCTCGGTCATCATCCTGGAGTGCCCGTTGCGTGCGATTTGCGCTCTTCTTGCTTTCGTAAGTAATTGTTTGTTCTTCAATTCCAAACACCTCCTCAATCCTTCGTTTTGAAAGGGACTGGCGTGAGTTATGTTCCCCTCGTTTTCGTTTCAGCTTAGGCTTGAATAAACTTTGCCAAGCAGGAGAAATTAGATACACGAGCACTGATTCAGGGCACATGCCAGTGACACACCTCAGCCACTCGTCTCGGTCATTGGAAAACTGACGAAGCCTGTCCAACATCTCTGTGCGATTGCCACGGGTTGGCCTGCCATAGCTCTTGAGCTTCTCGTGTAAGTTAGGTCCTGTTTGGACAGCGAATATTATAATTCAATTCAAAATTCGACCATCATGTGACACTACACGTAAGCCAGCTGTGAACCTCGGGTTCACCGTGTTGAGTGGCACACTAATTCCATCACAATGTCTGATAAGTCTGGTACTGGTTCTACACGCTCCCTTCGGTCTCAAGGTCCTGCTGATAAGAAAGCTGAGGGGACTGGCACATCCCGCAAGGCTGCTGCGATCTGGACAAAGGAGGAGGAAACAGCATTGCTTGAGTCTCTTCTGGGCGCTCTTTCTTCCTCAGGTGATGGTGGCTTCAAGGCACCTGCTTTCAATGCAGCAGCAGAAGGTCTGAAGAAGAAATTCCCTGATCAAAGGGGTGCAGTAAAGACTGGGACAGTGTGCAAGAACAAATGGACATCGGTATGTTTACATAAAAGAACTCAAATTTCTTATCGGCGCTGGCACTAACATCAGTGCAATATCTTTCTAGTTGAAAACATTGTATAATGCTGTAGTTGATATCAAGAATACATCGGGATTCACATGGAGTGATGAAAATGGGGCAGGTATTGCATTGAAAGATGATGACGTCTGGGTCAGATACATCAAGGTGAGTATCGTACAAAGGAGCTCTAATACATGTACTTAATGTCATCTCTTTTGGCAGCACCATCCCACCGCAAAGCCCTTCAGGAACAAAGGATTCTCCCACCTCGCCCTTATGGAGCAGCTGGTTTCTAGTCAGGGGAAAGGCAAATACGTCTTCCGACCCCATTCCACCAGTACTAGTGCCGCCCTCAACTTGAATCCCACACCAAGTCCCACCACATCTACTACCACTGGCTTTATCGTCCCCCAGACCCCTAACCGTAATTTCACCACCATGCGCACTCCAGACACAGGCTTACTGGCCAGTGCAAATTCAAGTCAGGGTATGGATCCGGAATCCATCTCACCATCTGTCCCATCCACCTATCTTTCTCACTCTGCTGGCTCCTCAGTGGGAGCATGGACAAGTGTCAGCGATACTAGTGGAGCAAAGCGCAAATATAGCGCACTCTCTCCTGAAAGCGCTGCAGGCTCCAGTCACTCGAAACGGAGTCGTCCTCCATCTGCAACGCTGAAAGTTCAGCAGGAAGGCGCGGAAAGTATGAAGGATCTTGTCACTGTAGTTCGTGAGATGCAGAAGAACATGGGGCTGTCAGCCCCCCAGCAGTTACCATCACCACCCCAGCAAGTTTCAATGGCCGGGCTCGTGCAGGCTATCGCCCTCCTCAACCAATATGCTAACAGCGATCTTTTTGAAAGTGTTGAAGAGCAGCTGGCTATCGCTAACTATTTAGCGGATCATGAGAGCCAGGCAGTCCTTTTCTGCTCATTAAATGAGCAGACAAGACGTGCCTGGTTGGAGCAGAAGCGGCGCCAGCTGTGTGGATATGCATGATACATTCATTGTCGTTTACCAAATTACATGATAGACTGTTGTGTACTACGTACTAGTACTTTGAACTTCGATCCCTATGAAAACTGTATAGCAGGCTATTCTACAGTTACAGCAGCCCCCGACGTGCGCGCTCCGCAAGATAATCGGTCCACATCGCTGCAGCGATTCCATCTCGACGGTTGTCTGCCTCCCTTCTCTCCCCAGCATCTGGCTGTCCTTCTGAAAGTGTGCCCAATACCGCACCATGAGTATCATCATTCTCCGCGAGATCATAATCCTCCTCGGGGTCGAAGAAGTCGGGATCGTGCTGGCGAATGAAGTTGTGGATAGCGCAAAGCGCTGCTGGGATCCGTGCTTGAATCTCCATGCTGTATTCTGGCGCAACCTGTAAAATCCGCCACTGACGCTTCAGGACTCCGAAAATACGTTCAATAACGTTGCGTAGCGAAGCATGTCGTAGATTGAATAGCTCTTTAGGATCTCTGGGCCTGTACATATAATTTAATCACACTAAGTACTAAGGAGACTCAGAGAAAACTCACGCAAGGTTCGCCTGACGCCACTCCTTCAGATGATAGCGCACGCCTCGATAAGGGATCAGTAGTGCGTCACAAGTGCCAAAACCGGCATCTGCGAGAAGATATTTCCCTGCAGGCATGTATAAGTCGGTTTTGCGTGCGTCATTCCAGAGTGATGCGTCAGCGACTGAGCCATCCCAGCCACAGAGAGAATATGTAAAGCGAAACTGGAAATCGCAGATGAACAGACAGTTCTGGGACAAGAATCCCTTTCGGTTGCGCAGGACGACATGGTCGTCGAGTGATGCGAATGCACGGATGTGGGTGCCATCTATGGCACCGATGCATCGATCAAAGAACCGGAATGACGGGTTGTCATGTATTATTGCGGAGATTGGTGTATTTTCGTTAGGAAACTTAACTTGCGATGTGTAGAACGGATGGGATGAAAAGAAAAAGAGCATCCGCTTGAAATATCTAGAACATGGTCATATTAAATGAATTAGATCAATAGATGTGAATGTACTACCTTGTTATGGTGTCTGGAGAGTGTTGAAACCTCTCCCCAACGAGGCGAGATGAAAGTCCAGTCACACATGTGTAAAGAAAGATACCAAGTTGCTCGTCGACCGAGATGCCATTGCGCGACTGAACAAATCCATGCTTGTGAAGAGTCTGCACCAAGCTCTCAAAGACTTCAAGATGGACGCCAAAATTATGTTTGATACGATCTGGGTGACCAGTAATCAGTTCAATCACCCATGCCTTCCCTGTTAAGATTGATGTGTGGTATGGCACTTTTTCAGCGCGGGATGTAAGTAGCAACTTGTAGTAGTAGGTGATCTGAGCGATAGCGATTGTTATCGCAAGAAGAATGAGGTGTTTCCGACGCAAGTCACTTTGTGCTTCGAGGTCCATGCTTAGTTGCGGTGATGGTTGCAGTGCAAGATCTAATTCAGTAGTATTAAGTTAATCAATAATCAGAATCAGTCGGAACAGTCGGCGGAATCTAGGTCACCAAATACATCACGTGCAGTGTCACATGATGGTCGAATTTTGAATTGAATTATAATATTCGCTGTCCAAACAGGACCTTAGCCTTTGTTGTCTTTGTTGTTCTGTTACGTTTTCATGAATTAAATCAAACATGTTGAAAGGGAGAGAAATGTGTGACGTGCACTGTCCAAGTGAAAGATTCCACTGCTTGTCCTGGCATGTATGTTTGACCAAGTACAGGCAGTTCGAGCTCTTCTGAGTCGACATTCTGATGTTTAGACATGGTGACACCATGAACTGTAACGTATTTATGTGTAAGTGTTGATGTTTAAATTCAGGGGGTTCAAGTTAGTTTGTTTCAGTGCTGGCAGAGCATTTCAATTCTCGATCACCTGGTCTGAACTCGAAGTTTTCTATCATGTCCTTACTACAAACTTTCAAAGGTGCTACTCTCTACTTTGCTGAGTCAAAACACATCAGTGTCGAGGCTGCTGAAGAGGACCAGACCGAGGAGGAGGAATCTCTCCTCAACAGCTTTGATGTTGATGACCGTGAAGCTGCTGGCACCCTTCAGTTCAGTACTACAAATGCTGGTGAGGACAATGTGAAAAAGAAGAAGCTCAAACACAGCATGGTACATCACAACCAGTTAGCATCTAGTTTGCAAGCAGCATCAGAGGGAGTAGTTATTGGTACGACACTCTCTGACTACCAGAGGTATGCTATGGACTGGCAAAATTATCTTATCTCATGTGCATGATCTCCCCAGATACTGGAATCAGTTTAAAGAGTTTTGTGTCACCATTGACAAAGTACAGGTTGCGAGCGAGATTGACAAGCTTTTTCCAGACCTTCCAGCCGAATTTCCAATGTGGATTGCACTATGGATCATGGATAAGTGAGTGCATCGAATGTTGCATTTATTTCATGCTAAGCTATGGAATTGAGATGTGATGAAAATGATATATGGACCGGGAAAGCAAAGGATCCCAGTGTTCCACGTGCGACATATGGCACAGCGCAGAAGATGTGTCCGCCATAAGTCACAAATTTGGCAGAGACTACCAGCTTGGAATGCAGCCGTGCTAGGGAAATTCATTGGAAACCCGTCACTTTCAGTGACCATTTCACAGTACATGGTCAGTCTTCGTCGACGAAAGGTATTGGACTTTACCATTGTGAAATTCAGCATGGGCACTGATTTCATGCTGTAGATACGAGCAGGTGAAGCAGTAATGAGTGCTCGTGCCATGGATGAACCTACCATGAAGAGGCTCTGGGAGTTTGCATGGTCCATGGACCGAAAGGAATTTGGCCCGATCTCGCGCAAACGAAAGGCAGAAAACCCATCTGAATGGGCTGGATTTTTGCTCCGCATGATGCTCTATTTACTCTACCTTCTCTCCATGCTTTGCCTGCTCCGCTACGACGAGGCTTTACGGATCACCTGGGCTGATGTCACATTCCAGGTTCAAGACTTACTGATAAAAAACCACTGGCTTGACGCAACTCCCGAACTTTTCACCTCTCAAGTCAGGTACCAACCCACACAGTTCCGAGTGAAGCTAGAATTGCCCTTTCGAAAGACACATCAGTATGGAGGTCAGTGACTGTATGGGCTGTTGCCCACCTTATGGCTAACCTCGAACACACAGGCATAGCCCCATTCTACATATATGCTGATCCTGACCGGCCATGGATGTGCTTGCTGCGAGCATTTGCTATCTGGTGGCTGTTAGCACATGAGAGACACGAAGACCTCAATGGGTTCATCTTTCGCAAAAAGATTGGTGTAGATGGCATCAGCGTGAGCCCAACAGATTGCATGGTGAGCTCGAGGTCTGTAGACATCAAGAGAATCAGGTTGACATGCTATACTCAGACCTCAGACTCCTTTCTCGAATGCTTCCGAAATAATCTCCTCGACATTAGTGTTGATCCGCGTCCATATGGTACCCACTCGTTTCGTCGGGGCAGGTGTCAGTTTCTGCACACAGTGCGAGGCTGGTCGTTTCAGAAGATATGTGACTGGGGTGGGTGGGCCGAGAATTTCGACAACCCTGGTACCATATTCAAGTACCTCTTATCTTGGAACGACAATCCAGCAGAGGCTCGCGAACACTACATGAATCCAAACAGACCAGGGTGTGACCCCTGCTATAGCTGCGGAAGAACTTGTCATTGTGGTTAAATAAATACTTGCAATACATATCTTGTCTTCGTGTTTCAACTGTCAGAATTGAGGGAAAAGTGAAATCAGAATGAGAAAAACATATGAGACAGCTTCGAAGAACGAAATACAAGTACAGTAGGTTAAAAAAACGACACAAGTGCATCAGAGAGTAAGATCAATTAAGTCACAACTAACACCAGTGCGGCAGAGTGCTGCATTGTCCTCATCTTGAGTGAGGTCCATGACATCACTGATCGCTGCTGCCTCGTCGTCATTGTCGTCGTCGTGTGTGAGATCAATGACAGTTGCAGAAGAGAGAGTAGCATTTGAGGTGCTGGGATGATTTGGAGATGGCAGGATCATTGTCTGCACCCAGGAATCGTAAATTTTGTCAGCAAGCCAAACTCGAACAAATTTGTGAGATCTCGGTGCATGATCCTCACAATGAGAGCATCCAGGCGAATCCTCGAGCAACTGGAGTGTGGACCGCTCGAGGTCATGAGTGGGCACATCATTATTGTGCCCTGGAACACCTGCAAGGGCTTTCTTTGGGCGCACAGTGTGGCTCTGAAACACTGCCCTTGTGCAGGCCGGAGCAAGAGCAATCTGTATCTGACATCCGTCAGAATATTCAAGTGCAAAGGAGAACAGCAACAAACCTCGTCACTTGCAGGAGAATTATTAGCAAGATCCTCGAGGACTTCGTGCAAGACCACAACAGGCCAGATCGTTGAGCGAAAGGTGCTGACAACCTTCTTTGATTCCCAGCCAAGAAGTTGTTGAACAAGTGAGGCAAGTGGAGCAATGTCAGGCGGGGCAGGGGATTGGAGAATGGGCAGCTTGGTGATCGGAGTGACAGCAGGCTGCGCATACAAGTTGATGATGCATGGATCAGGGAACGAATCAGGGAGTGAGCGGGCGAGAGCAGGGTGAGAACGTCCCATTTTTCCAGTGGGATCATCCACAAGATGATACCGAGCGGTGTCCCGCCATTGTTGCAGAGGCCCATCGAGGTTGTTGCCACATACAGCGGCACGAAGCACACCAGCATCCACACAGCGAGCTAGGCCCAGTGCTGTCTCACGGCCACAGCCTGGCAGGCCCTTCTAGAAGCAGGTCTCATCAGCCTGGCTGACAACAAGCTGGTTTGGTTTACCTTATCATAGTCGCCGCAGCAGCAGATGGCAAGGGTGAGGAATCCATCGTCAGTAAGATGGCGGTCCATGTGCTCCTGAATGGCACTCGTTGTATACAATTTGACAGTCGAATCTATTGAGAATGTCGAGCTTCAAAAGAGTCAGCAGAGCATGCAAAAGAGAACATGAGAGATCTTACTTGCGCAGGACAGTCTGAGCACCAAAAACAAATGCGTCACTGTCATCTGTCATGACAGCATCAATAATACCAGCGCCGTTCATCAGCGCCAGCTGTGCCTCGGCTTCTCCAGCAGCCTGGATAGCCAGGATTGATATAGATGACAACGAAAAAAAAGAAAAAAAACTCACCATGATCCACTGCACATTGAATGTATTCAGTAGGCGCTGGGTGGGCTTGACCATCCAATGGTCGTTGGTAGACACTCTGTGGCCCCGTTTGATTTGGGATCGCTGGTTGCCATCGAATACAAAAACCAATTGGACTGGGAGCCGGGCGAGTCGAGCGAGGTGAAACAAAAATGTTCGAAGGGCAGGATTCTGGCCTGTCTGAGCATGTGCACGGTGCCACCTGCCCTGCTGGCATTGTTCAAACCACGCACTAGAATCAAGAAGTTAGAATGTTTGCCATCAAACACAGTGAGTGAACACAAACCTTGCATCCACACCTACGATATAAGGCAAGTGTGGGGCAGGTCCCTCGTAGCGGCCCCGGATGGCGAGAGAGACAAGGGGCACCGTCATTGCAGCAGCCTCGAGCACCTGACAAATGATGGGGTGAGTTTCAGCGCCTGCCGAGTGAACAGTGGGAACGTGCCTCCCACAGGTCGTTGATGCCCATGACGAGGAGCACACTGGAAATATAATTTAAGATCAGTAGGCTGACGAGCACGGCCGTTATGCGTGGAGGAGACGGGAGTCGAGCGAGAAGAGGAGGTACTCACTACTACTAGCGGCGTATGTGCGTACATAAGCGGTGGCAGTACCATGTATGGTATAGCAGCCAGCCGGGACTGTAAATCCGAGGACCATCAATCTGCAGCACATCAGCATGCAGCACATTTTTTTGGCGGAAGGGAAGGATGTGTCGCCACCAAGACCGAAGCTGGACGCAAACGAAAAATTGATGGTCCTAATGTGCGAAATTTGCAGTCTCTCAGTTAGCGTCTCGGCATTCTCCCACAGGTGGGTTGCATTGTGCTCACCCAGGACCCTCCACCACAGGTTCGTGGCATGCTGATGCATCAAACAGGGTAACTGTAGCGCACCCGTGATGCATCATTGCTGCAATTATACTACCCTTTCTCCTCACTAATGCATCAGCTCCCTCCCGTGCTGATGCATCAGCCCTCCCGCCAAGCTCCCTCCCGCTGTGATGCATCAGCTCTTTTCCACTGTGATGCATCAGCTCCCTCCCGTGCTGATGCATCAGCTCCCTCCCGTGCCGATGCATCAGCCCTCCCGCCGATGCATCATGATGCATCAGTCCTCCCGCTGATGCATCATGATGCATCAGCACGGGAGGGAGTTGATGCATCATGATGCATAGTAGTGCTCCGCTTGCCCATTTTGCTAATGCTTCTTGCCCGCCTGTTCGCCCGCTTGTTCTTGCCCCTCCGTTGGCCCGCTCGTTCTTGCCTCCCGTTGGCCCTCCCACATTCGCATACACCTACTACTCGTTCGAATGAGACAGCCAATGCTAGCACAAATTTATATTGGATCTTGCTACGTATGCATGTACTATGGGTACTAATCAATCAATGTCCATGTCTTGCTGAGTGACGAGTGAGTGGTTGAATATGTCCGCCAGTGCCAAGGTGTCAGTCCAACTAGTCCTGAAGGACTCAGCGAGCCTTCGACATAACGAAGCTTGACGTTTGGCATATGCTATCAGTCCCTCGCGCTCATCATCATCATCCATGTCGTGTAAGGCATCTTCTAGCCCTCGCTCGTCCCAGCATTGCGCATCCCATTCGAAAAATTGTAGGATCCTCCGCATCTCTTCCTTCAGCAGCTCCACCTCTTCAGCCCAGCGCATCGCCCGTGCCCTGGCTTTGCACCATTCGATTCGCATATCTAATTAACCGCGAACCTTAGGCTTGAAGCTTCCAAAACAAAAAAAAAGTACTCGCCTTCCAAAGCATTGTCCTTGTCCATCTCGTCAGGTGCAGCTCCTCGCATATTCCAGATCCAAGATAGTTTTCTTGTCCCCTCTGATTCCCCCCATAATAGATCTGTCATCGAGCGGATATCCGCTCGGTTTAGTGGCCGCAGTGAGGAGTGCCACCCAATCTGATTCAGCAGTGGTGCAAGAACCACGAGAGCCTTATGGGCACGCTCATACGTGCTGGCGGCAGCCTCAAGCCTTGCTTCAACAGCTTTGAGTGTATTCCGTGCCCTCGTATTCGCACCTTGTCCACGAAGGTTGCGATCTTTATACTTGAGGATTGCAGTCTGAGCACGCAAGTTTGAACGTAGGGAACGGAGTGCATCGTGAGCTTGCGCATACCGGAGCTTCCATTCGATGGTTTGGAGGCGGGTGTCACAAGGTGCTGTCTTGCCGATTTGGGATGGTAGCCAGAGTTTGACGGTTTCTGGTGTAGCTACTGCAGTGGCTATGCCACCAGATACTGAACTCTCGCTGACACGTAGTGCAGCGAGCGACGGCATGTATAGTTCCTGTAATTTAGTCCAGGTGTCGATCCTGCGTTGCAGAGTGTTATTCCGCTGAAGCATCTTCCCTTCTTGATTGTCTGTTGCGTGAACTCTGAGGCCGGCTCTGTCAGCTTTCATTCGCCGTCTAGAAAAAAGTAAGACCAAGATCTCATATGCAGCACTCAGGGGACTTACTGTTGTTCCTCGAGTTCTAAGCCAGTACTGATCAATACACTAGGAGTACAGTCCTCGTGTAGCGCAAGGCAAGTCCCTGTTTGAATATCATTCTGGTCATCCCTAGCCAGTTCCAGTCGCACAGAAGCCATAGTGACAGCTATGATGCACGGAAAGATCAGCACACAGTGACTGATGATGATCCATACATACTTTCCGCCCTTCGTTCGAAAGGATTTGGCTTTGCAGGGTCACGCTCCCAAGCCTCCACCTGTTCTCTCCACTGGGCGAGAGCGGCACTATATTCACCTCTCAAACCTTCTTCAAGGTCATCAAGGGCTTCGTGATGATCCTGCCGCTCCGGTAATGCATCCTTCATCTTGTGAAGCATAGTATGACCTGATAATAAAGGAGGTCAGCCCAAATATGCTCTTCAAGACCGAAACTGCCTCGGCATAGTAAGGGGTTGATGTATTATCGAGGCGACTGGTGGATGGAGAGAAGGTGCATGGTGCGTCTGCACAATTGAGTGTCGGAGTAGTCGAGGTTAAGGTATCCAGTTGCAATAAAGGATGATTTCAATGAAAATGTACGAACCAAGTTTAACTACCTTTTTCCAATTTGAGTCTCCAAAGTAGTCGTCAAGGGTGTCTCGCCGTGCACCAGGACCCATCTCTTTAGTACTTGAAGCGACGGGGTTGATATTGGCCCAGCCACGCTCGGGTGCTTCTCCATCAGTCCGACCGACCCCACTCTTAAAATTGAACGAGAATGAGGTTTGACACTCCTCGATGTGAGCAGGAAGGTGGAACTTTGGGACGAAAAAAGAGATAGTTTTGAAAGTGGGCAGGAGGTGCATTGAGACTGGAAATGTGCTCATACGGTGCCATAATTTTTTGTGCCACTGGCACGCGATATCGTAAGATACATTCAGAGTGTCGATTACAGTGTGGCGCAGCGTTGAGAAGAATAAATAATCCATGTTGACATATCTACAGACCGTTAGATCACCAATGTCTGAATGCAAAACACGATTTACCTTTCACCCTTTTGGAGATCTCCAACAGCGTTGGGCCGTTTCATGTTGTGGCGGGCACAGTCAACAGTACCTAAACCTGTGGCAGCAAGTCCACGATTAGATTTTGTGTCCGCCATGTTCACAGCGTTGTGACTTGAGCATGTTGATTTCTGTAGAACACCATTAATACACGAAAAGAAGATTTAAATAAAACAACCTCTTGGGTATTGTCCGAATTGCTGTCCAAGAAGCCCTTATAAGCTTCATCCTCCACGAAATAGGCCCACCCAGAACTCAGGCTTGGGTCCACGCTGTCATTCGAGACAGCCTTGCGTTTCAACCGGAAGTTTGCATCGATAGCAAGGAACAATCCGTAGAGCCAACTAATAGTATCTATATCAGCGATAATACCACTCAAGCTATCTAAAACTCACCGTCGAGGTGCATCTTTCCAATTATCTGGAAGGTTCTTCCCTGGATGTGGACAAGCTGGGCACAATACAGCACATTCACCTTGAGCTGTCGCTTCTACACCCTTCGGATCGTGACCTTGCCCTGAGCGTTTGAGCATCTTCAGGTGACGCCATTCACGAATCATCCGCATAAACGACTCGTATCGATCCTGTAAAGAAGCTTTACTGACCATAAGGATACTTGAAATTTTGAACCTACCTTAATGAGAAGTAGACCGGTGTTGTCAGACATCCGGCGAAGTCCATGATAAAATTCATAGGCAGATATTTTTGACTCAAATGAGAGCAGGTGATACTGCTCCAGAACGCGGAATGTTGCAGCAGTTTTTGGATCTGAGGTTGTTGAAGGAAATAATGACATTCGAAGTAGCTGTTGCATACGACTTTCGGCTATTGCACAACCGCAGAAGTCGAGTGACACTTCGTGTATACCGAAGATGTCGATAATGACAAAATCATCATTAAAAGCACGGTGAGGATTGACACATTGCCGGCCAGTGATGTGACCAAGCTGAATGCGGAGGCCCAGGGCTTTCAGAGAAATTCGCTCGAAGTATTGACCGTTCCACTTCTGTATTTGAGATTAAGTCTATTATCACAATTAAATGCAAAGACATACCTGCAATCGGTGAAGCGGGTGGTGCGCATGGACTGACAAAATACAAGTTGAGCAATGAAGCTCTGACCCGAAGCAGTCCTGACATTTGTACTCAGGATTGGGACCATCACACTCTAAGCACAACCGCATGCTGACTCTTCCTTCAAGACGGATCATTTCTCGAAGGAATAACGCTCTGTGATTCAGCCACGTCAACAAAGGATGGTCCTGATTAAACATTGTGAGGGGGAAGTCAAATTATGTGAAACATTGTAGTGCACGTACACCTGCTGTTCGTTTTCTCCTTTGTTGGCCTAGAACATCTAATGATACTTCGAGTGGGAGATCGTCAAGTGGCTCTGGAATTGAAAAAAAGGTGTCTGAGTTGCATAGAGTTCGTTCCGCATGAGTTTGATCAATATAATGGTCCGGGATGGTTGCTTTAGCATTCTTAGGAGGTAGAAGACACTTCTGCGTATAACTGACAGAGCCATCATTGTTGACTTGGTATTGGGTATGCTGGCGATAATGGACTACTGGCGCTGTGCGATAGAAATTGAGCTTTGGTTTCCTCTTCCGTTTTGGCGAGTTCTTCGAGGTAGAGGACATTGCCTTGGTACATATGATAGTCTGAACTGGATATGGTGGCCCTGCCTCAGACGGACCAGGACCCATAGACATTCTTAGATGGTGTCGAGCAAACAGAAATCATATGCAGCTCTCCGAGCCTGACATGTCATGTGACTTGCCGAAGGGCGTCGATGAAGCCAAACACTCATCTCTATCTAGGGATGCTCCAGAAATTTGATTGCTCTTTTCCTCAGCCAAAGCGGAATACCTGAGATACTGGCTACATGCCATGGGCCTCACAAAAACCTTATATCTCTTCCTTACCCTGATTGTCTTCTAAACTGAATGGCTGCACGCCATGAGCCTCACAAAAACCTTATATCTCTTCCTTACTCCGATTGTCTTCTAACTGAATCTGGCTGCACGCCATGAGCCTCACAAAAAACCTTATATCTCTTCCTTACTCTGATTGTCTTCTAACTGAATACATTCTCCCATAATCGGTCCCGACTATAGACCGAGCAATGTTAGCAAATGCTACTAACGATACAACATCAAACTTACAGTGTGTCATCTACTGGCTGCGAGCCTACGCCGGATGGCACGATGAACTTTCTGTTCCCCGAGAAAAGCGACCCGAACAGCAAAGTAGGTAGGAGCACGATGGCCTGGGGCTTGGAGTTCAGTTTTTATATCATCCCTAAGGTGGGTGTTTAAGTATAAAAATGGAAATGAGATGGAAATCTCACCAGAGATATGACGGAAAAACTCCAATGTAGCGGCCATAGGTAACGCAGTAGAAAGGTGGTTCTAGATCGCGCTTGGCAGGCATGTTGTAGAATATTCCTAGATACGAAAAAATAAAGCATTCATCCGCCATAGCATAGACGGCCTCATCAAACTCGACACTGCCCTCGTACACAGTCACAGACTCCTCTGGCTCTGCCATGTAGGGTGTTGTAGTGATGTCGACCCAAAGGGGATCACACATGGAGAGACGGACTGGCAGCGAGGAAATTTTGGGTTAGCTTGATACCTAGCGCTTCCATTGATATGGCAAATCACTCACCTTAGAACACAAGTGTTAATGTTGATGAGTCAAATTGGCAGCGGCCAACGTGAGGTTCCAGTAGAAGCGTCCTTAGACCAACGAGGGCTAGCGTTTGATAGAGTTTCGGTCCAAGTAGAATGGATTAGAAGCATCTTAGACCAACGGGGGCTAGCGTTTGATAGAGTTTCGGTGCTTGCAATCACCGGTGTCAGGATTGAAGATTACATGATTGATGCATCACTAACATCACATCATTATCATAACTGCGAGACAGTGATATCACAAGTAGTCTGGTATAATAGCTCACCACGTGTATGACCTTCCAGCGCATCGTGAGGGTCGACCATGACATGCATGAGCAAGTCCTCCAGTGCTAAGATGAGGCTAGATGCTTGATGGGATATCAAATCTACTCGCTGCAACTCCTCTCCTGTCCCCATAGCCTGCAAAACGATCCCATGAAGTAGCCGGAGACGTTGTTGAATGCCTTCCATACCACCTAGTAATACATTGATTGAATGCATGCATGTTCCCGCGTCACCTGACTGACAAAGATCATTCACCAGCCCATCTAAAAGTCTTCGCGAGGATCCACCAATAATGTCTGCAAGTGCAGCTTCGGCACTTGTGAGGTCTTCCTGCCTAATGATAGTTTAATGTAAAGTTCAAGTAGCTATCAGTAACGTGCAGCTCACCATGGGTGCCTTTGTGATGATCTCGTGCGGACGCTGTACCTGCTACGGCTTTGGGAATCAACATCATTGTTGGTCGGACAGTTGTGTTGTTTGCAAGATTTTTGCTGGTTCTTCTTGCTGATGATTGCACTATTTTCTGCGTCTCCTGATACATGTCAGTAGTTAAAACAGAAAGCAAGTGCTTACTTTGCATAGTATTTCTTGCGGTAAGAATGAGCAGCCTCAATTTATCTTGTGATGTGTGATACAGCCGAGGTCAGCCCATGATGTAGTAGTAACCAAGTTTAGAACAAGTTGTTGAAAGTAGCCGCGTCGACTTTGGGAGATTTACTACTAATTGCTTGATATCCGATGATCACCAATCATGTCTCACTCAAAATCAATGGTATAGCAGTAGCTAATTTATTCAGAGCATGTATGTCGGGGTTCTACCTCATACAACGATCAAATTATGAGCTAGACTCAAGTAAATTGCAAGTTGAGTCTTATGGCGCTGGTTCTAACGTTCAACTATTCTACACGCAAAACTCACACATACAGACGAAACACACACACTCTTGTATTGTAGAAATATTAGTACTATACAATCAAATCTAGACATGATGCGACAACCTACAACGTTGCAGGTGCTAATCAAGTAGAGTACAAGGGCAAATAAGAAGACTCGGCTGGTGGATGAGTTGCGACAAAAAAGGATTAAAATTACCAGCGTTAGGAACCAATCCTCGATATTTTTGAGGGCCCGCCGGTGGATTGAAAGGTGCCAGCGTGTGGATGAGTTATGACAAAAAGGATCAAAACTTACCAGCATTAGGAACCAATCCTCGAATCTTTTTGAGGCCCGGCCAGTGGATTGAAAGGTGCCAGCGTTAGCAACCAATCCTCGAATCTTTTTGAGGCCTGGCCGGTGGATGAGTTATGACAAAAAGGATCAAAACTTACCAGCATTAGGAACCAATCCTCGAATCTTTTTGAGGCCCGGCCGGTGGACTGAAAGTTGCCAGCGTTAGCAACCAATCCTCGAATCTTTTTGAGGCCTGGCCAGTGGATGAGTCGCAACAAAAAGGATTGAAACGAAACTTACCAGCGTTAGTAACCAATCCTCGAATCTTTTTGAGGCCTGGCCAGTGGATGAGTCGCAACAAAAAGGATTGAAATGAAACTTACCAGTGTTAGTAACCAATCCTCGAATCTTTTGAGGCCTGGCCGGTGGATGAGAGCAAGAATAATAGACAGAAATTTGCCAGCATTGGCAGCCTTGAAACATTTTATGAGTGTAGAATAGTTGAACAGATCCAGCACAGTAGAGTCTCACCTGTGTGTACTATGTGTGAGTGAGTTTTACAAATGTAGAATAGTCAGCGCTATGATAGAGTCTGTGACACCTGCAAACTGATCACACTGCCACACGCTAACTTGACGTTCTAAAGTAGGCTACACACATAAGCACATCGAACCTCAACTACTGCTTAATGTTCATTTCTCGATGTCTAGGTGAGTCTTTGGTTGTTTGATCCCACATTGTATACTTATTACTCGATGTCTAGGTGAGTCTTTGGTTGATTGATCCCACATTGTATACTCAGGCTTATTACTGTCACGACGCTCTGTCCGAACACTTATTGTTGGTTCAAGTCACATCCCATCATCGTCATAGGTTAGTCTACATGATTGCATGGACAATAACAATGGGCTAACGGTGCACTCAGCAACGATGGCCAGTCTACCAACTTCATCTCAAGATCCACTGGAGGCAATATGAAGCCGATATCAATCTTAGTGCAGGCACAGCTAACACCTCCCGGTATGTAGTACGCAACACTCAGATTGTGTCGTCATCCCTCATTACCTGATCACTAGTCATTCTAAAACACAAATCGGTGCCGATACCATTGTTTCCGTCGTTTCCATCCATACCACCCTCTCCTAATTTGACAATGTGGTAAGTCGATACCAAAATAGCTCTATTTTTTTTTATTCGCTCGGTATTGACTCGCGAATAATATAAGGATGGACGTCTACTTCATACGGGAATTATTTCCCCATCATCCTTCATATTCACGCACAACAATGCCAGCAGCTTCGTGGACTACCAAAGCGCAGTATACATGGCTCCAAGAACAAATGCCAGAGTACATGCAGCAAAGCACCGGGGACAAGGACTACTCCTGCTTCTGGCCCGGCATACACAAATATTGGTTCAAAACATGGCCAGAGCGCAATATTCTGTTCCCCGACATCCCTGGTGACGTGTCGCTCACTGTTGAGCAGACGAAACAAGAAGTTAAAGCTGAAGAGCAACGTAAAGTTGTAAGTCGTCGACTACGTGTTTTTTTTGTATCGTAAACTAAAGTAAAATACTTGTAGCAACTGGCAACCTGGTTCCGTTGGCGGGCGGGTTCATCCAAAAAGAATCGCGGCTTGAAGAAGGAACAGACTGTCTTTGATGCCGCCCTGCGACTGAAGACGCGTGCAAAGTCTGTCGAAGAGATCTATATGGGCATGGTCTACGACGAGCAGATCAAACCCCTGGTCAAGGCCGAACAAGAAGCGGGCAATGTGACTACTTCTGGTCACCGCATGGCATTGGGTCGAAGGTTCTCCAAGGAGCTCTTAGAAGATGAGTCGGACGAGGTTAAGAAGGAGGTTAGAAAGAGGTACGACAAGCAGATAAAAGGTAGCAAGGGAAAGGGTGACATACTGGATGACGAAGATGATGATAACGATGAAAGTGATCCTGATGCCATCGCAAAGTAAGTGTTTCGGTCGATGTACCTGGTTTTAATCATACTCACATGTCCTACAGAGGTATTGACGAATTGCCAATCATATGCCAGCGCTTTGCACGCCTCGTCAAAAAACAAACTCAATTCATTGTGTCCTTCATGTGCGCCGGACCTGACCCAAGGCATAATCAGAACATAGTTACTTTATCGTAAGTGAACCGAATCAGCAGTATAACTAACGTGCTTACCTCCAACTAAGGTGCCATCCATCAGAAACCTCTGGTGGGCGCAATTTTGCCCACTTGTACCCTGATGAGGACTATGCCTTCCTCGGTGCGTACCAGGAATTTGCAGAATCAATATTCTGTAAGTCATTTCCTCATTATCATTATGGGCTCGCATTGATACACACTTGTCAGCTGCGAAGGAACATGACCCCTTGCTGCCAGCTACCACGAACGTCGGAGATGGCAACAGGAGTGAGGAACTCGAAGAGTATGGTAGCGGCGAAGAGGATGAAAGTGGCGAAGAGGATGAAAGCAGAGAGGAGAACGAAGGAGGTACTGATACCATGAGCTGGGATAACCCCGGCCTTTATACGATTTTGCAGACACCTGATGCATCAACCGGACCTGATGCATCAACCGGACCTGATGCATCAACGACAACTGATGCATCAATGGCAGGCACCGTGGCGCTGGCACCGGCTGGCTTCACTGATGCATCACTTCAGCTTACGGGACCATTCTACTCTCAGGTAAGAGTCTTACACGCCGTCACTCCCACTATGTTACCTGACGATTTTCTGATATAGTCCCAATATCCTGATTGGTCACTGGATTTGCACAGTGTTATGATGCCTCAAGCTAGTGCGCCTCTCGGCTCAATTGAACCATTCGAGGCCCGATTTTTACAGCCCGGTCTTATGGCTACGGGATATCTTGGTAGCAGTACCGTGCAGAACACATCATTCAGCTCACCAGCTTCTTTGGGATTCTCGCTTGCTGACACCATGCACGGGTGGAATTTCAACAATGACAATCTTCATTCGACAGGGTGGGAGACATCTAGTCTGTCTTCTTCGTTGACCTCTCCAACCTCCGCTGAGCGCAGTACCACGAGCCCTAGCCTTGACGAGCACCTTCCTCAATTTACTTATCAGCTTCCCACCCTTCCAGCTGCCAACCCCCCTTCTCCGACTGAGACCGCACAACCTGCTGAAGTTCCCGATTCACAGGCTGGTACCGGACGTGCTAAGTCCAAGCGCAAGTCCAAGTCGAAACTTCCTACAACCAAGTCTCTCACAGCACACACCGACAAGCCTCGCTCTGCCGCCAAATTTATCACAGACACTCCCACTGTTACGGCCACACCCACTACAGCAAAACTCACTCCCCTGGTCAATTCTACTGAGCATATCCCTGTGATCACGCTTGCGAACGCTGCCAAACCCAAGGCCAAACCAAACCCAAACCCAAACCCAAACCCAAGGCACATCCTGTTAGTACCAAGTCTAGTGCAGTAATGGAGACAACACACGTCGCTGCAGATGATGAAGGTAACGCGTTGGGTGATTCGATTACTATCAATAATATCGTGCAAAAAGCTACTGCGAGTCAGATTGGAGCGGCACGTGTATCGAAGCGCATTCCAATCAAATCCAGGCGGAATGATATTGCTGACGCAATCGGGTCAGATGGCATGACATTCGTTGGTATTGGTAGCAAGGAAAATCCAAGTGTTTTGGAGGAGGTTGGGGGAACATCATCGAAGCGTACTGCTGACTCGACTGCAGAAGGTGTGATTCCAACAAAGTATGTCTGAAAAATCCTGCTCTATTCTCACTCGCTAACAGAAACAGGAAAAGACGAACGAAGGCGTGAGCCGACTGGCTTTATGTTGGCTCCATGAAGTTCTCTGTTTGATCCATGCTCTGATCATAAATTTTCACGCTATACAGATGTAATAGATGTGGTCCCTAGACCTTTATCCTGTCTATGATTAGTGAATGAAGTTATTCTTGCATTGTGAAAGCTTGTCGCGAAGGAAAAGCTAAGATCGGACGCAAGACAGAACAGAACGGCATGACTCAGACTTGCAGGAATTGAAAGAATACGAGTAAGGGAAAACTTGAAAAGAATGAATATATGCGCATGCTACAAGTATCAGCCTGCATCGCGTGAAAAATTGGACTCGAGACGGAACAGAACATCGTGACTCGGACTGACAGAATACAAGCAGTGATAAGTAAGGGAGAAAGGGAGAAAGGAAAATGAATATATGCGCACACTATAAGTAGTTGGGTGATGGGCTGGGAAAGCAATGAGCCGACCTGCAATGCATGGCTGATGCATTACTGATGCATCAGTATTGCATCAGTAATGCATCAGTAATGCATCAGTGCTATCCGAGGATCCACGCTGCACTGTTGCATCACTGGATCCCTTGCAACTGCAGCAAAATGTTGCATCAATATGACACTGGGGCCTGCCCACTACACCTAAAACATCACCCATTTTGGGAATCTCCACAATATCAATTATTCCCACACCCTCCCCACCTCACTGCAGCTTCACCACCACACCACAATAGGTCCCCTCTTGTATCTAAGTAGTAGTTTGGTATATATATGTACAATATAATGTAATAGACCGCTTTTTTTGCTTATTTGTGTGCCTGCTCCTCCTCTAGAGGCCATTTAACATATGTTAGAGTAAAGAACACTTTCGCACTTTTGCCCCTTTGGTGGGAAAGTGTTCTATTATATTCAAAACATGTTTATGAGCATATATGAGTATATTCCCATCTTTATTTGACCCCCTGAAGCGCCCTACATCAATAGATATAGCACATATGCAAGAAAACACAGAATATGTTCCTATTTAATTATTTCTAGTGGACAGACTTGGAAAAATGATTCCCAGTATCTATTCAACAATATGAACAATGTATCAGGAGCCCAGGACCATGGGATAATTCCCTGTTGCATGGTGTGCCCCCCCTCTCCTGGTGGTTTACCCCCTGTGAAAATTTTTCCTGCAGGACCGGACCTTAATTGAGGTGAGGGGTCTATTTCTATGTATATTTGGAGTAGATCTATCATATAGCTGGCCCAGAACACACATAGGATCCTGCTACAAGAACAAAAACATAGAAAATCTCACTTTTGACACTTTTGATGTTTTTTAGTATCTTACTCTTGCATAAATAACCATCCCTGCTCACATATTATCAGTAGTACATTCACACATATGTTCTATGCCAAGGATCAGCCCTACATAGGGCGCAAATTTGATATCTGATGTACAGGAGGTATTTCTACTGATAAGGAGCCCATACTTTCAAAACATCGAAATTTAATAATCAGACACTTGGAGTAGATTTAAAGTACATTCACTATCATATACCTAAATTTACAAAACAATCCAACAAGAATTGAGTGCTGAGGAAGTGAAATAGATAAGAAATTGAGTGTGGGAAAGTTCAAAGACTCAAAACATCGAAAATGGTCAGTTGGGCAGCAGTAGGACTTTAATGCTGGGTCAACTCAAATATACATCACATTCCTTCCATCACCCTCTAACCTCAGGGCAGTATGTAGCATAGGTTCATTTAGTAGTCTATCATATATCCTACATATTTTCAATGAAATATTTGCCCTGTACCATATATAAATGTGACTTTGTGTCAAAAGATGTCAATTGTCACTTTTCACACATATGTCATTTTACTTGTCATTCAGTCAGTCCTTCACTGATCTTTCTAAAACTTCAAGTCCATCATTAGGGACATATATAAGAGGTATCCCAGGTATCTGATCACTTATCACAGGCTGGATTACTCTGTAGGTTTCCTATCAGTAGAAATACCCCTGTACATCAGATATCAAATTTGCGCCCTATGTAGGGCTGATCCTTGGCATAGAACATATGTGTGAATGTACTACTGATAATATGTGAGCAGGGATGGTTATTTATGCAAGAGTAAGATACTAAAAAACATCAAAAGTGTCAAAAGTGAGATTTTCTATGTTTTTGTTCTTGTAGCAGGATCCTATGTGTGTTCTGGGCCAGCTATATGATAGATCTACTCCAAATATACATAGAAATAGACCCTCACCTCAATTAAGGTCCGGTCCTGCAGGAAAAATTTTCACAGGGGTAAACCACCAGGAGAGGGGGGGCACACCATGCAACAGGGAATTATCCCATGGTCCTGGGCTCCTGATACATTGTTCATATTGTTGAATAGATACTGGGAATCATTTTTCCAAGTCTGTCCACTAGAAATAATTAAATAGGAACATATTCTGTGTTTTCTTGCATATGTGCTATATCTATTGATGTAGGGCGCTTCAGGGGGTCAAATAAAGATGGGAATATACTCATATATGCTCATAAACATGTTTTGAATATAATAGAACACTTTCCCACCAAAGGGGCAAAAGTGCGAAAGTGTTCTTTACTCTAACATATGTTAAATGGCCTCTAGAGGAGGAGCAGGCACACAAATAAGCAAAAAAAGCGGTCTATTACATTATATTGTACATATATATACCAAACTACTACTTAGATACAAGAGGGGACCTATTGTGGTGTGGTGGTGAAGCTGCAGTGAGGTGGGGAGGGTGTGGGAATAATTGATATTGTGGAGATTCCCAAAATGGGTGATGTTTTAGGTGTAGTGGGGTGGCTAAAAATGCGAAAATGTGGAGAAGCAATCTATTTTTAAGTGTTGTGGGGAAATTCCCACAGTAGGTGGTCAAAAATGCGAAAATTAGGGGTGTGAGATTATTATGGGAGTGTCCTGACAGGATCCTCCATTGATATATCAGCCCTACAATGATAGGTATCTATGGACTTCAGTAATTATTGTATCACATTTCATCTACAATTGTAGGTATTTAATGTATCATTCTTACAGTATGGCCTGCCGAGTCAGCCCTGCAATATAATCAATATTAGTTATAATTAGTTATAATAGTCGTCACTAAACTTACCACGAAGGCTTATAACCGATGGCACGGCCTTACTAATAACCTCCTTGACGAGGCGCTTCTGAACAGCAGAAGATGATGCAATTGCATCAGGGGAAAAAACGATGCCTTTGATGATTTCCCTCGAGTGGTTATGGACTTGTTCACGGGCTGCTGTAGTGACCTCGACAACGTCGGCCAATGATGCAGCATTGGACGGGCCAGCAGTGGCCGTAGGAGTAGGAGGGTGCGTCTGACTTGGATGTGAGGGTACTGAGTAGGGTTCCAACGATGGTGTTGGGGGCATGCGTCGAGAGCGTCGGCGTCTTTCGGAGGATCTTGCAGGACCCAGTGTCTATTATCAACGTTAAAACATGTCATGAGATAGTATGAAAGACTTACATGTATAATGTTCGAGTTCGGTATCTCATCTGCTGTTGGATCGTAAGTCAGTGCACGCACGGCGTCAGCATCATCGCCCAACCAATGAGGTATGGGTCCAGTAAGGTGGTTCGGTGCTATTGGAGGTTGTGTGGGCACTGGATCCGGCACTGGCTTGCAGCGCCAGACAACGAGTTGCTGTAGCCGGCGCCAGACAACGAGTTGTTGTAGCTGG